CTGGTTGCCGTCATTCCGCCTCTGTGCGTTTTGTCATTGGTAAGACTAGCAGCCTGAATTAGGAATGAATGCGTTGCTAACCAAGTTAGTTCTTCTTCATCGTGGTCGTCAGTAGTGTCTTCCAACTACTTCTGCCTGCTGGAATCTGTTTGAGGAACTCAAAATTCCATTCTGGTAAGTCCTTCACTCACGCGACATACACCAAGTCTGACAATGTGCAACAGCTATCAAGCCCAACCCCAAACGTTACAGAGATTACCAACTTCCTCACATCACCGTTCAGATGCCTGTCTATAAGGAAGGTCTCCGAGGGTAAGGTCAATATCCTCCAAACTGATCACATCATTCTGACTTACCTCCCAGTGTCATCGTCCCAACAATGGTCTCCGTAATGGCAGCAATCCAACACTACGAAAACCAAGGCGGCACCGCCTCAGTCTACATCAACGACGACGGCATGCAATGCATCCAACCCGAGCTCGCCGCCGCCCGCAAGCAATACTACCGCGAAAACGGCATCGGCTACTGCGCCCGCCTGCCCAACAAGAAATCCCCCAAGTCCAAGTCCTTCCTCTCCTGGTTCAAGCGCTCACCCCCCGTCGACCCTGAAGTAGACAACCAGGACGAGTCAGAAGTTAGTCCTCAAGGACGCGCCAACGAACTCGGTTTCGTGCGCAAGGGCAAATTCAAAAAGGCTAGTAACATGAACTACTGCCTTGCTTTCTCGAATAGAGTCGAGGATGAGATGTTGAGGCTTACCGAGTTGGAGTGTGAGAGTAGAGGGTGTGCGTATGAGGATTTGAGTGCGGAGGATGATGACCGGTTGTATGATCAGGCGCTGCAGAACATGGTTGATGCTGATGAGGGTAAGACGTGGGCGGAGGGGAATATCCGCATGGGTGAGATCATCCTCCTGATTGACTGCGATACGCGTGTTCCCATCGATTGTCTCCTCTACGGCGCTCTTGAGATGTATGAATCTCCCGAAGTCGCTATTCTCCAGCACGGCTCAGGCGTCATGCAAGTTGCGCACAACATCTTTGAGAACGGTATCACATACTTCACCGACATTGTCTACACAGCCATCAAGTATGGTGTCGGCACTGGTGATGTCGCGCCGTTTGTTGGTCATAATGCGTTCTTGAGATGGAAGGCTATTCAGAGCGTTGCGTTTGTCGATCCATCGGACAAGGTTACCAAGTGGTGGTCTGACTCGCATGTCTCTGAGGATTTCGATATCAGTTTGAGAGTGCAGATGGCCGGTATGGTATGTCGGTTGGCGACGTATCATAACGGTGGCTTCCAGGAGGGCGTGTCGTTGACGGTTTATGATGAGTTGAATAGATGGGAGAAGTATGCTTATGGATGCAACGAGCTTGTCTTCCATCCTTTGTAAGTCTGACAAGTAGTCTCATTGGTTACTGATCTTTACTGACTCTTTTCGCAGTTACAAGTGGCCATACAAGGGTCCCGTTACTCGACTCTTCCTCCGTTTTCTCTGGAGCAACATGCCAGTTACTAGCAAGGTTTCCATTCTGGCCTACATCTTCACCTGTAAGTACCCATAACAATTCCAGCTTAGTGCCGGACTAACAGCCCCAGACTACGCCATCGCAGCTGGTATGCTTCTCACTCTCGTCAACTACGTCCTCGTCGGTCTCTTCTTCCAAGACCTGGACCAATTCTATACTCCATCATGGGGTATCTGGGTCTCCCTCCTCGTCGTCTTCAACGGCGTCGCCTCCATCGCCACCAGCATGACTCGCCACCGTCTCAAGGAAAAGTCCTTCTGGGTCGCAATCCTCGAAGCTTGCAAGTGGCTTCCCTTTCTCCTTCTCTTCTTTGGTGGCATCAGTATCAACTGCGCAAAGGCTCTTCTCTGCCACGCCTTCTCCGTCAACATTGAATGGGCGTCGACGTCAAAGGAGCTGGGCCCTACTGGTATCTACATCGGTCTGAACAAGATGATGCACAGATTCAAGTGGACTTTCCTCATCTGTATTGTTATTGCAGCTGGTATGATGTACATGGCTTTTGGTGCGCCTTGGGGTTGGACTATCGCTCCTGGAAAGTTCTCTGCCGGTACATATGCTATTGTGCCTTTGGCTGTACAGGTTTCCTGCGCGTTTGCTCTGCCGCTCTTCCTCGGCTTGACTTAATTGAGATATATGAATGGAAGGATGGATGGGTTACGGTAACGACTTTAGATATACGAACTAGTTAGCTTAATAGATTTGTCGTCAAACATGTCGACTAGGTAATGCAGATTCTATCCCGGCGATCAATTACACAAGTAAGAGGTGCCCATGTCTCGAGCACTCCCAAGTCCTCTGGAGACGGCGTATTCTCGAATGGTTGAGTCGCGATAGTGTCATCGTGATGCATCAATGAGAAGCGTAATTGGTTTAGTGGTAAAATTCTCCGTTGCCATTCGAGTAACGTCGGGGAGCCCAGGGTTCGATTCCCTGATTACGCATTGATAACGACTTCTGATTCGGATTCTTTTTTGTCCCTGCTTCTTTTTGCTCTGCCGTCGATTTAGAGTGTTGCTGGCGATTGTTGTGCAACAGTATGTTGTGGCTGGTATCCTCCATTTTGGCAGTCTTGTTTACCCACTAACGCTCTATCTGAAATGAATAACAATATGAGGAAATGATACATATAGCTCAGATTATATTATTTTCTACTGCCTCATTTCAATAACCCGTGCCGTTTTGCCCTTCAGTATCTTCTTACAGTCTATCCACGGCCTCTTATAAAGCAGCACGATGGCACGGATTAGGTAAGACTATTAGTGCTTATGCAAATTCTGCATCACCTGTAAGTATTATAATTACTCAGTAGTCAGATCATGAACAAAGTGATAATGACAGAGTATTAGCTTCATTACAACACCTTTTACTAATTTGAAAAGTCGAAAGATTATGTGGCAACGGAATCGCCTACGTCCGAGTAGTAGACATCCTCATCACATATATTGGACATACAAGTCTGACCTCTTCAGTCGGGGCACCCTCCACACCGACGTTTTATATACGCATTTTCCCCTGCCTTTCGCAGGTCAACAGGTGGTCTCATCCTAATGGCCTTGAGGATAAGCCCTTCTCCATTTTTGTCTTGTTATGGATGCAGGCGGGATTGAGATCAATTAGGTACTCTAGGCACTCTAGGCACTCCTATCTCCTTCAAGTTGAAATCTAAGACACGGAACACTTTTTTCTTGGTATGCCTCCTCAACACCCCTTTATATCTAAAGGCTTGATCGCTTCCTCTCAGTCGCCCGGCCTAGCGAGCGTCCACACAATTACATCATGACGGTAATCTCACAAATCCACTCTGGCTTTCCAGCAAAAGGGGCTCAGTTGTTCTTCATCTACAATCATTATAGTACAGTAAAAGACTACTCGGTTGAGTTAAAGATTGGTCTTTGTGCTATTCCTCATTGCGGCAGGAAATGAGAACACTCGTTGCCAAAGCTTACTCGATTTCTAGTCCATTAGCTATTACGACTGAATGTTGGCTGTCGTACTCGGGACCTCATTCTATCTCTGTCAAGTTTATTCCGGGCTGTTTCATTCAGTCCAATCTGTTCTTTTGATGATCTCTTTATAGTGCTAAAACATAGGTATCATTGCCTACTCTAGCATAAAAGACTGTATTACTGTCTCTAGCCTCATATCATATAAGTGTAACATACTCAAGTCAGTAATATAAAGGTCCAAGGGGCTTGAGGCCTGAGGAATTGAAGTCTTACACAGTATCTTCCAGGTTGATCCAACCAAAGCAAGCCACTCGCGACAACCCAGTTCTGGCATCGGTATGTACTCTCACTGGTGCTTACTTATCTGATTCCTCATTTTTGTACGGTACAACACTACAACAACATTGGCATTCAAGATCACTAATCTAACTACCAGCTTGCCAAGAATACAGTCTTAATAATTGAAGCCTATTGTGAGAGTATTACTTATGTTGATCCTGCCCTGAGGAAAATGTCTTTCGGCTCCGCACTACCCGAAATAGCCGACTTGATCACGAGCACGACTGTTGCGGGCCAATTCATGATCCCGACCGCTTTTTCGGGATCTCGATTTCTGTCAAGTGTTGTCGACATTCATAGTTTGCTGCTGGCGAATTTTGAACACGACCTGAGTTCGTCAGGCACCTGCAGATCATCGAGTCCCAATTCCTTTCCTGGATTCGTTACAAAGGATCGAGAGGGTCATGTAGTAGGTTTTGCAGAAAGGCAAAGAAAGAAATTAGGCTATAATCGTGCTTTTATGGCCTGTGGCATGTCCCTTGTGCCCGAGATCTACATTATTCGTCTAGGCTAACCCTTTTGATTCAAGATCACTACCGACGCCGCAAGATAAGATGTATTCAGTCAGTCTCGAATGGAAGCTATTGATGTGTCAGTTGTATTCGCCTGTGGGGGGAATGTAAATTTTCTGCTGTGTGTCAACCGCGTGCCAGTTGGTCGAAAGTCAAACCATCGGCGACGACACCCAGAGTTTCTCATCATAAGAGACGACGAGAATCGAAAACGGCTCTTCGACCACCACGGGAATCGTGAACGTCATAAATCCACGTACGAATGGTGCTTAAGTATCTGAGAGCGGCACGTACCTCGATCGCTCATATGTACATGTGATCACGACCAGCGACACGGGCCCGTGTCTCACTGCGGATTTTGGCGTCGTACTCTCAAAGCCGCGAAGGTTACTGTAACTCGGCAACCAAATGAGTCTCTCTACTGGAACATCAAGAAATCTCTTCTCTCGCATAGACCATTACAAACGCCGACTAAAAGGGAAGGCTTTTTATTAAGCAAGGCTCTATCTCTAAAGACCCTAAACCGACACTACTCTACCTAGCAGTACCACCTCAAATGTCGAATTCGCAGACCACCATGCTCATTCTTAATTCTCAATGCCTTCCTGACACCAGATCCGCGAGTGGCTGACTGAATCACCTAGCATCCGAGTGGGAAGTGGGCCCGCATGGTGGAATTTATTCGTATGGAGGGATGGCTAGACACCCCTGTCATGAGCGGTGAGGAACAGACACAGGACAATCGTAAAGTTAATATTCTTCACTGGAAAGGTCGACACAGAAATCAGAGACAATGGCGGACGGAAGTTGCTGTCACTGGCCGTAGAGAACGTGGACGACGTAATCCCGTGCCGTGCCGTCCTGTGCCGTCCTGTGCCGTGTTTGCTGATGTCTTGGTATGCCTTCATTGATCTACTGATCCTGTATGATTGCCCAATCACACACGGCCACATGATAGACTCTATGTGTCTTGTCACGAAAGCTCGATAGAGCACACACCAACAAGACAGAGGAGAGACTGTCTTGACCCTCAACATAGGTCACTAAGCGAGTTATCGGTACGCCATGACGAACAACAGTAGCCGTAGTCATGTTTGCGTGCTACTTGCTACTAACAATGCTTTTGGTTGACAGAGAAAGGGTGAGACCCGGTAAGTAATACTTTGTGTATATATTTATGCAGGAATGCCCTTTTTACATCGTACATCGCTCTTAAACTTCTTTTTCTACGCAAGCACATCCTTTGATCAGAAAAATACTTGCCTACTCATCATTGGTCAGAGACTTGAGAACTCAGCAATTATATTAAACATGAACGGTCAGTTCAATCGTCACCCATCACGTAGTTGGAGGACGGAAAACTAAACTGTTAACTTTCTAGACCATAATATTGGTATTGTCGGTGCAGGCCTGGCTGGGTTGTATTCCGCACTTCTCCTACAGGAAAAAGGGTACACCGTGAAAATCTTTGAAGCCGCTGATCGAGTGGGTGGCCGTGTTCAAACGCATCACTTCACGACGGATGAAAACCAGTATTATGAGGCGGGCGCAATGCGAATTCCCGTTACAAAACTACAGGACACTATCTTTTCACTTATTAGATATGTCAACAGTCATGAAAGACTTCCGCAAACAATGGCCATCCGATTGATTGACTATATTTGTCATCACGAAGGAAATTATTCACATTTTGGATCTACAATATCTCGAATTCCGGTGACAGATGTCACGCCCGCTAGCGCAGGTTGGATAGATGTCCCTGAGCCGTATCAAAATAGGAGTGCCGGAGATCTACTGAACAGCGCACTTGAGGAACTGACTCAAGGCCTTAACAACGACTTCAATGACAGAATTGAATGGATTGTCAAGAACTACGACCAATGTACCCTTCGGTGCTATCTGATAGAGCACAAGAATTGGTCGCCTTCTGTTGTCTCCTTTCTTGAAGCAACGCTCTTTTACCCTAATGCATTTTCTTGCAGTATCATCGATGCATGCATAAAGAATTTGCATTTTAGCTCAAAAGACTGGAAAACGATAGACCAAGGAATGAGCCGCTTGACTGATGCGATGGCTTATCTAGTTGGCCACGAGAATATCACTCTTGGGGCTAATGTAACGGAGCTTATCAACACTGGCAACCAAAGAGTTGCCGTTAAAGCTAAATGTTCTGATAGGGTTATCAGCGCGGAGTTTGATCGGGTCATACTGGCTATACCACCACCTGCGTTGAGATCGATAACCAATAGGCCACGCTGGTCAACCAGGAAAGAGCTGGCCATACGTTCACTAATTATGGAACCAGCATACAAAGTTGGACTGCGCTTCAAAACTAGATTTTGGGAGCAATTGTCGTCCGGAGGTAGCATGGGTGGACAAAGTGAAACTGACCTTCCTATCAGATTACTTATGTATCCATCGTATGGTATGGGGACCAGCGGACCAGGCGTGTTGATAATTTACCCGTGGTCAGTGAGAAGACTTCCAGTGCAAGATTAGCTGCAACTCAAGACTGATTCTCAACTTATTAGGTTTACGGATGGCCAAAGCTGGATCCCCCTTACGGTGGAGCAGCGTCAGGGGCTTGCTCTGGATTTTATTGCAGAGTTATATCAGGACCAATGTGATCAGTATGGTAATAAGATTGATGTTCATGAGCAATTCATCGAGGCATCAGAAGTTATATGGTCTGAGTCAACAGGAAGTGGACTGACAGCGCCTCAACCTGGGCACCTATCCACTCACCTGGAATGGGCGAGGAATGCTGAGAATAACATTTTCTTTGCCGGTGGCCATCTGTCTTATCACTATGACTGGATTCTGGGTGCTGCGCTTTCGGCAGTACAGGTAGTCAAGGACATACTACAAGCAGATGTACAACCCTTGAGTGATGTGTCCATGGAAAAGGAATCAAGGTCATAGGGTTACAGGTGGGAGAGCACTCTTAATGAAGGGTTCGTTGCTTCCGCAATTGTTCGTAGTGTCACTTGCTTATAGCAAGACAGTCTCCTATGCACAACGACGCGTTTTCATCACTTCTTCTTCGTCATTGAAAACGACTTTCAATTTGATTTCAATTTTCGACATTGTTTCTTTTTGCTTTGATGTCCATTTGCACTGATGCGAGGTATGTTTGTTGCAGTTGAGAGTTGTGGCTAAGAGCTTGAACTAGCACAGATAATTGAGTGCTGGCAAAGTAGAAGAGTGGGGCTGCAGATCTGTCCAAGTCCAATGCAGAGGTCTCACACGTCATGGCTTACATGGTCAAGTAATTCCTTGCTCAGCCTGTGCCAGAAATTGGTCGTAGACTCAAGGTGATGTAGTGGGCATTTTACCACTCCCGCGTCTCTTTGTTAGAAATTGTACTGATATTCCTTATCAAGCGAGATCTATTAGAGGATATTGTCTCCGCTATAAGCTATTCCTGGGCCTTGGTGCTTTCTTCCTCATCTAGCTTCTTCTTAGTTGCTTTAGCTTCATCTCTCTTATGCTTCTTCTCTTTAATCTTTCTTGCAAGGGCATACGCTGGTTCTGAGGCGACATAACAGGGAAAAAGACACGGATCGCCAATCGCAGCCTCCCCCTCTCCCGTCGCGTCGTTCATCCTGGGGTCTTTACTGGTGAAGGGCAAGGGGTGCGGCCGAAAATTAGACATTGTTACAAATTTTGTAAATAGATGTGCTAAAAGACAGTCAGATCTTGTTGTCATGGGTAGATGAAACAGAAAGAGTTCCTATACTGACTTGAACGTATTGTCGCACAGTCGCTAACTTTCGAATGGCTCAAAACTCAACAGATTTAGCAATAAGCTTATCGTGTATGATGCCGCAGAAGGATTAAAAGAATCAGAATCAGATCCAGGCACTGTCAGCTATTTATATTGCTAGCTTACGCTTTGCGTGTTTGCGTTGTACGTCATTCCGCATGCTGATAGTGAGTGATGGCGTTTTACCCAGCCAGTAAAAACATTTTGGCCCCCAATTTCCCAATTGCCAAACCCAACTGGGATGGCAGGGCCTGCTACCTTAATTCCTACAGATTGGACTGATAAGCATAATCAGGGAATCAGTAGGAGAAGCGAACGGAACCATTACATATGGGCTGTGAACAAATCGATAATAGTTCCAGCCTTGAATTGACTATAAACGCGGATGCAGCGCCCTTATTCGCCCTCCGTAATAGGGGGCATCAGTTCGATTTATCTGAAACGTTTAATATGTCTTGTTTGAGCTTGAAAGATTTTGACATATTATCCCTGATAGACTTTGACGAGCCTGGGGAATTTACGTCACAACAAATACCAGATTTAGGCCAATAATTACTGCTTTCCATGTTGTTTCTGACGACAGCCTCGACTATTTTCCAAAGCCATGCAGCATGGTGACAAGTCAACGGCCATTTCCTTTGGGTGAATGAAGCTCGAACACGTTCTATATAAAATATTACTCTGAATGGATATCAATAATAGGTATCGCCCAGTTTCAGTTGGCCCATAAGGGCGCTTTCCGCTGTGTCGAGCTCTGGCTTGGTGTCAAATCTCGAGATTACTTCATCGTCGTCAGCCCATGTCAAAAACCAGAGGGCCACCCCAAGACCAGCGTAAACTTAAAAGTTAACCTTAAATACACGGAAGACTAGAGCACCAGTGTCATACTCATCAACTTCCCTCTGCAAAAAACCATCGCCGAGAGTTTTGCCCAATATGGGACTTTTACAACGCTGGCCTTAGTACCATCCTTGGAACTGCTGTTATTTCTGCATTTCTCGATACGTTGTGTCCTATAACATATGGCCCCTGCCAAATCGGAAGCTTTGAGTTTCGGAGCGCGAAGTAAGCTCTCACGATAGATCCGAAGGCCATGGCGGGGGTTAGCTGTGAGGTCTACCACTGTGTCCAGTAAGGCCTTTGTGGAGCACACAACCCTTCTGATGGTCCATCTCGGAGGGTGGAGGAGCCATCAGCCGCCTGTTTTAGCGACCCCGTGTTCTCTTGACTCAATGTCGAGTGGAGAACTGTCGCATATTACGATCCCGGGGCCCCAACTGGAGGGATGAGTAAAACGTCGATGTGTGGTTTCAGTCTATCGAGTCCCCCGTGGAACTTTGGTATTCTGAAGACTCAGAAGTTTATAGAAGACATCCTAACGGCCAAACCACAAGTTACTGTCAAGGATGTGCAGGTCAGTGTAACCACCAACTCTAATTCCATGCCAAACAAGCCCAACGGTAAAGAGTTTGGCGTTTTCTCCATAGTAAAATTCATTTCCATTCATTCTCGGAGCTCGTTCATTGACGCTCTAAGCGTATCACCACCACAAAACTCAGCTTATGCTCCTTGTTCCCTGCGAGCCTGGTTCTTCCAGCACCATCATACATGCCAAAGTTAACTAAACTGATTTCACGTAGGCGCCACAGACATCCTGACCCTCAAGAACAGGTTTTCAGCGTTTATAACAGCATATGTGGTCACAGTACTGGTGCCATTATGCAAGACGGTGTGTTTTCGTCACTACTTCTTCACCCATGATTGAGTCTACAAATAGAGGTGGACACACTTTATGCAAGTCTCTGACCACAATAATGCTACCGTATCATTCAAAAACAACTAACAGGTCATCGGAGCAATGGCGACGCCGTAAACTTGCTGCAAAGCCTTGAGTGTGGTCAAGAGACGTGTCGAGGCCCCCTATGTGACGAGACATGCAGCCAACAGCAGCCAGCACTCGCTTGTCTTTTCCTAATATCGAATAGCTTCATGCCTGGCTTACCTTACACCTTCCCTTATGGGGTAAATGCTTCTGCTGTTGGGTTGCTGTGCGTTGTAGTGGCTTCCACCAAGTGTCATACCACCATCACGTCCAAGCAGACGGTGGACTACCTGTTTTGGGTACCAGATCGTCGAAAGTCTTCCTGGGAATTTCCCAAGGCAATTTACCTTATCGTTATGTTTGTGTTGCCTTTTGCGACCCATTTCTGCCCTTTCGCGCTCTGTTCAGCGTTTTCTCACAGCTTCTCCACGTCTTGAAACCGCACTATGTCGCAAATACCATCAAGCTATCAGTGCCAGTGCAAGTCCTGCTCCACTAGTACATATCATACTCGCTCAGTGTCAAAGGCTTGCACAAACCAAATATCGGCTCGGGAGCAGCACTCTGGAGTGCCAGGCTCAACGCAGCTGGGGCCACGGCAATCATCACATCCAACCAGTGGCAGAAAGGGGCATCTGGTGTCGAGACTCATGCAATCTATAATTCGTTATTGGGGCTTAATGATGCTGGACCCGGAGGTACTCAAAAGCCAAAGCCAGCCGGACGATATACCATCCAGTCCTGCTACTACTCTCAGCAATGACAACACGAGCGATGGGGGGTCTACCACCAGTTTGTCCAAATATGATAGATCCTCGGATATTGAAGAAGAATCTGTGGATGGCTCAGCAAATCAAGAAGTTTCAATGAACCAGACAGGTCCCGCCTCAAATGAAGGTGCAGATCTAACGAAGTTCACCTTAAAGAGTCTTTTGTTAGGCGAAGAACTCAAGAGGCTCCAAGTCTGGAAAACATCGTTCTCCAACGAGGAGCTGGATATGCTACCGACTATCGACCACGAAGTTGCACAGAGCGTACTAAAATGCTTGACGAGCGTGGCCAGCATACTGATCGAAGGATCAAGTCAGTCTCCCCTCCTTCTAATCCTTAACCGCACGTAGTGTTTGCTGATACACCAGCAGAAGAATGGCGAATCACATCAGAGTCAGACGATCTTGGGACTGAAGGGGTAATTCTAGAGAGCCTACTGGAAGAGATAGAGACAAAAACATCGGAAAACAATGTCGAGAATGAGGCGATGACGGATTGTAGTGGTGTTTCAGAGTCAGATGAGTCTTACTTGACCGTTGGGAATCCAAGCTTAATCAAGGCTCTCAAATATGAGATTGACAGACTTCAATTGCTTTCTCACTCTTTGCGCCTTGGAATGAGAACCAGAGTTATATTTACAAATAGCTGAACACTCGATACACTATATATATAAACCGTTATCAACTAAAACTTCCTTTCGCGTACATGATACTAGGTTCTCAGATATGTATGCAGAACCTGTTTTAGGATTTGTAGTTAATAGTCTCCTGACATTCCATGTCATCCATTTCACCGCGCTTAACCATTTCCCTGAGAGGACTAATAACAGACTGATAAAAGTTTCGCTGGAACGTTTCATAGTCGCTTTGTTCATCACTACTGCTTTCACCATGAGCAATGCAGTAGCGAACTGCCTCCTGGTATTGAACACTTGTCTCAGTTCCCAGACGACTCAACTCTTTATCCAGTTGTTGCTGTATTATCGGCCCTTTGAGCTCCTTCCAAAGCCCAAGCTTCAGAAGAACATGTCCAAGGTGGAACATGAACCTTTTTGGTCTCGCAGATCCGTGGTCAAACATGGTGGCCCGCAGAAATGGCATCTTTTCAGATTCGATGGGATAGAATTTGATGTCCTGCGTACCCCATCCATCACCGAGCCATTCTTGCCAGCCATATCGGATAGTCGCTTCAGCCAGCTTCAAAGCCAGCTTGAAACGGCTGTTTCGAAGGGATCGACTTCTATGGAAGAGAGTGACGTAACGCCGATGTTTCTTTCTCTTGTTCGACAGCAGCCTTCCATGCTCTCCCTCCCGTATAATTTTGGAGAGAGTAAGAGGCTTACAACTTGTCTTTGGCCGCTTATTCTCATCCAAGTAGAATATTTGGTGGCCGCTGTCCTGGTCAACAGCGATACACATGGCCAAACGATCGCTACCTTGTGCAAGACTTCCAGGGCATACCTGAATCCGGCAAAACTCAGTGATGTTTTGTGATGTTTGCGATCGCTCATCTGACGAAGCTGCAGTGACAGATGAGTATCCAGAGTCGCGGCGCCAACGTTGACGAAGCCCATTTATTACTGTCACCAGAGGTGAGGACGGCTCTGAGTAGACAGCATCACCATCGTCCTTGGGGAGTACCAACCTGGAGTGAGCTTCAAACCAGATATAGTCTCCCTTGTTAAAGTTGGACTCTATAGCAACGTGATGACCCGTCACGGCAACGTCATTTGGATTGATGCACAGTGGTTCATACTCTTGAACTGGCACAAGTCCAACGAGAGCTGTATGCCCATGTGCTTGCTCTTGGCCGTTCACTGGGCAGGCTTCGCACAAGGAACGATAGAGCGTTTTTGTAGCCGAGCTTGATACGTAGAGCCTGGTGAAGCTTTTCGTTGATTGCGATGCTGGTTGGAAATTTGACAGCCGGTAGACCAAACTTTCGATAGCCGAAACATCAAATCCAATATTTTCAATGAGCCTGTCGAGGTCCCTGAACATCTTTGAATTTCGAATCTTGCCCTCACTTGACCGACCCTATCGTCCCTCAATTAGCGAAGTACGTGCTACTTGATTAGATCCTTACCCGGCTTCGAGTGGGCCCTCGTGGAAGCGAATTGATAGCATCCTGCAGTTTGTTACATATACTTGCTAGTCTCTGCTTCAGATCTTCCACGCTGCTATCACTCATAGACACTTGAATTTTCCCACTAATGCCCGTAGCTGTAAACCATTGTTGTATCTGAGTTACGTGAAGCTTGATTCTGATCTTCTGATCCCTGGCCTTGTCGCGGAGTTGTTTCACACAAGTTGCCTTCATGTGGGGTGTTCGCTCCAGCAACATTTCGTAATTCTCCATTAAACTGCTATTGGTCTTACTGATTTGATGAAAGTCAGCTTCTGAAATGCCCGGTGGCAATTCTTGCATGGTCTCAGATTCGAAACCCTCATCCTGATCCTCTTCAAGGGCCGGAATCGGTCCGAAGTAGAAATTGTCGTTGATGGCAGATGATGTTGTGGCTGTTAATTGAAGGGGACTGATCTTGAGGGTTCTTATCCTAGCCCTTTGAATTTGTAGACGGTCACCGACAGCGCCGTTTACCTGGATCGAATTGTGGTTTGCTTGGTTTCCAGAAGCACCTTGCGAGATTGTTTGAGAGTCCATTGCAAGATTTAGGAGATATGGCGTAGTGTAGAAATTGGAAAGCGCATGACGGAAACGAAGTCAGGGATACAGGCGATGATTCAATCAGATGATCAGTTGTACAGGTAGGGGGAAAGATAAGGCCGGGACCCCAATAACCCGAGGCTCAGTCTACTGGATGGGACCAAATACGGAAAGGCCAAGCCCCCACTGATATTTTCAATGGTATGCATAAGAGTTCGCAAACCAATATTATAATGCATGTCATCAAATAGTAGCCAACCTGGTTGGCTGGCCGGTGTGACGGGACTGCATTGCATTGCATTTACACGTAGCCTTGGAAAACACGCCATGGCTTTGCTTACACCACGACGAAATAACCCCTCTTCTTCCAAAACCATCACAGCCTACCGTTGAATGGGTGTCCTTCTTTCCAATCAGAAGTCATAAAATTGAACAGGTGATCACATGGTGTATCTACTCGTATGCGGCTGAGGAAGAAGAGCCAACGTGGCCACAACCAATGCTAGTCAGCGTCCATGCCTTGAGGGAGGGCGGAAATTCCCTCTGCAGTCTTTTCAGCCGCATCAGTGTACATAATTTGTAATTTGAAGTGGCTGTCAACCCAGATTCATTGCTTTGTGTTCTTTTGTCTCCAGTCTCCCCAGCCACTATAGTAAATCCACTTTATCATTGCTTCCATCATGGTAACTTCCATCCCAAATACCATTTGTCTGCTATTGTGACTAACGTAGTCATATTTACAGATCGACCCTGTCGGAGCAATCGCGGCCGCCACAGCCTCAATTGATCAATCCCTCAAACTTATCCGACGAGTCTCTACAGCCATTGAGATCCATAAGAATGGCAGAAAGGAACTAGAGTTTATTTTCAATGACCTCTCTAGTATCGCTCAAGTCATAGAGCTTGTCCAAACCATTGAAGAAATCAGAACCAGAGGAGTCCTTAAAGCCTTAGCAAATATGCTAAAACATGCTGAAAAGCTAGATGATCATATCCAGCAGGTCAAAAAGAAGGGCAGCACTGGATCTTCACTTCGTCGCGCCGCTCACCACTTCATGACTGGCCCTGAGGATCTAGAACACACTAATAGAGTTGTCAATGAGCTAGCATCTCTCAAGACAACCCTCATCCTTCATATCCAAGTGGCTCATGTTGGCCTTGTTGTTCAAAATGATCGGGACACGAGTGCAAAGCCGGGTTGCACTCACATGTTGGACAGTTCGGTTCTCCATGGGGTGAATCACATTGTTGAGCAGAGACTCGGCAAGGGACAGGGGCTGAAGATAGCGGAATTCCTCCGAGACAGGAGCGCAGACAGTACGCCTTATGTCCATTATGCCACAAGGGATAGCTAACCGAATTTTATAGGTGATGGCATGATTCGCCTCACGCAAGAGGAGTATGAATGCCTCGTATTTCATAGTTTGGACGATAGTCAATGCAACCAAGAACTTGGTGCGTCATGGCCCGTTAGAACATCGTTTGGGAAGCTGATACTACACAAGGCACAATTCGCGTTGCTAATAACCAGACCTTTGATCAAGCCCTGCAAATCAACGGATTCATAACCGATGATTGGATGGAGTTTAGTCACAACCTAATTATCGAGGACAATGAGGCTCGCAACCAGTCTATTCAGGTCAATGTACCTACTAAGAGGCAGGAGTTTGCCGAGCTTTTGGCCAGCAGAAACAAAATGCTCGAAGTGATGCCGAGTTCGGCTTGGGCACCAACCCCACTGATGCCAAAGCAAAGTATCAGAAGCCTGGAATGAATTTTGATTTCTCTTGCGACTAGTTGAGTGTAGGGGTGCTAGTAAGATGATTCATTGTAGGGGCTGAGGTCTTAGCTGTAAATGCAGCAGTCTATGGTTGAGAACTTGTGGCTTGTGTCGTTCCCTAATGCCGAGATAAGCATGCGAAGGCAGCGGAAGGTCTTTTCCTTATATAGCATAATCACGGACAGCATTGTCTAAGTGATATAGGAGCAAGAGTTAATAAAACCTCCACATTATGATTCAACGATTTATGTTTAATGATGTTCACTCGATAAGCTTCATCTTTGATAGTATAAGTGTAAATACATAACTTGCTAAATTATGTCTCCTTACAATAGTAAAAGTAAAAGAAATAGAAGTAAAATATAATAATTATAAAAGCCCTTATATATTATCCATCTTAAGTTATTCTTCTTCGTTTTTATATACACGTTCTTTAAACTAAAGGGTAGGTAGCTTAAGAGATAAGATAACAGCCCTTAGCTTACGGCGGCCATAAGTAAGCGCTACGTGTTAATTCTAAATCGGGCGGAATATTGTGACGAAGTAAACACCACTTGACAGAACAAACACTCAGTAGCTTACCAGGGTCGGAAATATCTGAACTCGCACTCGCTCTCGTCAGCGCTAATGAAAAGTCCGTTCGACACTGCTAAAGTCCGATCACTCAGGAGGTCAAAACGCCGTTTTGATTGGAACGTTTTTTGTTGAGCGTGACTTGGCGACTTGGAATTATAACAATCTGACATATTCCTCAAATTAATTCCCAATCGTATCTCATTCACCTCTCTCTCCTTCAGTCAATACCTGGGAATCGAACATGGAGTCTTTCAAAGTCATTGTCGTTGGCGCTGGGCCAGTCGGCATGGTCCTGGCTCACGCGCTGCAGGTCTCCGGCATCGACTACGTGCTCGTTGAACAGCGCTCTCAAATCCCCCCTGATCCTGCTTACGGCTTGTTTCTGTGGCCTCACATTATGCGAATCTTTCACCAATTAGGTCTTCTCGAAGCCGTTTTAGCTGTCGCGCAGCCTATGATTGAAGCGGTCCACAGATCAATTGACGGCAGTGTTATACATCGCTCGAGAGGGTTTGAAGAGCTCGGCGCATTGTAAGTCTAGAGGCATGTGCTTGTGAATATTCTACTGACTACTGGAAGGTTCGGATATCCTATGGCTATTTTTAACAGAGGCGATTTTGCCTCGGCGTTGATGAGCAAGCTTGAAAACAAGAACCAACGCGTCAAGACCAACAAGCGCCTCACTAACGTCATACACCGCGACAACGGTGTAACAGTCGAATTCGCAGACGGTACCACAGAAGAGGCATCAATTGTCATTGGCTGTGACGGTGTCTGGAGTAGTGTCCGCGACCAAATGAAAGCAAAAGCACCTAAAGGTCTCTTTGACGAGAACCCCAACCCATTCCAAGCACCACACGCAGGCGTGTTTGCCAAAGCTCTATGCCCCAAGGAACTCGAGCGTGGAAGGAACATTAATGTTTATCAAGATGGATCTCATGTTCAGGTCTTTACTGGTCTGAGAGAAGCGCAGATCATTGTTTATCATCGCATTCCGACTTCGAGAACAAAGACATTCTTTGGGCAGAACGATGCTGAAGAGGCGGCCAAACCCTGGATGGATGTTCCGGTTGGAGATGGAATTACGTTTGGTGATTTGTGGAGGAACAAGATTGCTGGAGGTAGCGCAAACTTTGACGAGGGAGTACTTCCTTGGTGGCATTGGGGACGTATGGTTCTTGTTGGTGATGCTGCTCACAAGGTAAGTCGCGTAGCATATTGACTGACTTCAGGCTAACATTGGACAGATGAATCCCATCAGAGGTGCAGGAGCATGCTGTGGCATCGAAGACGCCATCGCCTTAGTAAACGGCCTCAGTCGGTTACTTCACTCCGACTCCAACCCCTCAGACCGTAAGCTCCGTCAGTCTTTTCTCGCCTATCAGTACGAGCGAGAAGCTGCTGCAAAGCTGTGGAATGACATCTCTGCGCTCAATTTGGAACTCTGCATTGGCGCCAATCAGCCCGCATTGAAAGCGCAAAGTGTTGCTGATTACAGAACGATTCCTTTAGTTGCTAATGGACCGATCCTGCAGAATATTCCGTTTGATGAGAAGATGGGCTTTGTGTCGTGGACCAGGAAGACTCGCAAGTCTGCTGATAAGACTAAAGCGCGTTTGTAGTCTGGAGGCGGCGGTCTATTAAAATTGGTAGCCATGGCGGACTGCATAGTCGATCAAGGAACTGCGAGATGAAAAAGATGAGGTTAGACATATTTAATCACTTTTATATAAACAAAACATTTATAAGGGATCTCGATGGCTCAGACCGGATGAACACGTACTACATGGTAAAACATCAGCAAAATCTCCCTCTCTTAGTATCTATAATTAGATGATGGTCAGCGATGAATCAACGTGTGGCCATCTGTGGCTTGAAAGCTCTCATTTAATAGGCTTATGTCCATTTTCATGGGTTGCACAAATCGATAGTCCGACTTGGCGCTGAGGCTCAGTGGTGATGCCTATAAATTTGGACCAACCCAAGGTCAGAAATCAGTTAAGCCACAAAAGCTGTAGAGCAGGCTGGCGGATAATCAACAAGACTTGACGGGGGAAGAAAAAAGATTCAGACCTTTTGAAGGATAAATCCCCTATGTTTAGCCCCAATCCATATCCTTTTGTTTGCCATCTTGTTGGAAAGCCCGCTATGGCTCTATTCACTACGCAAGGCTTCCTCATCAGCGCCCTTTTCTTAGGTGTAGCTCATGCAGGATCCAACAGCACTTCTGGTAATACAACCATGGTTGGGTGGGTATCCCCCGCGCCTCGAAGAAGTACCTGGGACATTATCTGGAGTTGTCTCTCGATTTTCATCGTCTGCTCCTGGAAATGTGTCCATCTCAACATCCCAACCCACGAAGAGATTCAAGGTGAATGGCATACGGTGCAAATCTGCAGGCGCCTTCCTGATATATCGATCTGGCCTAAAGCGCCTTTGCGCCGAAAATGGAGACGAAAAATTCTTTGGATGACATTCATTGCTCTCGCGCCCGAGTTTGGGGTTGCGCTGGCTACGAGGCAATATATGGACGCCCGCCGAGAATTAAAAGAGTTTACGAAAGCTCTTCCTGATGAAGTGTTAGTATTACTGAGATTGCACGAGGAGAAATCTTTTTAATTTTAATTAGGGCACAGAGATACACCATGATCCACGCCTTTTACGTTCAAATGGGCGGCATTATTATCTACGAGCCCTCGACTGAATCGGAGTCGCAATCCTTTCCTACAGGACAGAAGTCTACTCGAACCAGGCATGGAAATCGCACAGCAAAAATGGTTCGATCTCTTTGTAAGTCCCAACTATTTCCAGTTTTGTTCTACATCTGTCATGCATTCCTCTCGAAGCAAATTCCTTGAACCCAGTGGTCTAATTAACCTACAGCATACATACAGAATGAGATGCTTAGAGTTAACGAGCATGAGATAAAGGATCTAAGCAAAGCAGATGTCATCACTAAGGCGTTTGCTATCATCCAGTGCACATGGCTCGTTATGCAAAGCATTTGTCGGACAGCACAAGGGTACACCATATCTTTGTTGGAGCTGGCAACCTTGGCATTTATCTTTTGTGCCTTCATCATGCATACTTTCTGGTGGGCTAAGCCTTTTGATGTTGAATCGAGACGAATCATCATGGCAATACCGCCTAACCTCAAAGACACAGCAAGTCTAAACACTCTATCCATGGATGATCTGGTATCTCTCGATAGCGTACTGCTTCGGGAACGAATCAAGGATCTATCTAAGGGCAGCCTTTTCAATCTAGTTTTCGACACATTACAGTTCGCCAATCCCAACGCAGAACCTCAACATTTTACAAATTATCTGCCATCTATCTCGCTATACATCGCCTCGACTACATTCCTTGCTATTCATTTAGCCGCCTGGAATTGGCTGTTCCCCTCAAATGTAGTCAGATCTCTCTGGAGATGGCTTAACGTTGCTACGCTCGTGAGTTCGTTTACACCGTTCATAGTATTTCTGTATGGCTTGAAACCCACCCTCAACCGATTGCATGGAAACATAATTGTTTTGGTGTGGGTAATAGGTGCATTGGCTTACTTCATATCAAGATTAGTGGTTCTTGGTTTGACGTTTTATTGCCTGTCATCGATGCCGGAGAGTACATATGCCACTTTGGACTGGCTGTCGTGGGTCCCGCATTTCTCATAGGACCTAACGTTAAATGGAGAGAGGCTCGATGCAGGCAATGATTGCGCGGCCAAAACCGGGAGTTATTGATAGATCATACAGCGGTTTTGTTCAATGAAAATGCCAAATAAACATGAAGCAACCTGTCATCGTGACATCCAGTCCTGCCAAGCGGAGTCATTTAACATGACGATATTCCGCCTGACGTTATCACCGCGGCAGATCAACAAACCTTGACCATAAAACACGCCAAGATCGTCAACGGACTCAAATTGCGATGCTGCCAAAAACCCCATTTTACGTGCGTATCAGATCCAATATGATACCATCTGCAGTGGCACGTGGGGACATTGGAGCAAGGGTGTTGCCTGACGGTGACTCCGTAGTCGGTTTCATATTTCCACCAACGAGTCATGTTCAATCCGGCGATTACAAAGATTCGCTATCGCCGTGAGCACAACGACCTTCCAGAAAAAGAATGCCAATGAACTTTATTCATCTCTAATTGTGATTTATGCTCGGACCGACAATAGAGTTGCATGGATGAAACTCCATCCCGCAATCGATCATAGCCGTATCTGGAGATGTTACAGGGATGCTCACAATACGAGGCACCTATTTCGAAACTATGCAGGGGACCATAGTTTCAAGATATGGTTGAACGTCATGCATATTCCCTTTTAGTATCCGATAAGACCAGTTCCCCAGTTGTTAAAGTTCAGCTGCCTCAACCTGAAGCCCTGCCAAGGCGGTTACTGCCTATGAGATGACAAGACGAACTACCCGCTTCTATTGGAGCGAGTTTTGTGTTCCGGTTACGTTTTGGTAATTCATTAGAGTTCAACTGCCGACTATAGTAATTTTGGAGTATAATATCGGCCCCCACGATTTTGCTGTATATAGTCTTGGAATGAAGGCCGATTGGGTTTCGTCTGAACCATCGACCATCTTGCAATTAACATTCATTTTATTCGCTGCTGGTCACGCACAGTCTTTTCTTATCATTTTTGAGAAGTCATTCTTTCAACATGTCTCTTTTCGCAACAGCGTTGCTGTCTCTTTCTTTTTCCACGGTCGTTTCTGCGATTCCGTTGGTTGAGCGTCAGGATAATGTGACGGCTCCGGAACCGGCTCCGGCTGACCCTGGGGTTGACTGCTCCCCGTCGTCGTCTACTGGTCTGAAGCCAGAATGCTGGAAGGCCTGTGAGTAAATAATAGTGCGGTGGGAAAGAATGACGCTAATGAGGGTAGTGGACATGGAGAAGTACATCAATGACTGGGTCACTGAGAATGGAACCAAGGCCAACTGCGACGAACTCGGTTTCGCGCAGTGCTACCTTCAGTTCAACGTAAGCTCACATAACACTATGATGGATGCAAAAGGCTTATGGAATAGGGCTTCACTGGTCTTACCTGCAACTTGATCACCAGCGACACCTGCCCTCCCTTCAACACCAAGGATGTTTCCAAGTATGACTCCAACCAACAATTCTACGTACGTCATCCATCTCCCTCGACAGCACCAAACTGACAGGGTTAGGCCCTCTGGAACATCTACACCGTCTATCAATTCTTCAACCAATACTCCCGCGCTCTCAGCAACGGCGCCTCCCTCGCCGGCCAAACCATCGACGCCATCGTCGCAAAGGTTGCTCCTCCCGTCGAAGCCAACACGCCCACCAGCGGCCTCATGAACATCCTCGGCTCCACCCTCGGCATTGTCTCCCTCTTCACTGGTCTTGTCCCCGGTGACGCTGGTGTCGGTGTTGGTTTCATCCGTGCTGGTCTCGGTGCTGCGTTTGATCTCTCCGGCAAGCTCGGCGAGACTTTGACAAAGACTCAGACTGCGAACGACCGATTCCTTCAGCTCGGTGATATCGGCTCTGGACTCGCTAAGCTTGTTGAGGCTTATCAGAACAACCTTCTTGAGACTGTTAAGCTTGTGCAGGGCGATCATACTATCTTCATCGCTGCTTGCCAGGATGGTGGATTCTCTCAGCGTGTTACTACCTCTCTTACCATCCAGGCCAGTACTCTCTATCGCCAACTCCAACTATTCATCCTTTCCAGCGCCCTCAAGGCCAATGGCATCGTCTCGGCCAAGAGCACTGGCCTCAATGCTCAGACTCGTGCTACTGACACCGGCGGCGCCATCTCCTGCGATGCCCTTGACCCGGCCGGTAACTGCAACCAGTGGTGGATCGATGGTGCCGACACTTATGCTCTCCACAACCCCAATGACTGGCGAAACAACCAGATTGAGCTCACCAAGGCTATTGTCGATGAGGGCTGGGCTACTCTTGCTGATGTCTTCAAGGTTGAGGACTGTGCTGGCAAGGAGCCTACCTTCAACGGCAAGGAGCTTGGCGTTACTTGCCTCGTAAGTCAAAATAGATTGCCTAATGGATTATACACGCTAATGATCTGGTTAGGCTACCCACAACTGGTGCGAGTGGAACTACCAGGACTCTCCTGGGCTGTCTCGTGAGGAGCCTCAGTGGAAGAACTGCGACAACGACGACAAGTGGGGGACTCTCTGCGGAAGCTTCCAGAGCGGACTCGAGAGTAAGTCTTTCCTGTAACTGATTCGTGCGTGAAAGTGAGACTAACATTTTCTGAACCAGTCCCCGAGTCTTATCTCGGACCTCTTCTCAACAGCGACCAGACCTGGTGCAAGCGATAAATTTCGCACACAGCGACTTAACATTGTGGTCGAAGAGCAGTATTGCAGTTGCCACAGAGCTCCCTTGAATGCTCTCTTCAAGTTCTGCTTATAGCTAGGGTCATGAGTTGAGTAGCGTTCACTGGGGGATCCTTGTACTATGACTTGGAAGCCGACTAGATGGAGAGGAAGTTGGGTTGGAGTTAGCTAGATATTTCGTAATGCAGTTTGGTCAATCACGTTCCTGAAGCTTAATTGTATCAAACGTTCGATAATATGACATATCCAAACCTGTCATAGGTTGACAAGGAAGCCAAGCCCACTTTGACCTTAGGCTACTGATGGGTGTTTTTGATAGTGCTATCCTGAGCTGAGAGACCTAAGCGTGACAGTTGACGCTTGCATCGAAATTGTTTTACCCCAAGTTTCACAAGGCTCTAGTAAGTAGATGCATCATACTCAAGTATAGAACTGAGAACCGCATAAGTTAGCATATTTGCAAGTCCTAAAGGTTAAGTGTAGGATGGACCGTAGTAAAGATGACATATATATGTTCAGTTATCTAAGTAATAATATACAAAGCAGGGAGAAAAGGCGACAAAGTGTGATGTCTAGGTTCCAACCAGCTGACTAAAGAAGGTGATACACACTTGCTACCAGAGCAATAACAAGCCGATAGAAACATCTAGCACTTGCCAGCCTTGGTAGGCTCACACTCGCCGTTGGACTTGTCGCAACCGTTGTAACCTTGGCACTGGGTCTTGGGGTAGCAGTTGTTGGAGTAGGTGGCCTATAGTATTTGATCAGCATTGCACATCTGGAGCATATGACAAGATAGTTTACCTTGTCACCGAGGTTGGTGTTGATGCCAATGAGCTCACCGCCGTTGACAGCAGTGACGCCCTCCATGTGAACGGATCGCTTGCACTTGGAGTTACCCTTGCAGTTACCGCAAGATCTGTAGACCTTGCCATAGTCGTTGGCATCTAAAGAAGTCAGTTTGAGATCAAATAACAGAGACTGTTGACTTACAGAAGTTGACAATGTTGACGTGGCCGCATCCATTATGCTGGATAATTTTATCGGCAGCCTTATAAGCACCGCCACCAATAATGTTGGCAGTTCCACTACCCTTGATAGAGATAGCATCCTCACAAACATCCTCAAACCAGACAAACTCAAGGTTACAAGCACCAAGACAGTGAACACCCTCCTTCTGGTTCGCACCGATGACAACGTTACGAAGAGTAGCGCCGTCTTCGAGAACGAACACAGCGTCCTTCTCGCCGCCTTCGCTCTGGCCGGAGCACTTGACGCCGCGGTCGTAGCGAACCCACTTTGCGTCGAAGACTTGGCCCTTCTTGAGGTACTGAGGGGCGCTGAGAGACTTGGTGCCCGTGGCTTTCGGAACGCCGCCGGTGTAGCCAAGGCAGGCCATGGCGGCGGGGAGGGTGGTGAGGAGGGTGAGAAGGCTGGAGGCGTGCATTTTGGCGGTTGGGAGAGTGGTGAGTGGTGAGTTGAAGAGAAGCCGGTCAACGGTTGATGAGTGGTGAAGATAGAAGCGAATGTCGATACAGAGAGATGAAAGCGAGCTGGTGGGAAAGAAATAACTAAAGAGGAACTAGCTATCGTTCTTATAGATGCTCTCTCTGCTGCTTCGCGATCAATCCGACCGAGTACGATCCATCCACGCCATCCCAACACCATGGTTCTCAGCAAGTCACCCACCAATTCTAATTCGCCTATCATCCTCCCCCATCTCCATCAATCAGAACAAACAGCATCATCCGCTTTACAAAAATAAAATAAGGTGTCCAGCTCCTTGTTTCAGGACGATCTATTTCCTCCACTTAGGTGACGGACAGCACAGCGCTGATAGGCTAGTCAAAGCTGACATCCCGGTCAAGTGTTTAGGGATGCGCGTATTGGACTTAAGCTTATTTCGGGTCCGGACGACTTAACCGCTTTCAAGTCATGATGCCCGGATATGGAGACTGTGTTGGTGAGATGACAGTTAAAATCCGGGATTTTGTGGAGTGCTTGCATTGAGTTGTTTCGAATCATTTGATAAGCTTATTGGAGCGGGAGGCCCTCACGGAGATGACTGCGGATATGATTGGTGGTGAAATTTGTTGTTCTTCTGGTACCGATAGTGCGACTTCCGATACGAGGCGGAAGACTGGCTCCCGTGATGCTTTCAGAAGGCCAAACACTGGAGATTATATTCGGTAACCCTTTTGCCGAATGATGAACATGAGATGAAAGTACGGAATTACGTAGCCATGAGAGATATCCCCGATTCAGAGAGCACTGCCCAAGTCCTAGACCCAGCCGTGGTAGGGCGGCCTATAGAATTCTGTGTTCACGACTTTCGATAAAATCGAGACAGTTTCTGATCTAGGACCCGGACTGAAGAGCGGACCGTACCGGAGAATTTGCTTCGAAAATCTCATCGCTACGTATTAGATCGGGGAATAACTCACACTAATATGACCTAAGAATGCCTCGATCGCGCTACCAAGCGCCCAGGACGCTCCTCTATGGCGTCAAGGCTACGCCCGAAGATGCATTTACCAGAAGATACACCTATTACGATACAAAGATCTGAGTCAGAAATGCACCGCTTACCCGGTTTGCCGCATTACTCATAATGAGGCTTACACGGCTCCATCTCATTCGTGGATGGAGATCATCTGGGCAGGTCTGGAGAGCTGCTTCGGCGAATGAGCGCCATGGTTGCGCCACAGCGTTCCAGTGCCTGACTCTTGCACCGGACCTTTGATCGGTGTGACCTCAAAGTCAGCTGCCTGCGAGGACATAACGGAACGATAGCTCGTCCTCTACGATTTTACAACAACAAATCTGTGATCTTAGATCTTTCTGGCTTCTGTAAGCCAAATCATTGGTACCATGGCACTCTTACGCATGAATCCGACACCTGTTCACCAAGTTCATCCGTATATCCGGATCATACTACTCGCCACTCTCCTAAACTGCGCGTTGACAATCCTCTTTTTCTCTCATCTCATTTTCTTTCCAGCACTTTCTAGCTCACATCTGCCGCTCGAAACATTCAGATCATCAGTCAAGCATGTTTTGCGACCGTTGGTGAGCGGGCCAGATATATCGGAGTCATGCATCGAAGGACACCGAGAAACCCTTGCCTCGGGATACACCATCGAGTTCAAATGTAACATGTATCGACAGGGAGTTAGATATGATGAGGTGTCTTCGTATGATGAGTGCGCAGCTATCTGCAAGTCACTGGACATCGATGTATGCTCATACCATCCACCATCCAAACGATGCGTTGTATCCAACCTTCATGGAAGAGATATTCCTCGAGAAGGTGTCTATTACATGACCAAAGTTAACGAAGACGAGAGCGAGGACGTCGATTCTTTCGACAATGATGACCCGTTCGAAGAGGCGGCAGCTCAAGAAAGAGCCGACTTCCTTTATCGCATCGCTCTCCTCGAAGCCGAATTGAATGTTTGTCGCGCTGGAAATAATCCGCCAACTCCTCCTTTATGTGGCGTTCAAGGCGTCGCTATCCACGGCTGCATCGACATGATAAGAGCTTCCACTGTTGACGCCTGCAAAGCGATTTGTCTCGCCAATCCATCATGTCAAGCTTACTCTGCGTCCGATGAACCGGGAGATTGGTGTTATATCTTTGACAAACCGCACGAGGGACTGACGGCAGATTATCACCGCCACTTGCATACATATGATCGCGACTGTTAGAAGTCTTTTGTTAAGAGATATATAGAGACGGAATCGATTATCGGTGTCGGAAAGCTCTAGCCGAAACCGCAGCCGACATCCGCGGAATCGAATCGGAACGATGGCATCGTGGTGGAGCACGGCAGTCAAAGCTTGGGCAGTGACTAGCGAAAACCCCGCAGTATAATAGACGGAGGACACTCAATTGACCAATTCCTTCTGGAAAAATTCTGTCCCCAAGAACGCAGTGTAGGAAGGGTAATCTCGATATCATGTCAGCCTCGGATTCAGTTGTCTACCACTACCTCGCCATCGGCAAGCTTGGCCGTGGTGAGGTTGTCAAGTAGGTGGCTCTGATCCCTTGCTCGCTGTGGATATACGTCGGGCAGCTACTAACGTTTGCGGTCAGGCTGTTTATGATTGACGCAGGCATCAAATTTGAAGAGCGCTTGTATGCCCGTGATGCTACTTGGCCGGAGACGAAGGAGAAGCTGAAGAAGCAGGGCCTTACTCGCACCGGACAACTTCCTTCGGTCGAGTACAAGGGCAAGGTCCTTACTGGGGTCAGTCACCATCTACCGATCGGGAAAACATGACTGAAACTGACTTGATGTGGGTAGCACGTCCCCATCCTCCGATATCTCTCGCGAGAACTTGGCGCATACGACGGCACAACCAATGACGACAAGTACTTGGTTGATCTCGTGTCAGATATCTACGTCGACTGGAGAGTAAGTCATGAATGAATCTTTCATAGGATGACGCTGACTGGGAATTAGGTTCAATGGGTGGCCAACCTGAAGGGCCTTAACCCTGATTACAAGGAAAAGGATGCTCCTCCGTACTATGAGCTCCTTGGTCAATACTACGCCGAGCGTGAGGGACCATATCTTCTCGGAGATACCGTCAGCTACGCCGACTTTGCTGTCTACGTCTCCCTTGACAACGACATTCGAACAAAAACACTTCCGGTATGATTTAGAATTGTTAAGCGAGTGATGGCCAATCTGACATGCGATACATAGGAAACCCTCCCCGAGTCCATCGTCAAGTTCCGAAATGCGTTCGAGGCTCGACCCAACATTGCCGATTACATCAAGCAGGGCTAAAACATAGACAATCGATAGATAAAAATGCCAATATTGCTGCCTTGCACCCTTCTCTGCAAATTGAACTCGTGAAGTTCTTAAAGACCGTAAGAGCCTAAGTAGGCTAGCATGACTTCATAACCCGCTGTGGCATTAGTCGAAAGAGTGAGACCATGACCTGTACTGGGCTGCAAGTGTACTCCGATATGAGACGCTGCGGGATTAAGACTCATAAGCATATCCATATCATAGGTGTTGTTGCAATCACCATCGCAAAATGGGTAGTCATTCTCGCCGATGAAGTACTAGTGGATCTATCAGCCCAGAACCCATAACACAATTGATGTAGATAACTCACCTGGAGGGGACCCTTGAATTCAGTGGCAGGCTGTCCAACCAGCCCAGAGGACAATTCTCCAACTGTGCCCGTCTGCTTAATCTTCTCAGCATACTCAAGGGCCTCGACCTCGAAGGATCCCTTCTTGAGGAAGATTTGCTGGATGCTGCTCAGACTTGCCTGCACGGCATATCCAGCAGGACGATCGCTGAAGCGCTTCGGGTCATGCTGTCGCGCAAACTCAAAGCCGAAGGTGTTAGCCCCAACCTTGCCACTTTGGTTATTGGGAAGGAAGCCAGTCAGGATAGCACCGTCGCTGAGATTCCCATGGAGTGATAGAAGACCACTTGTCGTGGCGGAACCAAAAGAATGTCCTATGTGAACGACCTTCTTGGGCTTGTAATCGTAAAAAGCCTTCTGGGGACGTTTGCCGGTAACCTTGGATGATTTGAGAAGGTTTCCATCTCTAGCAAGAACAGTGAGTTCTTTCAGGATTGCGACTTGTAGTCCAAGCTGGACGTCGTTATATCCGTCGGCCTTGGTGGATTTGCCAGTTCCGAGACGATCGTACGTAAGGACGGAGTAGCCCCTCGCCAGAGCCGCGTCAACATAGGAATACTCCTGAGGCTTGAGTTCAGGGTCCCAGTATCTGTTATTGAAGTCAACGATAGATTGATCGGCATAATTATGGGCACGACTTACCGCTTGTCGAAACCAAGACCATGGGTGGCGATCTGCAAGATATCCGACTTTTCTCCATCGGTGGGAATGCAGAGTTGAGCGCTGATAGAATAAGTCCCGTGGACGGGATGGAGTTCAGTGCTCCTGTTGGCGTGCGACCAAGTCGAAGTGTCCCAGACAAAGTCTACGAGGTCGATGTTGCTTTCGACTTTGACGGAGTTGTAACGGGTGTTGTTGGCTGAAGCCGTCACGGGAACTTGGAGTTGAACACAGTTCTTAGCGTGTCCTGTAGGCGTTGCGAGTGCAGGCAAAAGGGCTGAGAGCCCAGCCATGAGTCTAGTGACTTTATGCATAGTTGCGGATTCGTGAGTGTGTTGGTGAGAAGCCTGAAGTATATACTCAGTGACGAGGTCTAACATATTGCAAATGTTGTTCTTTTATAGGTGTTCAAGACTGTCATAATCCCCAAGATACGTCATCTTAATCTTTAGCGACGGCTACTGCGATTTGGAATAACTACTGAGCCATGCGCTAAATACGGCGTATTCCAGCGTATAGTAGGCGTAAGTCAGGCGCATCTTCACCTTGAAGCTTACACATGCAGCTCTGCCCCACTGGACTCGCTGTGCATGACAGGACCGGGATATCCGGGGAATAAGATGACGTCCCTGTCTCCCACCGACTTTGGAAGGAGAAACCGAAATGGATGAGATGTAAAAACGAAAATAAATCTCGTAAATTAAATAAGACGGATCAGATGACGAAACACCCTGTGACTATGATCTTGCCTCAAGCTCTCTTCTCCGCCCTCTTCATCTCAACACCAAATGCCTTTGACTTAATACTAACAGCCTTCCCATCCCTTCCATACTTGAACTCAAAGTGGTCCATTGAAAGGCCATTGTAAATAAAGCGATCGAGCATGTGCCAAGTAATGCACGTCACATCCTTGACCTTAGTTAGACCTTCAATCATCTCAGCCTCATTATCACTGAGTGTCGGGAACACTGCTCTCCATGCGGCGCAAGACTCATTCTCAATACCAGTTGGGTACAGTCGAACACTCTTAATACCTGAATCAGTTGTATCGTTGTACCTTCCAGGCTGGAAGCGATTCAAGTTGGGCAAAACGTCGAAGTCTCGGGCAGTCCAGTTACTCAGCACCAGACCAGGCCCTTCATCCGAAGAGAGGGTAAGCGTAGATCCCGTTTTCTCGTCGACGTAAACTCCTGAGAATCGAGCCTTGGCTTCATCCCGAGCTGCCATGTCCATGGCAGGAACCAGTGCCTCTACAATATTAAGAGTCGCTAGTTGTGCCCAAACACTGGAAACCTCTGGTCCCGCACCAAGGACAGACACAGCAAGGCCAGTGTCAGGAACCATGGCCATACCGGATTGATAGCCGCTTAGCGTACCGCCCTTGGTGTATAAATCGATAATGCGACCGTCGGAAGTCAGGTTATCGACACGATAGATCTCCCAAGGCGATCCGACGGACGCACTCCACGTTGATGTAAAAGTGTTTGGTTTGAGCCAGCGACGGGTGTTTGATGGAGAAAGAGCTTTGTCCTTCAGAATACTGGTCACGAAGGAGAGCATATCGCCTGTGCTAGAGCCTATCGCGCCGGCACTTGATTGTGTTAGTGAGGATGTGACTTTGGGGAGGATACACTTGCGGAGCAAAGATTCTGATATCAGCGTCCCAGTCAGCGCTTCCAGCAGGAATGAACATGTTTTTCGAGTTCTCTGGGACGATACCGGAGTATGTTTGCTTGAGACCTAGGGGTTTAAGAACCAGATCGTTGATAGCAGCGTTAAAGGGCTTCTTTGATGCTGCCTCGATGACAAGACCGACGAGACTGATTCCTGCATTGGAGTAGACTGGCGATTGGCTAGGTTGGTATACGGGAGGACGGTACGATTTGAAAATGTTGAGGAAGTCTATCATAGTTAGTCGTGTTGGGATATGTTGCAACTTGTAACTTACCTTTTCGGGTGCAGACTGGCACTCCTGGGAGACCTTTGCAAGATGGGATCTTGTTATTCTTGGACAGCTTCGGGAGGCCAAGAGCTTCCCAGTCGAAGGGGAAAGCAGAAATATCAGTCGTCACTGCCGCCATTAGCACCTACTGTTTTGCGATTATCGGGTTCACTTACTATCTCCGCCAAGGCCAGACAGATGTGCCGCAGCGTCGCCGACAGTGACGTCGTCCCAGTGGATAACATCTAGCTCATCGCCGGAATGAGAGCCTTCGCCGTGAGCAAGTTCTGGAATCCAGCGAGTCACAGGATCATTCATGCTCAACACCTTATCCTCTGCCAGACGCAAAGCCGCAAGAACTGTGAACACCTTGGAAATGCTTCCAAGACGATAGACAATACTGGAATTGATTTTCTCCACACCTACCATCGGATTCATGGTTGAAGGCGTGTAGTGGAAGTCAAGCAACCGGTCATCCTCGTAAATGGACTTGACGCCAACAGAGACACCAGATAGATTGAAGCCTGCGGTTTGCCCCTTCAGAACAGTAGTAATGGTGTCAACGGCATATTGCACGGCGGGATGCTGACTCGCTTGCCTCGGCGCAGGCAAAACAGGACCATAAGGTGGACAATATCGTGGCGTAGCGTCAACGACTTGCTGAAACCCAACGATGAGAGTAAGGAGAGTAGATAAAGACTTAGAGAACAACATCGTGAACGATTGCCCTAGAGGAAGGAGTAGCTGTGACAGTGAGTCAAGCGTCATTTCTAGAGATACCGTAGGCTCTATTTATTATCTCCATGATATTACGTAGATAGGTTTGTCACGGCTGGAATTCCGTTCAGTGGATTTTAGTGAGCACAGCTCCTGAAAAGACCGAGCTGGCCCACTTCCGAAGGATCTAGCGTGCCATTCTTACAGGGATGTATCAACCAATGGCACAGCCCCCAAGACCGAGATTAGCTAACAGTTTCATGACAGCACGAATTACATTGTATTTCTCGAACAGGTCTACTCTGGCAGAAGCACATTCTTATACCACGTATCCCAATACCTCCCATCCGCCCAAAAGTCCTTCCTTGGACCTCTAGTCTCATCACTCAGCATGCCTCCTAGATCTAGACATTTGCATAGTTGGACTTTTGCGAAGTGAGCTGGACTTCCAGCGCCTTTATCTAGGGTTATACTTTCGTATCGTCGATCCAAGTAATCTTGCACCAGACATAGATGAACTCTCTGAATCTCAGGAATATCTGTAGAGGGAGAACCCATGTGAGACTCGCTGAAGGTGGAGGACAAGCTATCCAGCGTGTTCTCTTCAGCTGCGATGACAACTTCTAGTATCTGAGCCTCGATAGCACCGCACCATGGACCTTCTCTCCCACTCTTCTTAAGGAGATCCAATGCTTGTCTTCGCCAGAATGAGTTTCTGTACTTTAGCGTCGCGAAGAAGAGAGGCTGAATGATGCCCATTTCTGGTGTAAACATTGACAAGGAATTTGAAGACTTGTCGCTAGATCGGATGTCAAGGATTGCCTTGGCTGATGCGATGATCTCTTGAAATTCTAGAGCGTAGCTATCAAAAGCTGTCTCGAAGGGTTGAAGAGTATTGGAGACGTATATCAGTGCGGCGTAGCATTGCATTCGAAGGACGACTAGCTGTTCGTTCTGCGGATCTGAGATGCTGTATTGAAGGTCGAGCTGATTGGATAATAGCCATTGTTGCAGGTTTCCTCGACATCTCCCCTGCTCAATCAATAGATCGGAAGGGATCTGAGAAGGATGAGCGTATTTGTAGGGTAATGCTGATGAGATAAAACGATAGCTGGCGTGTAGTATGGAGTATAATGCTCGATCTGGAGGCATCAAGGCCGGACTTGGTTTGTTTGACTCGCCAGTTAATGGCACGTCAAAACTAGTAGCGTATGTCACTGAATGGAGATTGAGCTTCTCAAACAAAGTCGCTAGCCCAACATCATCAATCGAAGAGTTTGCGCTACTGTTCCCGCGTGCGGCCATCACTGCTAAAGCACCTTGGAGGTGCATGTATCCCCTGTCACTTCGCTGCTGCAGAGTCTCAGTGAAAGCCATAAGCAGACATGCGACCATACAGGGCAAAAACCCGTGCCGAAGATTCGAAACTTCGTTTTGAGCTAGCCTCAGTGCTTGATGGTAATGTCGTGTCGTTGCCAATCTCTCCCAAGATCTAAGCATATGCTCATCATAGGAAGCGCCGAATGCAGCGGCCGCAGCTTGCACGACTGGTATTGAATGGATCATCTGTGGTACTGCATAACTCCAGAATGATATCTCAGATTGACTCTTGGCGCGACGTGGTCCTTGAGTGAGAACTGTGCAGGTGAGATAGACATAACGGTCGAGAGAGGACGTCGGGCTGCGAGGGGGAGTACGGGTAGATAGAAGTGCTGCTTCCGCTGCTCTCAGTGACGGACCTGGTGGTGCCCCAATTGGGTAGCCAAGGCATGAGACCTTAGAGAACAGACAGCGTCGACACGATGGCTTTGTCTCATCGCATTTGACTCTTCTTTTCCTAGATCTGTCAGCATTGCATCCTACTCTCTTGGAAGAGTCTTCGTACTTGCAAGTCAGGCAGCCGAACTTTGACTGTTTGACATTGGTTCGCGTTCGCTTTGTACCCTGGCTTATTCCTGTGTTCTCCATGGTTGCATAGTCTACGAATGGTAGTACGGCTGACAGGACAGGTATGAGGGGCAGAAATCACGCAATTATGATGTTCCGGCGCATAGACTCACGCGAGTACCCCTGTTGATTACTAGATACATAAGATGATATATTTTTAGCTACTCCTGCTTGAGTTGCGGATCTCTTTTTCCAAGATATTTTATACAATGTACTTCCCTCAACGTTGTTGGCGAGGCTCTTTTACTCTCGGCGATCTCGTCGGCATTTCAGCTTGCTAGCCCCTGCTGTTGTAGCTTTGCGATGGTAGGTAATATGTGAACGCTAGGACTTCTGGCCCAGGTCATTTGAGGGCAGGTGATACAAAAAACCTACACTAAGTGAGTGCCAGTTCAAATAGTGCCAAGTGAGACTTAGATATCACACCTGAATGAGAGTTTTGATGATTCGTCATATGTATATAGTGGTGCGATTGGTAAGGTCATGTGGGCGATGAATGAAATTGAGAGAATGCCTCAAGGGTGAGTAAATCGGCATTGTAAATCCAAGCGACTGTTACTTGTGCTTCAAGAAAACAATAGATTAAATATATGTAGAAGTGATTGATGCTGAAGTAAGTAGGACTTGGAATTTAGATGGGTCCAAGTATCCGGATTTGAGGCAGCCTATACGATGTCGTAGCACGGCTACACATAGTTGTAGCGTCAACTCCGGGCTTCACCAGCATCAAATGGGTACCACATGTCCAAAAGTCCGCATAGCCATCAAGGTCGCTGAACTTGCACTTGAGCTGATAGAACCCATCGAGCACAATCTCGCAGTCCAAAGGAGACAAGCCATTATCCAGCCCCTCTGCCTCATCCATGACAACAACCAACCTGATATCATTCACGGCAGAACACATGGCCGTTTTTCCAGCCTGGGCGCCATTGCCAATCTTCAGTTTGCCAGAGCCGGGATCTAGTATGAACAGCAGATTCGAGCCGACATCGGAGGTGAAGTCGAGGTAGGATGTACCGGGAGTTGAAGTATCTGAGAGCTTGGTGTAGCCCGCGCCGCGTACCAACTCCACAGCGGGATCATAACTACCGACTCCGAAGAGATAGATTGATTGGACGGCTTCGGACACTTGGGTGGTAGTGCTGGCCTCGGCGGTAGTAGCTGTACTGTCAGCAACAGCAGTAGCAGTGGTAGTGCTTATGACAGGCTCGGTGGTAGTGGTTTCGACCACAGCTGTAGTAGCGGTGCCGATTAGAGCTGTAGTGGTGGTTTCAATCGAAGAAGTTGCTGTAGTAGTTTCGACAGTGATACTTATCTCAACCTCGGTTGAGCTTGCGTCAGTAGAGACGCTGTATCTTGCCTCTGTCGTCGCGGTTACATGTGTCGCGGTCTCGCTTCCAAGAGAGCTGGTAGCGCTCTGACTGGGCAATACTCCAGCACTAGAGGAGGAAGCAGGGCGACAAGGTCCAGCAATGGCCACGCTAGCGGCCAAGACGAGGGCAGTCCTAGCGAAGATGTTTCGCGAAACCATTGTATAACGAATGACCAGAGATAAGTCAAGAAAGACCTGCAAAGAGGATAAACGAGAAAAGAAATATTAAGGAACTTTGTTCTCTTAAATGATTGTAAAATTTTAAAATGCCCCTTTTGCTTGTTGACTTGTCTTAGGGCCGATCTTGTTAGTGCAGATCTAGTTGAGGCTATTGATGGTGGCGTCGATCTAATCCATTAAATTATAGAGAGTGGCTGATGATGGTAATTACCCTGAAGGCACTAACTGCGCTATTGAGACTTAAAAGACCAATAGCCAGAGCTTAAACGTTAAGTCCTCTAGATCAGCTTTGTGACGACCATAGGTCTCTCAACGACACTGGCCACGGAAATGCAACTGGCCGTGGAGAACAGCCATGGTAGAAACACAACCCGTGTATCCAGCGCCTCGTATATAACCGAGGGACTTGTGCGAGACCCTTCCCATGATCGTAATCGACCTCCAGCGAGACATGTTTATTTAGATCATTGAGGTCAAATCCCCCACGATCAGTCTGCGCACGCTGAAAGGACGTGAAAACGTAACAGTCCTGATCACGATCAAGACTCATTTCAGAACCAGACCCACTGTCTTCGTTGTCGGGCTCTTCTGGCTGGACAAATACAGCAACACCTAGAGGCCCAGAACCAAGCAAAGTGGCGGTGCAAAGTAGTTTCCCCTGCTCTATAGCCTCTTCTACCGCATCCACCATACTGAGCAGCCATTCTTCTGCAGCCGAGGATGGCACTTCAAGGTCCATGATCTCGTACAGTCTCTGGGACAGGAGTCCGTAGTGAGGAGCCAGATCCTCCGCCAGCCACTCGAGTGGGCGCTTGGTGAATTGCCAATGCCTTTTCCTTCCGCGTGGCTGTCGACAGTTCTGAAACTGCGTCGTGATGATCTCGTCGTCCAACCGCCATAGATAGCCCTCAGTCTGTATACCGTCTTCTGTCAAAACGACATTGGCAAAGCGGCAGCTTTTATTAAAAGTAAGTTTGGCCTTTTTCCACGGAGACTTCAGTCCGTAAAAGAAATGCTCATGCAAAAATTCCGTGATGGTCATTTTTTTCGAGTCGAGCTTGTCTTCAGGATGATTTGACAATATCTCACCATTCATCAGAACAAGTGTGAGGATTGTTAGACTAAGGCTGTGCTTATCACTTTGGAGCTGGGCGCTGTTCAAGCGATTTGCGTATTGACAGCAATTGGCGATGATAGCTACCCTGTCCCACTCCCTCTCGAGGGTACGACTCGCTATGTCTTCAATAATGCTTGGAGACATTGACACAGGGGCTGAATCCTCGTCATCGGCGAGTAGAATTGTATATCGCTTGGCTTTCAATAGAACAGTATTTAGGCACGGCGGTGGCGGCTTTTGGTCAGAATAGGCCATGCAAAGTTTTGTTGCCTGTTCGTAAAGTCCTGCGGAACTGATCAAGAGCTCTCTGTCCAAGGATCCAAAATGCCGAGCCGCCTTTTCATGGTTGAGTGCTGCAGAATGCGCGATCAAAAGTTTCATCTTCATGTTGGCACGATAGTTTTCTTGGTAAGTCCATCCTCTAGAGAACCAAGTATCCGAAGTGATGTAATGGAGAAGTTGAAGTGCATCCAAAGCCCTTTCCGCAGAAGATAAAACGTAACTAGTTCCTCGTTTTGCGACAAACTTCCCAGAGAGAATATCGGTGAGTAGTTGCAGTTGGTTCGACGTACTGATGGTCAAGGATAACAGTGCCGCTGGATGTTGGCTGAGGCTATAGACCCGGTCCATTGCCTGCATACCTATCTCTTTTTCTTCTCCATCTTCTTGGATAATGCAGTGCTTATCAATCCACAGATGCTTGCATTTCACATGATCCATGTACCGTCTGATCCGGCTGAAAACCGTGTTTCTCACTGATGACGGTTCCCACTGCCATGACTGAATGTCTTGAACCAAGAACCCTCCATGCGGGATATCTATCTCTTCTGGAGAAGGCTGCCATGTGTACGAGAGAGCTACGTACTTTCTTTGTTTAAAGGCATTTATCGTGTCTAGACTCAAAGTCGGTTGTGTCGAGCTGGCATCATCCCGATCGGTGAAATATAAGCACTCGAGCTTCTCGAGGAATTCCAAAGACTTCTGTTGCGGGACGTTGGCTGCCTGAATATGGACTACTTGTGTGACAATGCTTGGGTCTCGATATCGCCTTCTGATGTCACTCAGCGGCTCAAAGAGGTCGTGGCCCAACCAGGAACTTTCGTCCGTATCCATTTGATAAATCTGTGACATTGTTCGCTGGGTAGGTGCGGAGACCAACGTCAACGCCTTGTCTTAGCGGGGATCGCGCCATATAAACCTCAAAGTTATGTCTACTATAGTTGGTAAAGAATCACAGCAAGAAATACAATTGGGCTCACATCTGCAGAGGCTGTGTAATCAGGCAGCAGTCGAGGGCCTCAATGTGAGACGCTAATGCGGATTGGGCACCAATTGTGGCTTCTGACAACCTACATGATGGTGCAGGCCATGTCAGCATCACTACTTGGTTATACACCAGGGACGTGTATATCATATTGCCATCATCCGAGACGAGACTTCGTAGGCAATGAGTTGGAGATCCTGACGCGACCACTAACTCATGTTCCATCTCCTATTAAACACCGTTTCTAGTGCCTTCAGATATCCTAGACCATCCAAAAGACTTTTACATACAAAGCCATGCTTACAGCGATCTTCTGTGTACCTTATAGCCACCCGAAGGTTACATGCACAACAGGAAGCCAAGCTATCAACACCGGAGCGAGCAATATAGTCCAAGTGATGTTTCGCAACATCAATCATGATCGTGGTAATCGTCTCCAACGCGGCTTCAGAGCTCTTTACCCATCCCTCTCTGTTAGCGCCAACTGGCAATAATCCCGCTATGGATAATATCTCGCTGTGTAAAATATGCAGTGACCTACTGTGAAGTCAGAGAGAAGATTGCAGGAGATGAATATGTTCATACCTTATTACTGTTGCGATAGTTCCACAACGCAGACCTGGCTCATGGGGCGTCTGTGTCATAAAGATAGACAGCCGCTCTTGCAAATCTTTGTCCAATTCTTGTAGCTTCAAGAGCTGTAATTCAGATTCGCCTTGCTTGGATTGATGTATCTCATGCAGGCAGCGGTCAAGCAAATAGATAGCCTGTGCTTGTCGACCGAAACTGCTCAAATTGGAAGAGCTCTGAATAGTCGAAGAAGACATGGTGCAATAAGTTGGAATATATTCACCGTTAGATTCTGTGTCAGAAGGTAAGGGTACGTCGGAGTCGGGGCAAACGGCTATGGGATTTCGACGTCCGGTATTGCTGTGCTCTAGTAAGATGAACCTGAAATGTGTGAGCGCGGTGTCAGTCACCAATCAACCACCGTCTAAATTCTAGGGAGATTCTATACCTTTCCAGGACGATGATGGACCACCACAAATTCCACTCTGACGTCGCTTGTAGTCTTGTCTCTTCTTGAGTAGCACCCAGTTTCTCATATGCAGTGTCAACATCAACAACCTGTGCCATTCTAATGCATGCAGCAATAGATATGTAAGCTGAGTCAATCTGGCCGCTGGCATACTCATAAGCCGATAAGACAACACCAGCCTGAACCAGAGCTATGCTAGCATGTGTGATGGCCTGAACTTGAGCGTACAGTGTCTTGACAGTCACATGTACTGCAGAACTATGGAGGAAAGGATCATCCAAGTCTCCACCAGACCGCAGAGTGACAAGGCATATCGAGAGCAAAAGAATAGAGACGTCAGCCCCGGGAAGCCCTTGCTCACTTAGCTCAATATGCTCATGCAGGCGCCGCGGAGCTATGATAGGTAACCACCGCTGAAAGTTGTCGAGGAATCGTTGCCCGGATTGGAGGGGAGATTGGCCGACTACTTTGTATAGGTAGTGCATATGATAAGCCATCGTTCTGTCTAGAGTGGCAGTGGAAATGGACATGGGAAATAATATAAGAGACCATGGTTTGAACGCTTCTGCTACATTTTCGCTCATTGGCGGTGTGTCGCTTTCCGTTTCGTATACGCAATCGAAACCACGTTTGAAGCAGTAAGAACAGGTAGGGAGTTCTTTGCCGCATGCCTTCTTCTTGATTCTGCATATCCGGCAAACCCGGGGTGCTCGCTGTGGTGAAGTCATGATGGACATGGGGTTTAAAGCCTCAGCGATGTCAAAATTGTCTCTTCGGCCGCCGCTACTACGGCAATAGGTTTTCGACAGACAGCGGTTAAAAGGATTAAAAATTAAGTTGGTGAAGTAGAGTCGTGATGCCCGACACGAGATCTTATGACAGTGGAGACCTGCGGCCGCCGCTTTGCCTATGTTTGGTTTAGTGCAGATGGACAAGACGATCATGTCCGGATATAAACTGGGGGATTCTTGGCAAGGAGGCTGTTTTTCGGCTACAGTGCCGAATACTTGCTCATCTCTCATCTGAAGCTTTCCACTACCTGGCAGCTATGAAAAATAGATAACACCGAGGGCTTCTATCAAGGTACTCATGAGTGATGAAAGGAGGGAGTTGAGATTCAACCCTTAAATACCATGACGATGTTGCCGGTAGCATGGAGACCAACTCTTCACTCTATCAATCGACATCATTTCAATCACCCATCTTACATTTACTTCACAGAACGGTTTGGCGGACAGAACTGCTATCTTTCCTTACTCACCATGGCAGCCAACAAGAACCAGTCAGACTCCGAGCAAAGTGTTATGACAACTGAACCATTGGCAGTTCAGGGACCGAAACCAGCCCGCCGATGGTGGCATTGGCATGAGCCTGGCGCCAGCAAAGAAGAGAAGTGGCTCATCTTCAAGTTAGACGCTGCAATTCTGACTTATACCTGCTTGGTATGAAAAACGAACTTTTAAGATTAAGTAACTTGGACTAACAAATTCGGTAAAAGACTTTTTTCGTCAAGTATCTGGATCAAACAAATGTCACGAATGCTTATGTATCTGGAATGAAAGAGGACCTGGACCTTCGTGAGTTCTGCACCACCGAAATGTTACATCTCGAGGCTAATACTCTCTTTAGACGGAAACCAGCTCAACTGGCTGACGACATACTTCAACATCGGCATTATCATCGGAGCACCGTTTTCCACTCTGATGCTAACCTTTGTTAAGCCTCGTTGGTGGCTTCCTGCTTGCACGATGGCTTGGTCGCTGTTGGTCCTAGGAATGCACAAAGCTGAGACTATCAAGACTCTTTACATCTTACGGTCAGACTCATCGAGACTAAAGGCTGGTATAAGATAGGCTGACCAATGAATCAAGATTCTTCACTGGTCTTTGCGAATCCGGTGCCATGCCTGGGTCATTTTACATTGTATGACTGTTTGCGAGATAGGAAGGAATATGCTTACCTAGACCGTCGGCAGATCGGAAGTTGGTATCGCAAGTCGGAGATTAGCAGGCGGACTACTCTTTTCTGGTTCTCCTCTGTGGGCGGGCAGATGCTCTCTGGATATATCCAGGCTGGACTGTATGATGGTCTCACAATACCTGACGAGCATAACCTCACATACCTCTCAGATATCGAAACATGAATGGTCGCCTGGGCTTAGCCGCCTGGCGCTGGCTGTTCATCCTCGACTTTTTGATCAGTGTCCCAGTTGTCATTCTTGGCCTCATCATCTGCCCCGGTAAGAGGAAGCATGTCTATCAATACCATTTGCACTTAACCTAACATATTGTTCTGCAGATGAACCAAAGGCGAAGAAAGTCTGGTGGATGTCTGAAGAGGAGAGACAAAGATGTATCGAGCGAATGGCCGACGAAGGGCGTGACGCTGAGCTTTTCCATTGGGACCGTAGGTTGATCAAAAGAGTTCTGACATCTTGGCAGCTTTATGCATTTTGTCTTGCTTGGGCGTCCGTGGCCCTCTCTTAATCAACTTGATGCATACTGCTAACTGGTCTTAGGTTCATGGAACTCACTTGCGGCGTAAACCTTCAACGATGGATGACACTATGGATCAAATCCCTGCGAGTCGACGGAAAGCCCAAATACAGCACTGAGAAAGTCAACGCCATTCCTACCGCAGTTGGATGTACAGTATGTCACTTCGATTACATGCTCGGTTCGATTGTTGACGAGTATTCTTCTAGGGCCTAGTCTGGATGCTTCTCAGTGCATTCATTGCAGATAGTTATCAGAATCGGGCTCTTCCTATCTGCATTCTAGGCTGCGTGCAGCTGTTCAGCTACATCGTGCTTCTAGTCTGGCCAGATAACGAGTCCTTCCTGATGGCGGCTTATTATCTCGCCAGTGCGTACAGCGCGCTGTCGCCGTTGATATCTGCCTGGTTGAACTCTAGTTGCGGTGGGAAGAATCAGCTGCGGGCCCTAACTACGGGGCTGATGATCTCTATTGGGTAGTGAGTTTGAACGCATTCCAACCCGTCAGCAGACTATCCGTGATGACTGACAGCCATACCTAAATAGCGCCGTTGAGACTGTTGCTCAGCAAGAGATGTTTCCTATTTCGCAGGCCCCCGAGTTTAAGCAAACGCACGGATACGCTTTTGGAATTGCGTGGATAGCTGTCATGATCATCTGGTGCTCTGTGTGTTTGCCAGTGTTCGAGCGATATCGTTCTGCTGGCCACCTGAAATCAGGAGGAGAGTTATAAGGCAATGGGTGTTTGTGAAAGGCTTGGTCTTCTGGTCATGAGGTCACTACTCAGGGCATAGAAATGGATACTGTGTAGTTAAGGCTTGGCCACTTCCAGATACTTCATTAGAAGGACCTCTCTTTGACCGGGAGTCTCTAAAAATCCGGTCCCTCAGCGATGTACTACTAAGAATACCCATGCTCCCAAATATGCTACATTGCCAGAACCGTATTTTCATAATTTTGGAGCTGTTGATTCGAGCCGATAGAACTCACATCTGATGCATACATCGCGCGGGTTACCTCGTATCAGCATCCAAAGTTTGCTGTATTCTCTGGCTCGGCAACCACTTCTCCGCTGGGGTGAACCACCAAGTCAACAAAGCCAAGATCGTCGTGCCAGCCATTATGATGGGCGCGTAGTTCAGCGACTCAGCAGTGACTGGGAAAACATATGGCGAGTACAAGACGGCAACCACCCAGCCATTCCAAAATACTGCAATGAGTTGAAAGGGTTTGCTGAGACGTCCTAAACTCCATGCTGGCTTAGGGAAGTTCTTGGGTGTTAGAAAGAGCCGGGCAAGGGAGATGAGACCGTATGCAGCTGCTGATGGTACACCGGCGGCGGATACCAGGGAGGTGAAAGCTACAGCCGATGGGAGGATGGTGCAGGTGATGATTGAGGCGACTCCCCAGACGACGTAGACAGCGTTACGAGGCTGTCCTCCTTCTACTTTGGAGACCCAGCTGGACCAAGGCAGAACTCCATCTCTTGCCACGGCAAAGACGAGTCGAGATGCTGCAGTAACTGCGATTGCGGTGTTCTGGTTCAAGTAAGCTTCATCGTTTTGGCATAAGTTCCGACCAGAAAGACTTACAAACCAGAGTGCCAGTATGCAAACGATGTTCATGACGATATGTCCACCTTCCCCGAGTATCGCAGCATAAACTGACACAAAAGGCTGAGGACCACCATAAGAGAAGAGCGTTTTCGCGTCTGGCTGTAATGGTGTCATTAAGCTTATCATCCACTGTAATGGGATAATACTTACCACGCAGAACAAGAAAAGAATAACCACGATAAAACCACCGATACCACTGACAACAGTACTCCAGAAAATTCCCCTGGCCGCTGCAACCGAGGCGTTCTTAGTCTCTTCAGCAACATGACCCGAAGCATCGAATCCAATCAGGACGCCAGCAGTAGCAAGATACGAAAGACACCAGTTCCAGCCAGCCGGGGCTCCAGTGCCGTTGTAGGTCGTCATGAAAGCATCGTGTGTTGATCGGAAGCCAAGTGTGTTGCTGGTAGCGATGGGGAGCCAGATGAGGTTGAGGACGAAGTCGAGAATGACAATGCCGCTAGACAGTCCGAAGATCCACTTGAAGTACCGAGCTGCTGACGTTAGAAGCGCTACGGAATTCGATGTATAAAGGCTTACGAGGGAGTAGATTCCAGATGCAGGCTAATGCGAGCATTATTTCTGTGAGGATCCATTGCACGGCCCGAAACTTGACGCTTGATGAGTCGGAGGGAAAGTCTGTGTTGAACACGACGATTTCCTGATGATGTCAGACCAGATGGAATTTTTGATCCTATGAAGGATTACCTACCGAGAGCATGTAGTTCACAGCGGCCTGCGTATTGCCTTGATAACAAGACATGAGAACTCATCAAGGTGACATGGAGGTTCGTACTTACTAGCGCAAAATGTCGTCCAAGCAGTCGTGGACCACCAAGCAACAACAAACCCAAAGAACCTCCCATATCGAGGACCCCCAGCTTCAGCAGCCCAGAGATAAATGGACCCAGCTAGAGGCAAAGAGGAGCAGATCTCGGCAATAACTGCGGCGGTTATGAAGGTGAAAACACACGTCACGATATAACTCGTCCTTTCGAAGGAATTAGCTCAGTGAGGGACACTTACGGGTTAGGACTCACCAGTATGCTAGATTACCACCTGCTGCGATGCCAGTAGAGAAAGTAACGCGCACACCTCCGATGAAGTAAAGAGCAGCTGGACTGTGTTAGATGTTTTGCCGCAGTCTGTTGGATGGTGTGACTGACCAAATGTGGTGGCGAAATTGTGAAATTGATTGAAGCTACGTTGAAGGACCTGCTATTGATTAGTTGCTGCTCAATTGACAGGACGTAATTCTGCTTCTCACAGGTTTGTATCCAAGTTTTTCCTAATATTCCAGTGTCAGCATTGAGTTCTGTGTTTGAGCTATTTGAGCACTACCAACCAGAAGGATGTTGTCAGATGAAGTATCGCTAGAATTGCCGGCTGCATCCCCGCCAGTGCTGACTGGGACGTCATGAGCATCCTCCCGTATTATCGACATTGGCGGTATTCTCGATTGGTCAATCGTAGCTGTTGATTCTCTCTGACAAAAATTCTAAAGGAATTCAAGTGTAAAAATCTTTAGGTTATCTGAGGTATTTAGCTCGTGTATGCAACAGCCGGCTCATTCGGCACAGCACCCTTGCTAGCAAAAGTCAACATGAACACGTTCCTCTAAGCGAAAATCACCCCACTGATAAGAGGATGAGTTCCATAATATTTAATAACTTCTACCACTGACAGTAGAATGATAACACTGGAGCTAGGGTAATTTTTTTAGATCCATTTGCTCGTTCAAAATAACCGATGCCAAGCACGTCATCCCACTTATAACCGTTTGATCGAATTCTAGACTCGCCAGAATGGGAGCATGTACAGAGTAACCAATGCCGTGATAGGATGAATCTACCTGACTGTTCAAGTGCTATTTATTGGCCATTTTACCATGCGTTGCCCTAGAACGCGCCAATGAAGTATCTATAGAGACGTTGACTAATAAAACTGCAGCTGTCATACTACTTTAATCGGTGAGCTCGAATTACTGTGTGAATTATAGTGACCATTTTTAGTTTTAGAGTTAGGGTTTTCATTCATGAGAATCTTTCTTCTCGCTACTCCGCACCACTTATTTCCATCAATATTGACAAGCTCCTAAACTACCATCACTAAGAATATCACCGACTCTACTCCCTGCAACTACACGTCATTATCTGGCTGTCAATCACAGGCGCTGATGTTATCGTGATGAAGATTGCCAAGGAACACGGAATTACGAGAGGTAGTACCATAAAAGATGCTTGAGGTATTTACCGTATATAACAGTCAAGCTTATTCAGCACCAGGCCCTTGCTAATCAAGGTAAATATACTACTCCACTGTTAAGATTGTTTCTAGTATATAACACTAACAATAAAGTAACAAATACCCTATATACTCTAAATCGTAAATCAAACCAACTAAGTAAGAATTAAATAAAAGATCAATATTCTGGATAAAGTCTAAATATCTATATCTAATTTATAAAATTTAACAAGCCGCCCTTATTGTATCCTAAAGCCACTCTTCCTGCCTTCATTGCCTTGTGGCATTTTCCAAGGCATTTTCCAATAGCGCTTATACGTGATTAGTCTGCGGCTGAAAACAGTGTCTTAGGTGCCTAAGAACACGCGTTATTGGCAGAGTTGCAGGGCTTTGGCGAACCTCAGCCAACCATGTTGCCTCTTTTCTCGCGCCTTTCGTTAAGGGCGAAGAATGAAAGAGGCTGCTTATTTCCCCACGCAAGCTATTTGCTCATAAAGCCTGTGGCACGCACCCCGCTACAAGGCTCTTGCATTCTCGTCTTGATCTTCTTTCGCGTTACTCGCGACTCCACACCAATATTCGCGTTTTCTTAGCGTCGACGATGGCAAGACCGGACTACATTGAGATATGCCAAGACATACGATCACAATTCACCATCAAGTTCAAAAAAGCCAAAACAAAAGACAAGTTCGCGACAAGAGGCTTGGTCAGAGATATTCTTTCCCGATCATTGTTGGAAACGCTTTACGAGAGCATCTATGATAGTGCCCCTATCTCGGAGACAGGCCCGAATGCTATTAGCGCATACCAGTTTGTTCGAAGTATAGAGAGGAAAATGCTACACGACTTTTTGGCTGTTCTGTTATACGCAAAGTGCTCAATCAATGCCGTAAAAATCTTTACCGAAGAGCTCGTATTCGGAAGCATGGCGCAAGAGCAGCAAGGGTATAGCGAAACTCCATATCTGCTCCCTGCGACCGAGGATTATCTTACCAATCTGTTCAGCCCTTTTGACGCCCAGGAAATCTTCGCCGAGCAACAGCCGTTCTGTACCATTGTACTTGGCGGACCAGGAGTTGTCACGATTGACCAAGATGATAAGCGGTCCCTGCCATGGCTAGAAGAGGAACATATTGGTTCAGGTGCTTTCGGGAGCGTTTATAGAGTCAAGATACCCAAGGACCATTTGACCATGCACCGAGATTTCAACCAAACCATCAACACTGTCAAGCTAGTTGCTCGCAAAGATTACAAACCCGCCAAAGATATCGAGGAGAGCTTTGAGAATGAGGTGAGATCTATTCGAGACATCTTCAGTGGCAACTCCAAGCACAACAACATCCTCGAGAGCTTTGGCACCCTTATCATCAGAGGACCAGAGTCGAAGTTCAGTCTACTTATGCCACTAGCAGAGATGGACCTGCAGAAGTATATGGAAAATAAACCGGACATCTCTGCTGATGGCAGATGGGGCCGAGAGCGTATCATCAGCGCCGCTATAGGCCTGGCAGATGGACTTGATTTTCTCCATAGTAAGATGACTACAGCTGGAGGTGATCGACTGGTTTGTTACCACATGGATCTCAAGCCTAGCAATATCCTGGTGTTTCTACATGAACCACGACTGGAGGATGCCAGCACAGAGGACAGAGACTACGGCATGACTTGGAAGCTCAGCGACTTTGGCTTGTCCAGAGTCAAGACCAAAACAAAGCCGGAAAAGAATTTGGACAGCCTCTTCGAAAGGAAGATCATTGACCAGTCCAGCCAAGCATCACCGACTCAAAACCATCGAGGAAATGGCACATACCTACCAAATGAAGCCCAGGACCCCGGAAAGACTATGGATCACAAGAGTGACATCTGGTCCTTAGGTTGCATTATCAGCGTGCTATTTACGTACATGGAAGAGGGGCACTCCGCGCTGAAAAGCTACAGTAACTCCCGACTCAAGTACAACAACAAGCAGTTCGACGTCTTTTACCAGCATAATAGGTCCAGCAGGGGTGCTAGTCTGAACGATGCTGTGAAAAGCCAACACAACAAGTTAATTGAAGCCGCGAAAAAAAGAAACGCGGCTGAAGGCGAAGCGGTTTCATATGTACTCAAGTACCTGGAGAGTAGTGTTCTGGTGATCGACCAAAGCAATAGGTGCAACGCAGAATCAATCGTTCAATGTCTAGGAAGGACATTGAAGAAATATCAAATAGTGGAATCGTCAGTCGGGCCTGAATCCCCTGCAGAAAAGCCGTATCCCTTACGCCGGAGACTCAAAGAGTATACACATGACTTTCAAGTCTAATAAGGCGTCAAGACTGACAATATTTAGTGCCCTTATGAATGGTCTCCGCAAGGAGCGCCCTGCTGTGCCAGTCGATATCGACCGCTGGCGACTCGACATAGAAAAGTCTACTCGGTTCAAAGACTTTAGGAGTTCGCCGGATGGCCAATTCATAGCTTACTGGAGTGATAAGACTATCATGGTATTCGACAGAGCCACCACGATATCAAGGACAAATTCTAGCAGTACATTTGGCACCGGATTAAGGGTCACCTCCATGGATAACATACGAGATTGTACTCTAAGGAATGTTGGAAAATATCAACTAGGTGGAGTGAGCTGCTCCTGGAAATCTCTCGGGCTCACAGATTCATACTTGGTGGCTGCTACTACAGAGGCCAAGTCGTTAGAGGTAAGAATAGGTTTCTAAGGCTACTTACACCAGAGTCGTATAGCTAACAGGCCTGCCAGTGCTATGTGTTTGACATTGAATCAGATAAAACGTTGCGAACGTACAGCAAGATCACCTTGCCGTATTCTGGGTTCCACAGTTTGACAGTATCGCCAACCCAGAACGCGATGGCCTGTATCCTAAGCAATAACGATCGAGCAACTTTGTTCACGGCAGTGATCAATACGAGTCTTTCCGAACCAACTACGCCTTCGATTAGGTGAGTGTGTCGCTGTGCTATTTGGTACCCCACTGACATGACTGACAGTCTCTTGTCGGAAACGTCATCGCGCCAAGACTATCAGGATGCTGGAACTCGTTTCATCCAACGGAAACTTCTTGACCTGGACTGTTCGACATCATCAGTCGAGCATATAGTGCTAAGAACGGAAGATGAAGGATATATAATTATCCGAAGCGCATCGACTCTATTTCTATGCCTGTTCACTATTCGCCGTCCGAGGGTGGTGAAGGAGAAGCTGAAGCTTGGAGTAAGTCACCCGCAGTGCATTTAATAAATACTTTCATCTAACACCCATGGCTCCCAGTCACCTACCGGCAGTGTAGAACGGCTGTTTACTGATATGGTTTCCTTCCACAGTGAAGCCAACGAAGCTCAATCGGAAGTCATTGTGGTAGTACAGGCTCAGCGGATTTTTCATCTCAAGTTCAGAGGCGCCGACGAAGCTGCCTCAAGCATCGCGTATCTTCCAGTAGAATACTATCGCATACTCAAGATTGCGACAAATGGTCAGGTAGTCGTCGCTCTAGGAGCGCACTCAGGGAGCAGCCACCTTTTCCTGCTTGAGGTGAAGCTCTCAAGTCCCAGAGTCCGCCCGCAACTTCGAAAGATTGCAGAGCTTAAAGAGGTGTCGACATCCTGTCAGGCTAAGCTGAGTGTGATTGGAGATTGGAGCGAACCCATTGTCTTGATTACGACCGCGACACCTGATGGACAATATCGTGTATATCACAAAAGATTGATTAGTTTAACGAGTAATAATACTTGAGACGCATGACTAGCTCCATGCTATTACTACATGCTGCCTGACTCCATGTCAGAAGACTCTTTTCTACTTCTCCCACGCATGAGTGTCTTGGCAATTGTAGCACTTCCTACTATGCGGCCAATAAGAGTTTTATCTTGAAGAACATGATACAGCAGGAGAGTGCCGATAATAAGACTAGCAGCAGATAATAAGTATATCCAGATCATGGATGTCATCAAAATCCGATCTCCATTGTCGTCAAGATCAAAGAAGTTCATCCCAAAGAATGTCTACTACCTGTCAGTATTATACATATATAAAGGTCTCAAGTTTGGACTTACTGATACAAATGATGCCGGTAAATAAAATAGGGTTAATGTAGTAATGAAAACAGCAGATTTATTTAACCGAAGCATGTTATCATTCTGAGCTTTAGCGTATAACTGTTCCCGGAATGATAAAGTATTTGCAAGCAGCTGAGTGTTCTTCTCAGCTAGTTTCTGTAGATACTCTGCCACTCTAACATAGGAGCGACAGTTAAGTTGGTGGCTAAGAAATTCCGTTAATGCCGATACGCCTGACTCTCTATCATACCCAGTCGAATCAGGATACCAGTTGCGACAGAGAGTAGACAAGCCCTCTGGCAGCTCGTTTGAACTTCCCAGCATAACCGTTGTCTGGAGCAAGCGGCTCTCTAGATAGGCTAAGTCGGTGAGATGGTGGTACTCAGCTTCCGTCAATTCTTCGATCCGCGTAGCTACTGCTTTGTTCGCCTTGTAACCTGTTAGCTCAGAGCTATATCCTGAGAGGTATCCGTACAATAGGGAGAAGCCTTTTCTCTAGGTATACATTGTATAGCCTCCAAGAGGCGAAATATGTGTTAAAGACTTGCTTGTGCAGCGAAAAGACGTTTTTCACCTCATTTCTGGAGACTTTAGAAACGCAGTCCTGCACAACTTGATGCAATTTGGAACCTGGGATAGGATTGAACAGAATACAAAGATTCTGATTTGTTTCGTTGTTGAATCTCTGGTAGATGCCGCTCTGTCTGATGATCCAAGTACCTTGAGAAGCCTTGAATTCAGGATATCGAATTGTATAGGACACGTCTACACCGTTTATGAGTTACACAATTTCTCTACCTTTCGTAAATGCTTACCTGTTACTGGCCCATCACGAGACACTGTAAGAGGAACGCAAAAGGTTGATTCAACGTCGAAGTCTTTCGCATAAAAACACGAGGCCACGTCCCAAATTGAGGGCTTGAGTTTGAACTTATCAACGAGAAAGCTCAGCATTGGTTTGGTCAATTGTAACGGCTTCCAAGACTGAAGCTGGCACATCGATCTAGTTGCCCTGCATCAGTCCGGTATCTGCCACGGAGGGAAAGCTCCGACAATACGTACATAAAGTGGTAGGGTTGCTCAAGGATTTCATTGCGGCTGAAATGGGATTGGATCTGCTCGAAGGTCGAGAACTGATGGACCTCAGCCGCAGAAGAATCTTCCTCCGATACCCCGGCACCTGTACTGATGACCCTCATTGGTTCAGTGACCTCATTCACGAAGCACGGGTGAGACATATCCATTGAGACAAGAGATAACGAAGGAATATGCGTCAGATTTCTAAGAAAAGAGAAATAGGTAAATATCGGAAGTTAGGGATATGAAGTCTTTGCACCTTCTATTTCATTTACACAAAGCTCAGCTTCCTTTTATCCCAATTATAAGGTTCTCTTGCAAATCTGCCTCATAGCCTGATCATGCCCACCAAGCTAGCCATATACGCCACGCTGCAGTCAGCATACCCGGCATGCTGCCTGTGAGCATCATCGAGATTGAGGAATCTCGGCCTTCCTGGTCGTCGTCAGCTATCGCTACAGATGATCTTGTAATTGCGCTTACGCGAGTTCATCCTGCCCGTGTGTTAGTAGCAAATACGTTATAAACGACCATTGTCGATCTATCTTACTCGGGTCACTTGCCTGGGGGCTCTGAACGCCCACTGGTCGTTAGTCATCTATAAAGGCGAGTCAGCAGAGGCAAGCCCAGGCGGAAAGGTGTCAAGCCTACGCGGAGTCCAAAACTCCCTTTTCGCTCTGGGAAGAGACCCTCGAGGATTCTTTGCATCTTGACGCCATCGTAGTAGCGAATGTCGAAGACTTGATGTACCTGGACCTGTTTGGACTTGCCCATTGTGGCTTTGCTGTTGAAGTGCACCGCTGTTTGCTTGATGATGATGACTATTTTCTTCGACAGCTGTCTCTTAAACTGTATTTGTAAAATCTCCAGTCTATGACTGCGTACTTCGCGGTGTCGCAAAGAATTTGAGCAAACCTTGGGACATGATTTCAGGTGACGAAAGCCAAATTTTCACCCTTTGTACGACCCGACAGCGGGGTTGAAAACCGTAGAAGGGATGAAAGCTCGTATTAGGCCTTGGCAAACCGCCCAACCACAGTTCTCTCATGCCTCGAGGCGTTTGGTTGGTTATTGCAAATGTGATAAGCCTCTTATGCATGTTCCGTCGCAAGCCACATGCAAGGAGCCAATATTCCAGCCTCCATTGAATGGATATTGACTAGGCAGCCATGAACTCATCAGCCATCTTATGCATATTTTGCCAATTACGGCATTCTGACTGCTGTAGACTTATGCAGTCTCCCTTGAGAGCGCAATCAGAGGCTTGGGGCTGAAAATGACCAAGTCTAGATCTGATCGCTACGAAAAATGACGGAATGATACAATCAGGCTCCAGGAAGCCTTAGGCGAAACATGTCACCCAGGCAGACCAGCTGAGCGATGCTTTCTTGCCTTCGTGCTCTTTGGCGATATTAATCGTTGAAAGGCGACTCAACATGTCTCTTGCTGAACATCATATGATGGCGTTACACTGTGGAATGATATATTGCAACTAGAATATCATGGTACTATCAATTAACCAGGTGCCATTTCCTGATGTGAGACCTGGAATCGCAGTGGGGGGTTGGGACTGAAGCCCCCCTAATCTGCCTCGTTTCTGGAACCGCCAGCCTTACGCCTCGGCGGCTTGGTTGGCGAACGGCTGCGAATGAAATCACCCCATCCCTATTAATCCATTTCTTCTTAAAGAAAGGCTCCTAGCATGCCATTCGTATGATCCAAAGTCCTTAAACATATTTCTTATCAGGCAAGATGTCTGAGAACGCATCCGGTCGGGGAGAAGCGCCCCCAGCTATCCCTCTTAGTCTATTGTCTCATGGTCACGGGCTAATTGACAGCGGCTCAGTAGCAAGCAACACACCTCTTGCTAGGGATACTTCTGTTCCGCCTGATTGTGGTGGTGATAACCCAGAAGCCCCAGCACGATTTGAAATAACCCACGAAGGTGAAACAGAAGCAACTCAACTTCCTATCCACACAGTTCGCCGTAAGCTTAGAGGCATTCACATCTTTGTAGGTCATCCCCATTCCCAGACTGGAGCATAGAGCCTGTCAGACCTAACATAGAGATAGATGATTGCTGTGAACGGTACCCTTGGCACAGGTCTTTACGTGCGAAGCGGTCAGATCCTCGAGCTTGGAGGACCCTTGGCTGTTATATTCTCCTTCCTCTTCCTCGGAATCTTGACTTGGCCGGTGATGCAATGCATCGCTGAACTTCTATGTCTATGGCCCGTTCCAGGAGCAGTCCCCCTGTTTGTAGGAAAGTTTGTCGACAAAGAACTTGGAGATACTGTTGGCGTTGCGTATTGGTATGTATAAAGGTGTCGACCATAAGAGATAGGACTAGACTAACTTATCGTAGGTATACATACTCTATAGGATTCGCCGCCCTGATCGCCACTTCTGCCAGTGTCCTCAATTACTGGACCGCAGGAATAAGCGGATTTAGTGAGGGGTTTGCCTATGTTGCGCTCCCATTGATTCTCGTGATAATAAATTCTGTCAAGGTTGAGGTATACCCAGTTACGCACCAAGTGATTTCTCTTCTGACGTTCTGACAAGATCTACGGCTGGATTGAAGTCATCACCGGAGTCATCAAACTCATTTTCTTGGCTATTATTATCATCTGCCTTCCTATTGCCATATTCAGGTTTCCCAGAAAGGGGGGAAATGGTTCCAAATCAACAGGTAACTTAACATCTAACGCATGATGGGCTTCGCCACTGATACTGCCCCATATAGATGAAGCGCTTAACAGCACGAGGTCAAGTAAGTAATCAAAGTAGTAAGTATACATCTTGGAGAATAGTCAACTAATATGGTCTACCGCGCAGGTTGGAACACCCCCTTCAGCAAATACAATGACAAGGCCGCCGATAATTGGTTCGAAGCGTTTATGTAAGTATTTCTGGAATTCCAGAAACTACAGTCACCTTCTAACGCTCACAAGGATGTGTCTGTCGCTTGCTATCTTTGCGTACGCCGGGATCGAGAACATTGCTGTCTCCGTCATCGAAGCACGTTGGCCTTCTCAGCCAGCAACACAAGTCTCGAGCAGAGAATCTTCAGGGATATTTACGACTCAGGCTTCAGGATCGCCACCAAGGGACGCCTCACCCCAGAAGCACAACTCGGCTCGAAATTACGTCAAACAAACAATTGGGTTCACAGCATTTGTTTTACCCATACTAGTAGCTTCTGCGTACACCATCAGTGGATTATTCGTGTCTCTAGGTCTAAAAAGGGACGACTGCGGTCTTCAGAGGTTGAGCTGGCTGAAGGACGAAGATTGCGGGAAGCCCGAGACTGACAAGGAGGGCTTCACGTTCTCGCCTTTTATTCTAATCGCAAAAGCGTCGACCATTCCCAATCTTGACCACGTTTTAAACGCTTTTATCCTGTTTACTGCACTCACGTGTGCTAATACTAATCTATATGTCGCTTCTAGGACACTTTTCGGTATCACGCGGAACATCCGCTCCAGTGATTCGATGCCAGCAGCTTTGGCCTGGTTTGGTGTTACGGATCGCAACAGAGTACCACTACGGGCGATGGTCATCACTGCATTTGCTTTCTTTTGGGTGCCGTTTCTCCAAGGAACGAAAAATATCCATACTGGCTCGGATGCTGGCAAGTTTCTTGACATTCTTGTCCAGATGGGCTCCGTCAGCATCATCATTATCTGGGCTTTTTTATGCTTGGCATATATCCGATACCATCACTGGTAGGTCATCTGAGTGTTTATCCTTGAAAATATCCTTACAGGTGTCAGCATTCGTGAGTTTCGCGACGAGCTAGCCGAGGATGGCATACGCCTAGCGGACGATCGTGAAGCTGAATCCGATACTTATCCTTATCAAAACCACTGGCAGCCAGTCCTTGCGTACGGCGCGCTCGGAACCTGTCTTTTTATACTAATTGTTTGCAATGGGGTTTTCTTGTGGAACGGGTTCCATGTCTTCCCGTTCTTGATGGGGTATCTGACGGTGAGGGTACTAAAGATCATAACCAGATTGCAAACAGCTAATCGAACACAACAGACTATTTGTTTCTTCGGATTTTGGGTGATATTGAAACTATATAAGAGGGCATGGTCACCTTGGAATACGCTTGATGCCAAGGCCATCAAGGATTTAATAAAGCAGCTGAATGATCTGCGAGATAGATCCTTGGAACAGCCTGAGGATGATTCAGAGATCACTCGGTGGAATTGGATCCGGAAGGCAATTGGGAAGGATAGATCTGGTCATACTGGGGCAAGATGAGATAATAGAAACTCCTTCTTTATCGTGTCTAGCTTTATTTTAAGGAATCATAGCAAGAAGATGTACAAGGAGAAGGCCTAACGGCCAGGATAGGCAGAGACATGTTTCGACTCGACTGAGCTGATAGCCTGTCACCAATGGGGTCATTTGTTATTGAAAACATTGCTTGTTACAGTTTAATGTGCCAGTGATGAATAGATTTTGGAGTTGAATCTAGTATCTGATCTGATGCCTATACGAGCAAAGTATTACAAGCACTGAGAATACCACTGGTTCTGCTCCTTGCAAGTATATGGTGAAGCACACACAGTAGGTCCAGTCCACGAAGCGCCTCCACACTGCCCATACCTCGGCACACTAGGTCCGCCAGTAACAGTTGGCTTAGACGTAGTCGAGAGAGTAGTACTCTGCTTAGACGTGACCGTAGCAGTAGCAGTAGCAGTTGGCTTCGTAGTCACGCTCTCGCCATTAGCAGCATTAACAGCAGCAGCGTGCTGGTATACCAACGGCTGAGCCTCATCGTCCTCAAGATAGATAGTGTTTCCATCGTCGTGATTCTTTCCGTATGAGAATTTACTGGTGCCGAACTGCCAGTACATGTCGCTGACCTGAAGATCAAGCGAAGCCTTTTGCCATTTGCTCAGGGTAGCGATGCGAGTGGACTTGTCGGTCCAGCCGTATTCTTCGTGAAGAACGGGCTTCTTGGCTGTGACACCAGCAGCGGCGTGGTCCTTAATCCATTGGACGACCCAGTCAGTTGTCTTGCTCCAGTACTGAGGGTAAGAATGGAATGTGTTGAAGTCGATGTTGGGAAGCTTAATCTCAGCATCGAAGTCAGTGCCGTCAGCGCCATTGTAGGTCCAGTCATCCGATTGTCTGTTGAATCCGCCTTCACTTCCAGTGGTAACGAGATGGTTTGCGTCGAGGGACTTGATGTATGTGCTCATCTCGCTGACCCAGGAAGTGATGGTAGCGGGGGTGCAGTCGGGTCCACGGGGAAGGTTTCGAGTTCCATCGGCGCCGCAGCGGGGCTCATTGGCGATTTCCCACGCAAAGACGGCGGGAGAGTCCTTGTATCGGCTCACAACGGCGGAAATGTAGTTCTTGAAAGCCTTCTTGATAGCAGGGAGACGATAGAACTGCATAATTAGCTTGGCACTTTCGCAGTCCAACGCGCTGGGAAACTCACATCATCATGGTAACGGCCACCTAGGTTGACGGTATAGACGTCCATACCACCGTAATCAGCCCAGTTATTAGTCAAGGCCAGAATGAGCTTCATGTTAGTGTCCTCGGCAGCCTTAATCACCACATCAAGCTTGCTCAGATCAATCTTGACGCTTCCGTCCTTCTCGAAGAACTGCATGACAGTGTTTTCAGCGCCAGTGCCGTACTGGGGCAAACCACCAGAGACATAGGTCCTGTTGTTGTCGTGGAAGGCCCAGGTGCGCATGACTTTGAGACCAGCGTCTTTTGCAAGCTGAAGGCCCAGCTTGACATCGGAGTAGTGATCGGTTCCCCACTAACATGGTCAGTATGCTTGATCTACATCCATTGCCAGATGACTTACGACGTTGAAAGGGAGATAGTAGGCATTACTACCAGCGAAGAAAAAGTCCTTTCCGTCAAGTTGGAACTTTGTTCCATCGGTAGTGACAAACCCAGCGGGTACAGCCAGCGCCGGAACGCTGGCAAAAGCGGCCGCGACAATTGAAGCAAACTTCATCTTGAGTGCTGAAGAATGACTGAACTTGATCAATTCTGCTGATCATGATAACAGCGATTAACAACATATTTTATAGTTGTTACATTCGGCATGCAAATTACACATGCTATTCCCCTCATCCCCATGGGGCGATAAATGCAGCATACCGGAGCTCAACACCCCGTGATATCCGGATTCGGAACGGGAGTCGACGATCGCCCAGATACGGGTCGGAAAGCCGCGATAATCGACCCGTTATACTTTTGGAAAGACAGGTAGCTGGCTTTTTCATTTCTGGGAGGGTTTGTCACGCCATGATTGGCAGTGGCCATTTGGTCTGTGCCGCTGGGTGACAAACTCTAGACACCGATCTTGCATGATCAGAAGAGATTCACATATACCCCCAATATAGTCCACCAGTTGGAGCGATGCAACCATACTGCATAACGAACCTGCACGAGCAAGGACAATGCATTAACCCTATTTCAGAGGGTTTTCTACCTCCGTGATACCGAATGTTATATAGTCCAGGCCAAAGGAGCTAATATCACTCATATATGATATCATCGTGGCTTGTCCTCTCAGCACTGAGCCCATATATGACGTTCTTCAAACCCGAGGATATCTGTGCTCTACGCGTATTCGCGTGTAGTACCTATTCAAGCAGGTAGGTGAACTATGTACTGACGAAGGCATATATGTGCAACGTGCTGTCTAATCCGCGCTTCTCCATCGGAACGTCACTGGTTCCAAGGGGTTATAATTGCCTTGCCCTTCATATCCTTCAAAGCCCATCCAAGGTCGATACAAAGTGACACCATCATCATCCGTATCCTCCTCCGTATAGAAGTTCCGGAAAACACCAGTATCCGCTTGACAATCCCAAGCATCATTGTCCCTCGGAGGGATGGTATAATGTCTACAGTGGCCAGCAGAAATTGAACAAGAGAGCTCGCCGCCAGACTTGAGGTCGCATTTGATAGGCGGGCCGAAGTTTGTATCTGACGCCGAGCAGTCGACGAACCAGCCTGGGTTAGGTGCTGTACCTGAACCCCAGCGAATGCAGATGAGTGGGAAATTGGGGTTCCATGGGTCGGCGCGGCGGAGATAGCCTGTGCCTTGTTCAAGGATGAGGGCGACGGGTTCCCAGGCTGAGTTGGAGGAGAATTGGAGATTGAAATAGTTTTCCTTCTGACCCATCACTATGCCATCCGCTGGGCCGCCTTCAGCAATGATGTTGAAAGTTGTGACTGCGGGTTCTTCCGAGGTCGTTGTTGTAGGTACAATCGTTGTAGTCTCAGTCGTGTCGAGTGATGTAGTGAGGGTCGTAGTGCCAGATTCAGTTGATGTCAAGGCGAGCGAAACATCGGTCGTAGAAGTCTCAATGGTCTCTGGTACAGTTGTACTGGCTGTCTCTGTAGAAGTGACTCCAGGCACAGTCGCCTGAGTTGAAGTTACCACGAGCGCATCAGTGGATTGAGAAGCTACAGAGGCTTATTAGATGGTTACGTTGACCCATGCGCTCACATAACTCACAAAAACTGGGTTTGCAAGGGCCTGCTATGGCGGCCGGGAGCCCAAAGGCCAGTGGAAGAATTGAGGTGAGACGCATAACGAGAGACTTGCCAAAGGGTTTTGGCTTGACAGCGTTGAAGAAAAAGGGAAGGAAAAGGAGAGTATTAGAAATGTTCGGGTGGCGGCTGTCAAAAAGTATGGGTTTAAAGGAGACCCTGGCAGTTAGCCCACATCAGAAATCGATAGTTTCGAAGCTATCGACAATGCCAAGATGTTCTAGAGCTGTTATTTGCTGGAGCCCCTTGGTCACAAACAGGGGCAGGTAAGCCACCAATTTAAGTCTTGCGGAAATAGCGGTTTTAGCAATAGAGTAATTTTTAGAGCATGGGAAGGAAGTAAATTAAGTGTAGATTATACTTTGTAATGACTTTCATAGTAGATGATAAGCGTTACTGCATAAATAACGGCTCAACCCTCGAAGAACCCAAGGTGCGGAAATTGAATGGCTACTGAACGGCTTATCGATATAAACCTAATTTCTGTTGTAAAACGTCATCCAATCATCGGTGAGATGGCCGAGTTGGTTATGGCGCCAGGTTAAGGTTAACCTTAACACCAATTTCCTGGTGGAGCAATCCTCCTGGGTTCGAGTCCCAGTCTCATCAGATTATCTTTTTGCGCTTCTACCTCCTGAATTTAGCTGATACAAGGGTAGCATAAGGGTTCCTTTCTTTTTTTGATATTCTTAGTCGCTCTAATTAGGCCATTTATGAAAGCGTATAAGCCAGAAATAGCCTAAAAGTCAGCTGATATTATTGAGGCTATGAGATGAGATTATCTATTGTAAATAACATGCATATACTGTCTTGACAAGCTATGCAGTTGCAGCTGCCCCTGCCATTTTCTTTGCCTTGACGTTCTTCCACTCAAACCCGAATGAGGTAATCAGAGCAAAACATCCCATGCCCAAGCCAAGATACCAGATAGACCGCATCGAATCGTTGTACGCATTCAACACCAAGTCGACTTTGTCGGAAGGCACGAGCTTCCAAAGATTCGTTGCGCCACTGTTTGCAAGCGTGTTGATGTCAACTCCAGGAACATACTGTGCGATTTTGCTCTCGAGTTGTCCTTCAAGTAATGTCTGCGAGACGGTGACAAACACTGTTCCACCAAGGAAGGTCAAGAAGTTCAAGATTGAAAGGCCAATCGGGCTGTCGCTTTCTGAGAGAACGGTTTGAACGGCGATGGCGGGTTGTTGTAGCGTCAAGCCCATGCCTGCTCCTGTGATGATCTGCAATGGTCAGCAAGTAACGCTTGACATCATATGGATTGAACATACCTGATAGCCGATCCATTTGGCCTTGGTAACATCTGCCGTCCAGGTACTTATCAATGCCGCTCCAACAATAAACACAGCAGCTCCAGCAATAGCAAACGGCGTATAGTATCCAATCTTGCTAACCAAAACACCACCGAGAATTACACAGAACACATTACTTAGTAGAAGCGGTATCAGGGCAATACCTGAATCTTGCGGCGACTTGCCTTTGACCACCTGGAACCAAACAGGAAGGTAAAACGCGTAAATGACCAGTATAGAACCAATAGCCAGGGTGTTTAGGTAGGCAAAGAAGGTTGTACGCTGGAAGAGAATCCGTGGGGGCACTGTTGCTTTTTCCTTCCTCCAAGCCTGATAGCCTGCGAAGATGAGGAACAAAACACCAAAGACGACAAAGAGAGCGATGACGCGTCCGCTTGTCCACTGTTGGTTCTCCTTGCCATACTCGAGCGCGAAGAGAAGACTAACGACCGATCCAGCAATCATGAGGAAACCCAGTGGATCAAGGTCAAGGAATCTTTGACGCCATGACTCGGGTGGTTCGCTGGGAGGTGGTCTATTCGGTGCCAAGATGAACAGGAGGATGAGTGAAAGTCCGCCGATGGGGACGTTGATCCAAAAGCACCAGCGCCATGTAACAGAGGTAAGATAGCCCCCAAGAATCGGCCCCAAGATCGACGAGATTCCAAAGGCAGAACCGAGTGATCCGAGATATTTGGGTCTCTCCTCCAAAGGAAACAGCAGCGTGATGTAGACGAACGCGCCAGAACCAATCCCCGCGCCTCCAATGCCAGTGATAGCTCGTCCAACGATCAAAGCATTGGAGTTTGGTGCAGCAGCACAAACAATAGACCCGATTTCGAATATGGCGGTTAAGATGAACAGAACCCATTTGGTGGAGTAGTATTTGAAGACGAGGCCGAAGGAGAGCTGGAAGACGCAGAGGGGGAGAAGGAAGGCTGATTCGTACCAGGCGATGTCGCCAAAGCTGTCGAATTCGGCGGAGATGGATGGGATTGCTGTGCCAATGATTGTGCGGTCCTGGGTGGTCAGTAAGATGCAAGGGATGTATGAGGGTTTGCTTACCAGAGCGACGAGGAAGAATACGAGAAAGAGAGCTAGCATTGTTGGTAGGACGACTTTCTTTGGTGGATATGTCTTTTCGTTGGCTATGTCGGAGGACGTGTTTTCCATGTCGACGCTCGGTCTGTTTGGCGGCATCTTATCTTTGGCTTCCTTTTCGTCCATCGTGGCAGTAAACGATGTAGGGAGACTAATGCTTGGGCTTTGTTTGGCTGGTTATGAGGAGAACTTGCTATGCTTGCAAGAGTAATTGTCAAAAAAGATTGATTGAGTCGAGTTTAGGATGATTGAATCAAGCAATAAAACGAAAGACTTTCTGCGAGGTCTTAAATAGAGAAGAATTCTTTTATGACATTCCCAGTCAATTACATACCCTGCTTGATCGTCAAGCATCATGTCAATCAACCAATCAGACATCACCTTTGAAAATCTCGGTCTCGGTACCGAGCCCGAGCTAACCACTCTCACCACCAAAAAACTCGCGGGGTCGCCCGAGCTTTTAATTAAACAACGTCATAGATCTCAACGCGACCGATCACCAACCGTCAATATCAGCATAAAGATCACACTGCACATCTCCCAAATGAGGTCTCAAGCCTGCGAACCATGTGCAAAGCGCAAAGTCAAATGTGACAGGGCAGAGCCGCCGTGCTCTAATTGTAAGCGCCGCAAGCATGATGTTTGCACTTACCCTGAAGTCTCGCCTTTTGAGAGGATTAGAAAATTGGAAGAGGCGGTGAGAGCGCTGGGTGGTGATCCGTTATCTGATACGCCTGGAAAATATAGGGGACATAGTGTGAATGCCAGTCCTGCGGCAGTGAGTAGTGCTGAGACGCCGATTATCGTGCAGGAGGAGGGAAAGTCTGTTTATCATGAATCGTGAGTCAAACCAAAGCTTTCCTGAGTATAAATTGCGAAACTGACTCTGGTCTCTCAGAGAAGGATGGCATACCTGGATCGATGTTTCACGTCTTTACAAAGGCTCTAAAACAAAGTTCAATGCTTCTGATCCTCGAGGTTCAGCCTTATCACCCGGAAAACACCTCCCCCACGCCTTTCACGGCTCACCGTGGCGAGACAACACCATCCTCTCAGAGAAACTCGACTTCTGCCCGATACCGCAAACAGAATCCCTCAAACTATGGGATTTCTTCATGGAGCGAGTCGAACCTATTATCAAGATCAGCTTCAGCTGGACTCTCAGTCATCTCAGAGCCGCATTGTCTGATTCTGAGAAGTGGAGGAGCCTTGACAACGGCGACCATGTGCTGATATTGTCAACTTGTTTATTTGGTGCTACGAGTTTGACGAACCAAGAATGCTTAGATCTATTCGGTCGCACGAAAGCGTCTTTGACGAATGAATGTCGCGTTCAATGTGACATGGCATTTTCAAGGATAAGCATGCTTGCTATCGACAGCATCTCGACATTGAAGGCTATGAGCCTATACATCGTGAGTTACTTTCTACAATTCCACTGAGGAGGGACTAATATGATGCCAGAAAGCCAACATCGACGTCTTGACTTCCCGTAGCATGTGGACTTTGATGGGCCTCATCTCCCGAAGCGCAGAACAACTCGGCATGCACCGCGACGGCGCAGTACTAGGCCTTTCGCCCATCGAGACAGAAGAACGTCGTCGACTCTGGTGGCATCTCCAACACCTCGATCTTATTCTCTCACTAAAAAATAATGTTACTCCCTTGTCCTATCGAGCAGGCTCGGATGTCAGACTTCCTCTCAACATCGAAGATGACGATCTCGATCCAAGTTCGACAACACCGCCCAAAGAGCGAATTGGTCTCACGAGTTTCTCTTACACGCTGTTTAATTACTGGAAAATGGATAGGCAGCGCAATTTTCGAATGACGCAGGCGAACCAGGCTACTGCGGGTGATACGTCCCTCCTAGGCTGTTTGGCCGACTCTGTGATCGATGACCTCGAGGCTGGGCTCAACGAACACTTTCTGCAGTATTGTGATCCCATCAACCCGATGCATACGATATTGCAGATCTCTGCGAGGGCTATTGTTAACGTCTTACGGCTGAGAAAACTGCATGACGCTCGTATGCGATCTCAGAGTAGTGATGATGCATGCCATGTTGAGCACTTTAATGCTTGTATGCAGGGAATGCAGTATATCGTCGTTTCTCATTCGAATCTCCAATTGAAGCCATTTTTATGGCTCGTGGAGAGCTCATTTCTGTGGTACGCTTGTAAGTGACAGTACAAGTACCGTCTAACGTTCAACGGCTAACCTGAGCAGTTATTGGAATCTTGGTCGACATGTCAAACTTGAAAGACATCACGCTTATCAAATCAGCCTGGACGCTACTCTCGCAGCTCTACGCCGTAGCAGATCATATTTCAGATTTTGAAGACGACAGGAGAAAATCTCATGCTGCAAGATCAGTAATTGCGACGTGGTATGAGTGTCGCCAGAAACCAGGTCTGACTGAAATGCAGAAGCCAGGGTTTGTCTCCAAGCTTGAGAAGGACTTGGCTGAGCTGGAGAGCAAGGCAACATCAGACAATGGGGGGGAGTTCAGTGAGGTACAGGAGGTCTGGAAAACTGGGCCTGTAGAGGCTGAACTGCAGCCATTTGGATTCGAGTTTGCGGACATCGACTGGGCGTTCTGGGATAATATTAATTAGATCCCGCTTGCTGTGTATGCATGCCACTTAAAGAATCTGATGATGGAGATTTAAGATACATGTGGAGTAGACAGAAACGGGGAGTAACCCCGAAGAGTCCGCATAAGCAAGAGAACAGGGTCTGGCCAGGGATTTGAGATATGTCAATCGGTTCGATTGAGGTATTATGCTTAGGGGTGAGCTTCCTGTCGTACTCGCGGAGAAGACGTATGTTAGAGAGATTGCATCACGGAATGAATTTAGTGAGAAAGGGACGAACCCAAGAAGCGGGGGTTTACTTGCTCCAACTAGCCACGTTTCTTCTGTAGACCTTATAGAGTTGGACCTCGAAAGTCCGCACAACCTAACGCCACGGCATATCTTATCGTAAACCTCAATTGCAGAGAGGCCGAGTCCCACTGTACAAATGACAACTAAAAACCCTTCAAGGTTCAGTCTCGCAGTCAAGCCACCAATTGCGTAAAAGGACTGCTCCCCCTCATAGACCAAGGCTGCCGAACCGCATATCCAGAATATCCTCCGTCCAAGTTATAATGAAATCCCGAGGTCAAATGGTTCGCCGCATCGAGAAGAAGAATGTTCGGCAAGGTAACCACAAACGGTTCAGTTATACTCTATACAAGGGACTTGTGCTGGGGACTTGCGCGTCCTCCCGCTTGAATGCTGGCACCAGCCATAATTCAACAGGTAGGTCCCTGAAATCCTGGTTTTTTTGATACCACGTTCCCAGCCACCGCTCCTCTAGCAACTTACTTGCCGCGTTACGTTGCCGGCGATGTTCTTTCTCACGTATCCGTTTTGCTTTCTCTTCTTGGATTTCGTGACGCCTCTCGACTTTGAATCTTTCTTTGATAGCTCGCCGTACCGTAACTCCGTCAAGCTTGTTTCTTATTTCAATGTCATCAGAGGTCGTCAGACATATTATCGCGCGCCTGATGCGATCGAACATGGCTGACTCTGGAGATGAGGGATGATATTGGTTGGTTACACGGTGGATAGCTCTCGGTTGCTACTTTTGTTTCAATCGACTATCGAGATAGCGTTGTGACTGTTGAAAAAGATGTAAGCTTCAAGGGTGCGGTGAAAAGGCATTGAGGATCTTGCATACATATGTCTCTGATCTTTGACGTGAGGAGTTGTTCTAAGCGGTTATGTACCTTGCATGTATAGTAGTTGCAGTGGAGGAAATAAAATGAAGAAAGAGATCTCAGCGATGTCCACAGCTAGCAGAGGAGAAGGATGTTGGTGATGAACTGAGGCAGGGAGCGGGGGGTTTATATCCCTAAGACTGCCACATTCCGTCCAGTACACATCTCAAGGTTTACCGCAAAAGTATAACTCAAATCTTCTAGGCGACATCCTAAATCATTACAAATTGGCGTTAACCTTTTAGCAACACGAAAACTAAGAGGGCACAACTTGCTCCAGCGATGAACCTTGTTTGCGAGGAGGCCGAGCCTGTCCGTCACTAGCCCTGAGGGAGTAAGAAAATATGAGACCTTGATATAGGGTGTCCAAATAAACTCAGCAAAATTACCCCAAGTCTTAGGCTAAGATACCTAAGTCTTTTTGTCATTTAGGATCAAGGTCTCGAGTTTTCTTTCCTCCCTAGGAGGCTTAGTCCTTCAAACTCATGTTCAAGCCACTGCTTCAACTTGGCTTGCTATTCGTAGTGACAATGAGAAGATTTATCCACAACTTTGACCAACCCCACAAACCAAGTCTCTGGTCTCTACATCTTACCTTTAAATATGAAATTCTTTAGTGTCTGCAAATCACTATAGTTTACTCTGGAAACAAGGTAATCATATAGATAATACTGTTATTCTAAACTATGTCTAAGAGTAGTGGCTAAATTTATAGACTGTTTTTTCTTATTAGATAATTTCTAAAGCGGGGCAGATAGATTGATTTTAAGTTGGGTTGATCTGCCGGTCAATCCTGCTCCACCAGATTGTTCCTGCTCCATCAGATTGTCAATCAGGGTAAGCAAATCGCTGACACGAAGTGCGGCAGTTAAGTTCCCAGAACAATTGTCCAATCGCAGCCTCAGCAGAACAGCAGTTTCCAAATACTAGTCTAGGCTGTAGTAAGCATCAAAAGTACCATACCATTGCGTCGTTACAGCATTAAGCGAGTCCTGTAAGAGTATGCTTAGCCCCTGCCTTTACTACTTAACCATCTGCCGAGAACAGGGGGCAGCGGTAAGGCTAACCAGGTATGTACATATCTTTCGATCCCGAAAACAGTGTCCATATGTGGTGTTACATACACGTGGATAAATCGACTGTGCAGTAATGCACCAGTAAGCTCCATTTTTAGGCTATTGCAATTCGTATGAGAGATATCTAGTTATCCCTGTCTTCATAAGATAAGCATAACAGCCATCCGTGTTACTACTAATGATCTGATCTCTTGCAAATGGCCATTTGCCAAGACTCTATGTCTATTAGACGCAAACATCCCTGGGGGACTCGGGCGGTCTATATGCTCAATATGGAGATATTATCCAATGCCTCGGCAAAACACGCAGAACCCTTGGGCTACGAGGTTCCATCACACCACGCGACGAGATGTCAATATCTTGGCAGCTTACGATCAATTGTTCGAAGCAAGCTGTTGTGGCCGAAATATAAAATTGCTATTATTCCTCCTCCAAGAATTGTACATCGCACAGCACCTCATCTCTATCACTCCCCCTTCTACCCAACATGCATATCTCTCTTGTTTCTATTACTTCTTTGCTGAGCCTCATTGGGGTAGCCTCAACCCATTTCGTTAATAGCTGCCACACATGCGAAGTGAAGAACTACCACCTCACATGCGTTTGCGCATTCATGAACAGTGCTGGGCGTGGCACTGCGGGGCAAACCAGCGGCGTTAACTTGAATAATCATATCGGCAATAATGATGGAAATCTACACTGGGGATCTATGCTCCTCCACTACCAAGACAGCATGCCTTTGAGCTTTTATGCTAATTTGTGAGACAGGGCCGGTTTTACATCTTCATGCAGAGAATACCATTTTGACAATGTCAGAATGATTTGGCATGCTGTATGCGACAGGAGAGATGGAAGCTACCACAGAACCGCCATTGATTTGAGTATGTCTCTCCTATTGAGCCAGTTGGCGGCGCTAATGTATCTTCACTTGCAGAGGAACGTATCTGGAACGATAACGGCGCTCTAGTATACATCCAGTGCACTACCTAGCATCCCCAAGTAGTGTGCTTGTATCTAGGTTGAAAAGGGAGGGATGTCTGTTATTGGAAGTGAGGTGTTGCAGTTATTCGACCCTGCGAATGACTGAGTCGACGCAAGCATGGGCCGAGTCGGTGTCTAACGGTGCATTGAATTATCTAGTCTCGTCCAGGTTAGCTGAACCGGCGACGCTTGATATATGCTTCGATACATGCTCGATGAGTAGCAGGCGAGTAAGAAGCATAATGGTCCAGAAATAAGCTTCTTGGGGATAACTGAGGCCAATGTTAAATACTTTCTTCCTACCATTTAAGTCAATAAACTCAGTTATTTCCATGTCGTCGAATTCGAGCCCCGAGGGGAATGTCTTGGCCGATTGTTGGTGATGCTCGCTTGTCTTCTTAAAAACATCTGTCAAAAAAATGTGTTTCGAGTAATACTGTATTGTGCTAAGTAACTTAACTTCTCTGATTTGATTTAGGCAAAGATGACTTATTATATGTGTCTTATACCCTGGCATCTTATCAAAACCTACGCAGAGAAAACTGGGCCTAATCAAGGGCATAAGTGGGTAACGACGACCTTGAGCCTTCTTAGACGTCAAAGAGAACAAAAATCCACCCAGAATTGGTTTTGAGTAGCAGTCAGATATGTTAAGCTAACTGTAATAAGACATAAAATGCAACCTGCGGCCATGGGACTTGGCACCATAAATAACGCAATTAGATTGCAAGTATGTTCTTTTATTTCTTCGTGTTTCTTTCTTGCTATCTCTCCCAAACATCATCAAGTACCGTTACTTCTTAATAACCACTTGTTCTTAAAAATGCTTTGTACTATCTGTCTATCTATGTTCCTTGACCCTGAAAAAGGCGAACACCATAAAGACTTCGAAGCCATTCAAGAGGCCAGTGAGAATGGATGTTACATCTGTCACTATGTCCTGTACGATTATCGAGGTAAGGACATTGAGGATGATTTTCCACTTCAGTATCTGTGGCACCGGGATCAGCCCAAGATCTTCGTTGGTGTTCTTTGGAGCGCAGTTGATATATACTTCGAGCCTGTAGAGGAGTGCCATGATATTGAAGGCTACCGTCAGTGCCTTGAAAAAGTGAAAGCAGACTTGGAAGAGGGGAATTTCTCTCGTGTTCACGATAACAAGCTTCGACCGCCCGGTGAGCTCTCATATACGGGAGGCGAAGAAGCGCTGGAGTTCTCGAGAGAACGAATACAAGCCTGCAGAACGACCCATGGAGAATGCCGCACCGCAGCAATAGCTCTCTCGAAAGCAGAGAGACCCGATTCAACTTCTTGGAGTCCAAGACGCTTGGATTGACTGCGCTGCTGACGATGGTATGATGCACCTTGTTCATGGAGCAAATCTCGAAAACCCGGAATATGCAGCTCTGAGCTATTGCTGGGGGAAGGACAAGTTTTTTATGCTGCGATTAGATAATGAGGCTGATGCCTTGGATTCCAAAATCCCTCTCCATGAACTGCCTCTTCTCTTCCGCCAGTCCATGGCTCTGTGTCGCAACCTCGGTATCCAGTATCTCTGGATTGACAGTGTCTGCATTATTCAGTCTGGAGATAACCAACGAGATTGGCTGCTTCACGCACGCGAAATGTCTACTATATATACATTCTGCACTATCAGCATCTCCGCTGAATATGGCCGCAGCCCTCACGACAGTCTCTTCCTTGATCGGTTTCTACAACCTCCGATAATCATGCCACCTTCCGATGACTCCTGGGCGGCAGTGCGAGAAGCCTGGGAGAACTCAGGAGACGAGCGCTACAAGAGGAACAACAACGGCAAGATGAATGACCCTTTTATACTCGGTCAGCCTTACCGACTTGCTCCTATGGCCGACTACCTTGAGCGCTGCACAGTCCTTCACACACCTCTCGCTACTAGGGGCTGGGTCATGCAGGAACGCCTTCTCGCACCTCGTACCCTGCACTTCGCACAGCACCGAGTGTCCTGGTCCTGCTACAGCCACAATGTGAATGAAGGTGGACGTACGGAACTGGAAGAGCATGAGTATAGGTGGTTCGAGCGGCTACAGCCCTCTATGATGGAACAGAACCCAAAACTGCCAGGATGGGCCAAATATGAACCTTTGGAATGGTGGCTGAATGTAGTGGCAAACTACTCACACCGGCAGCTTTCATTTCCTGAGAAAGACAAGCTTGTGGCTATCGCAGGTGTTGCGCGAGTATGGAATCATGAGCGACAATTTGACTATCTGGCTGGGATCTTCCGCCCTCATCTTCCCTGGGCATTACTATGGCATCGCGAGCCCAAGACTGGTGACCCAATGCACGACAAGCAACCAGTTGGCCAGGAAATCTTTACCCCAGGTGGTGTGCCGACATGGAGCTGGGCCACATGCAAATTCCCAGTCAAGTCATATCCGTACACAAATACGGGATTTCTTGTCAATGGGACAGTCCTTGTCGACATTCACTGTGCCGAGGTGGAGTTGGCGGATAAGGAGAATCCGTATGGCCAGGTAAAGAGCGGTAAGATCGAACTGGAAGGATATCTTGGGCGCGAAGAGGATTTTAAGAAGGACTGGACTTACTGCGTGCACTACGATGGCCGTTTTGCCAAGGATAGCAAATCGCCCTGGCATCTTCCAGTTACTTGGGATCATCTATCGAAGCATCCAGATCTATTTGGATTGTTGCTTCAAAAGGATAAAGGCTCTGGATTCTTTTACCGGGTGGGATATTTTAAAGTTCCTACAAAATTAATTTCACGGGATATTCTTCGAGGGAAGCTTCCAAAAAGTTTTATTACTTATATCTAGGAGAGCTTCTGGTTGCTATTGAACGAATGGCTAGAAATACAAGTTACTTATGACGAGAGGTGGCCCCTTCGCCTGACCTTTTCATCAAAGTATCCATCCCATGTTGGACAAGTATTTCCATCATTACGTAACTACCAATGAAATAGCATATTTTAGCCATTGTGGAGAGGAGAGAGCTCTGTCATCCGAATGGGGGTCTACTCCTCGTTCGAGCAGTGGCTTGAGGGCATTCACCGCCCTGCTGATGTTGACGGCCTGTATCCTTTGTCGATAGTTTAATAGTTCTAAAATTGAACTTGTACTGCTCCTACATACAAATAGAATTCTTCCGAGAAATTCAAGTCACTGTCTCCCAAGAAACAACCCTTGCGTGAAAGATTTCAGCAATCTTGCCCCATGTACTCTATTGTCATCAGACATTCATTTGCGCAAAGATTCCATCTCGACACTTCCCAAACTCTCAGCGCAAACACCTCGCCAATGCCGAATCCCAAGATAAAGAAAGATCAGAAGGGTGATGTACTCCGCAAGCAGGCACATCAAAGCAAAGGCGACAGCAGATCCAACCAAGGAATTCCAGATAGTCGTCACGTTATCAACGGTGAAAGCGCAAAGGAGACCATAGACTGTTCGGAGGACTAATGTCGGAATGCTTGCCAGAGTGAGCTCTATGAACTACCGCCTGTCAGTATATTCTGTGTGTAGAAATTGAGTAAGAAGGTATCGTACAATGTGTCTCTCAGGAGCGATGCGATGTTTTTGGGTATACAGATGAAGTAACTCGACTGTCATCAAACTAATGACAGCAGCAAGAGTCACATAGCCAGCTTGTGTCAAATGTCTCGACAGGTGTATGTTGGTACCACTAAAAGCCCCAGCCACACAGAGAAGCACAATGGCGGCGATGAACGCAAGACGGATGATCTTCAGTAGGAAGAAGGCTCGCTTGTTCTCATCAAGACTTGATTTCATACTACAGGATTAGCAATGGATTTATCGATAAAGGAGGACTTCTCACATCAAGCGGATGAACCCTACCGTGGAGATCATCAATGGAATGAGGCCGACGTTAAGCAGCACGGTAGTCGCAATGATGAGCCCGATACTGGTAGGGTCGGATTGGCGGAGGATAGTCAAGATACCACCAGCGAGCCGAGCTAAAAGGACCGAGTGTTATCATACTTTATACTCCAGACAGCGAGCCGAATCACTTACCCAAAGAGAACGTGACAAGCGGGTATGAGGCAAGACGAAGTCCATGCTTCCAATTCCTGACAAGAACAAACACAGCGGCAGGCAAGACAAGTGCGTAGAACACGACTTGAGCGATGCCAACAGAAGTATGTGGGTTGATCATATTTGCAAGATGTTATCAACTGAAGATGTAGTGTAGTAGAAAACACGGTGTTTCATCACAAGAGAAAGGCATTCTTTCTTTATAGTCGTTTTCGCACGGGCTCTAAGGGATACTGCATTTTCGCATAGCCATCGAGACTCGCGCGATGATACCCAAAGAGTGATAGCGCCATATCTGCCGGGAATCGGCATCTCGAGGAAACTCAGCCGCATCGTGGGCCCCATTTCTCGCGCAATGATCCCCAAGATGGCTTAGCCTTGGCGTGAACGTCATTTCTCACTCACGATCATTGGCTAGCTTTAGCTTCTAGCTTGATCCACTATTGAGGACTCCATTATGACAATCATTCCAGGGCAATTGTCCTCAGACAATGCAAATCTCACAAATCTCGGCAGTGCCAAAAGCTGAGGATCTTTCTACTCAAATCAGCTACGAAGAAAATTGGTCGGTATGGTCGGAGTGGCTGGGCGGTCTAAAGCATGCCATACCTGCAGGCAGAGGAGGATTAGGGTAAGCCAACCCCTCCATCCATGCGATCTACCGTGCATCATGCGCCTTACGATTGACAGACCTGGAGCTGACTGAATGGTCTTCTCAAAGTGTGGCGCTGAGAAGCCGAGTTGTAGTAATTGCCTCAAGTCTGGTCGACCCTGCGCAGGCTATCAGAGGACCCAAGTCTTTATACCATCGCATTACACAAAGTCTGCTAGTGGCGAAGCAACAACGCTGCATGCACCTTTGCCTCTGTCACGGCGCAGACATGAGTGTATTGACCGACAATGTACAATGACATCGCTGCCGCAAACGATGTCCGCACGCAACACAAATAGAGATCAGTTCTTGGCCACATTTATCCACCGTCAACTCCCATCCTGTATCCTCGCCTCTGGTCACCTCAACGACCATCGGAGATGGCTCCTTCGCCTACCCGACATCGCAGTGCTGACACCGGCCATGGAGTACGCTATCCTAGCGCTCAGTACCGCAGCCTTTGAGAGAGATGGCGCCCTTGAAGGTCAGAGCCTAAAGCTTTACACTAGAGGACTATATGAGCTCCAAAAAGCGATTGATAATTCCAAAACGAGATTGGATGACCAAACTCTTGCAGCTTGTGTTCTTCTAGGCATGTTTGAGTTCGCAGAGTGTCCAGGGCGAACTGTCAGTGCCTACATGAGACACTATCAGGGAGCGATGGCACTCCTTCAGCTTCGTGGACCTGAGCAGCATATGGGTGGCCTGGCCCATGATGTGTTTCAAGTACTCAGAATGCATACTGTGAGTCAACTAATATCACCGTCATACAGCTTCTGACTTCAAGTAGGCGTTTCAAGGTCTGGCGCAGGGGTATGAGAACCAACTAGCCAAGCCAACATGGATGGAAAGACCATGGATATCAAAATCGAAGACTATGCATGACCGACTTCTCGATATCTTTCTTCGCGTCCCAGGACTACTATCCAGAGCCAGAGCTGTTACAGCTTCACAGCCATCTCAAGCTACACTTAATGGCGGCCTAGAAGCTTTGATGGCATTGCTAGCTCTCAATGGAGAGCTTAATCAGTGGGTTGAGTCGTACCAAAACACCTACCCCACCACCCACTGGCCAGAGCTGTCAACGGCCAGTAGCTCGACAGACAGTGAGGAGCTGGGAAGACTCTACCCAGTATCATTCCAGTTTTCGTCTTACCATATAGCGGAGACTATGATACTCTACTGGACGATACAGGTCTTGATACATGCTAGCATCTCCTCCCTCTATACCAGATCAACATCTAGTGAGAAGGACATCACAATATTAGAGGCCGATGATCTGTCACCTAAGGACAATGATAAAATTTCTCTTGCCGACATACAACGTATACTCGATACATCCGACGTCATGTCATGGCCAGAGACATCAGCTCGCTACATCTGTCAGTCAGTGGAATATTTCTTTCAAAAAGAGTTTCGTGGCATGGGCGCTGGGGTTGTTCTATCACCATTATTGGTGGTCCAAGCATGCCTATCCAGATCAGCACGGGAATTTTCTAGAGAGATTGCTTGGATCGACGAGACAATTGGGCGTGTTCAAAGGAATGGAGCTGGATTAGCGGCTTGCATTTAGCTAGCAGTGTAATCTGACAACTTCTCAATCACTCTCTTCCCCCTCGTCCGTCGGTTCCCATTGACCCATACAGTATAAAAGAGCCTTGTTTTCTCCGAAAGGCATCTCACCATAGAGGTGAGCTTCCATGCCATAGTTCAAATCCTCCCAAAGTTCAAGACTCATATCGCGCTCATGTCTCTTCGTAGCAATGCTCGCATCCTTGCAGATAACCCCGCTGTATGAAACGTCGCCCTCCATGTGGAGCTCATCAAGATCAACCCTAAGACCTTTCGGAGTCTCGCCTGATACGTTGGGATGCTCGCGTATCGCACTGAAGACAAAGCGCCAGTCGACGTCCGCCGGTCCTCGACAAACTTTGCCAGATACCTCGAGATGTCGCAGACTCTTCAAGTGCAGAAGCCAGTGTGCAAGGGCTTGGGGGAAAATGTTGCCCTTTTGGGTTAGGCGAGTAAGCTCTGGGAAGTCGTGGCTGGGCTTTCGAGTTGGCCAGCAGAGAACACCCTTTCCGACGTGATCTATACCATAGGCAAAGTGCTGGATGCTGGAGTGGCACTTGTCTAACAAATCGTGACAGAAGTCACCAGACTTGATCTTCATCCTCTCGGCTTGCGAGTTTGACATGGCCCAAAGGTGTCGCTCAACGAGCCCGTTCTCGCCAGAAGGGATCTCCGGTGAGATGTGTAGGACCTTGAGCTTACTGAAGTCGAGGTCTTCCCATCCAGGGATGTCTTTGCACTCGAGATCACCGGTCATGAATAGCTGCATATTAAGATTGGGGACAGCAACACCCGAAGCCGCCAGGCATGTAAGGACCATGGCAATGAGCTTGTCACCAGTGACAGCGGTAGCGTGCTTGCAATGATACTCGACGGTAGGCTCGGAGTTTTCATCGCGGAGCTCAAAATGCGCCCATCTATCATCTTCATGGTTATGTCGAGGAAGCTGCGACGGAACACCGACGTCCGTGTTGGGAGTGTCAATGTAGTTGACCTGGCGGATTCTCTCACAGTCATAGCTAAGAAGCTTCACCTTTTCAAGGCGGTCTCCCAAGATCTCGATAATGCCTGTCCATGCTTGCTTAAGCTCCCCTTCTGGATCCTCGAGCAATGCCTGCGTATCTCTAGCATCGCTCATATAGGCATCATATGCAGCTTTCAGCCCGTCGGGCAAAAAGAGCACGGATGATTCCTGCGAACCGCGTAGAATCTTCTCATACGCTTTGTAGGGAAGTGCCCAGCTGGGTGGTGTCGTGAACGTGACGGAACGCACATGAAGAGCGACGCGGGAGAAGTCACCGCGTTGAAGACTTGTGAGACTAGCACGCGTGGGTTCAAGACAGATGTTACTGAAGAGGATGCAGTTCAAGTCATCGCAGTTTGCGAATGCTCTGTGCGTTAATCTCAATGACTTGAGGTTCTCATGGGTCTCTTTCTCGACTTTGATGTCCCTTGACAACTCGGTTAGTAAGAGGGGGGGATACCATGTTCTTGGTGTACGTACGGGTACTCAGCGCTAAAAGGAACATGGATAAAACGGAGTTCCTTGACAATCTCAGAGAGAATTTCGGTGGGCAAACCGAGTAGGTTGCTATCATTCTGTTGGAATTGAGACGCCATAATGAGCATAAATCAGAAATGAATGAGTTGTAAATTGGGCCGAGGGGAAACAGAAGAACCTGTCATATAAAAGAGACAAAGAACCAACACAACCGTTGGCAATATCTGAACACGGAAATTGGACCCTCCATGGTAGTAACGCTAATTGGGCATTTGGTGGGAATGGCTCGATGCTGCCTGCAAAAGACCCGCTGTAACTGAGAGGCCCGTTCTCGAGCAAGAAAACATCAGACCCTGATAAGTGGTGTCAAAATAAATTGAGCAAAAGCTGTCCTAAACTTAGGCTAGTTTACCTAAGTCTTTTCGTCACTTAGGACTAAAGACCTGAACTTTCTTTCCACCCAAAACGTGTCGAACCAACAGAACTCGGAGACTACCGGATTTAATCGCACGGACAAGAGTCAGTTTACGTAAAGATGGGGATTGCCAAAACTGACGTAGCTCAGGGCAAAGTTAAAAACAACAGAAGGTATTTGAGCAAAGGTGTCACTAGATATTGCTATGTTAGCCGGCGCCACTGTCTTGCATACGATGGTGATTATGTAACTGTAGCGTCTATTCTATAGAGCTCGTTTTTGACGAATCCATTTTATAACTGGTAGGTGTATTGCGAGGCCCATGCCAAATGTGCCATGTCCCACTGAGAGGGACTTTTGCTAGATGTCCTCCCTAAGATCAGCTCTAAGACAAATTAATTCTCGTTTATATGTAGACAAACTCTCTATGGCTAAAAGATAAACTAAAGAGTGATAAAAATGAAAATGAATACAATGATAATACTGAGCTAACATGAGCACTTCAGCCGTTTACCTAAGGCCTCCTAATGCTACGTTCCTCTCTCTGTAACAAAGTGCCATAAGTGAGTGCTCCAGATCAGCACCCACGACCATTGGGCAAGTTTGGCGGTCTGCTTTGAGGTCGAGATACCGCGCATATAAGGAAAGAATGTGTTCTTCTTGTGCATCATCATCCATATCTTGAATATTAAGGAACCGGTGAAAGCCTTGCGATGTAAGATAGGCCGTGAATAGGAGTCGGTCACGCATGCCCCTCTGTAAGAACTGTCGACTCCGGATTCGCCCAGTGGTGTCAGTTAGATCAAACCGGTAATTGTCGTCTGCGCCATTGATACGGGTATGGACCTGTCTCAAGAGACTATTGTATTCTCGAAACAGGAATACAAAAATTGCCTGAAAGGTCCTGATACAAAGAAGCTCATCGTGATAGATGAAGTTCCAGGGAATGTGAAACCTGTAACTATTGTCGCCGGTACCATAATCTTGAAGCAAGTTGGTGCTGAACCATAGAGTGTGTCGGTATGCTTCGAACAGTAGATATGCCCTTTGGAATTCTGTACTGTCTAGGTACCACAAGCGAGACTTCTTTTGTTCTGGTAGAGAGCTTTCAAAGCAAATTTCACTCATTCCCGTTCCGGGATATTCCTTTATCCTGAACCTAATGTCTTCAGGTTCCCTTATCCTCGTGTCGTCATATTCCCTCATCCTCGTTTTGTAATAGTCCATGAAAGTGCATGATTCGCGGAACAGTTGATATAGCTCTCCCAGGGCTCCCAGATTTAACTTCATTAATCGGCATGGTTCTGGTGGTGATGTTAAGACTGGTTTCATGATCTGCTCAGCTTGAGGCCGTGTAAGACAGTGTGAGCCGGCCTCACTCTGCCGTAAGCGATGGATCATGACTGCCTGTTTAAGGCTTTGGCTGCAAGACTCATGGTCAAGATTCGACCGAAGGGACGGGAGGATTCTCTGCTCATTTTGAAGAAAAACGCCCAAAGCTCGGGGATCGGCGCGAATTATGGAATGGAGATCCTCGGCGGAGTCAAGAGCGCCTAGGATAATCATCATCAGCTCTGATGGAAGTTGGCCGAAAGAGTTGCTGGATGCCATGATGCTGGTATGGGACTGATGATGTTTAGAAGGGAGAACTGTACCGCAATCGATGGTGGCGGCCTGGCGTATTTACACCGAGGGCTAAAGATTGTATCTCTCAAGCTTTGCTTTCCTGAAAGCTTATAGGTTAGAAGGCTGCATTTTCGCGATTTCCCAACCACTTGTGCGGGCTGCCTGAAGTCTATTCTGAACTTAGAATCGGGCTACATCAAGAAGTTCAGCGTGGCTCGATTACACGCAGGGAGTCAACAATAACTCCAATCACACATATAGCAACTGGTTAGGCGTTCTGGCATAATGTCTAATTCGCGAGCTTGATCTGTTACCTGCAGTCAGGCATTAAGGCCGATAGCTGAAATCATCAGGGAGAACTTATTATAATCTCAACGTTTGACAGTTTTTGTATAATGTCAAGGTTTACGCGAAAGGCCATTTGCATTTCAGGTTATCCCAAGGTTCAGTATAAGAACCATGGCATCGTTCCTCAAAAATACTTAACTCAAGAACAACCAATAGAGCAGTAGCTATTGGGCTGTCACTGAAAGTTTGTATGAGTCATCTGCTCAAGAATCCGATTGGTCACATTTACTGGCGAATAAGTCAAGGAAATTTCAAGGTGAAAGAATATAGGTATCGGGGTCTTGGATAAAACTTCCATGTGCCGATTAAACAAGTATGCCGAGCATCGGTCTGATTACTGATCTGCTTAGTGAGAGACCCGTTTCGAATCGCATATTGCGGCATGTCAGCAATGCGGCCGCTTACATGTCTCACCGCAAGCTGACGGGGCTAATACACACGTATACATAGGGGAAATGGAAATACCTAAGAATATCCCAACTAGAAGGATGAAAAAAGATTAGTTCTGTGGTAGAAATTCGACAATGTGTGTATATAAACACCCAGAGTGCCCTCTTCAGTGGTGGTATTAGTTCTTTGTGCTGTCCCTGTCAATCAAGAGAGAACCTTTACAATATGTCGACCCAAGAAACTGCAAAGACTTTATTTCTTACTGCTGATGGGATTGACTTCGCCTATCGTCTCATCGGCAAGTCGAACAGTTCTCAGCCTCCACTTCTCATGCTCAATCATGTCCGATCTACAATAGATACCTGGGATCCTGAGCTGATCAACAACCTCACCGCATCAGGTCGCCAGCTTATAACCTATGACTACGCTGGCCTTGGACACAGCAAAGGGCCCGTTGCGACAAGTATCAAGGGCTTTGCGATCAATCTCCTCGCGTTTCTCAACGTTTTGCTCTTGAAGCTTAATGTCAAAGAGGTTGACGTCTTGGGCTTCTCGATGGGAGGGTATATCGCGCAGGAACTTGCTCTTGATTCCCCCAATATCCTTCGGAAATTGATTCTTGCTGGCACTGGTCCCAGTCTTGGTGCTGGCCTGGTGCGCCCTATGAATGAGATCCAATCTATCGTCTTCAGCCCTACGCCTGGCCCAGCCACCATCGGTGCTTTTTTCCCTCCCACTACAGGCGACGAAGGTGCTGCATGGCTCAACAGGAGTTCTTCGTCGCGAGCCGGGGTCGCTGGAAAGAACGGCGAACCTGAGATCGCACTGTTCACCACGGGAACGCCTCTTCTCAATCTGACTCAGGCATATCTTACATGGGACGCAGACCCTCTTCCGTATGCTCTTTTACAAACCATTCAGAAGGATGCTCTGGTTACTTGTGGCGATAATGACCTGATTGTTCCTACACAAAACTCGTTTGTTCTTGCGAGGCAGCTCCCGAGAGCCAACTTTGTCATGTTTCCAAGCAGTGGGCATGGGCACTTGTTTCAGTACGCAAAGTACTATGCAGGACTGGTTGGAAGTTTTTTGGACGGTGATCTTCCTTCTGCTCCGTTTTCAGCCGGAGAGGTCCCTGGTTTAGAATAGTGGAATGATGATACCGAAGCCTGTTACTGCGAAAAAGGATTTACACTATCAACGAGGGTAGGCGGTGTCAGTCGTCTCCGTTCAAGTGCTATATTCGCTTTTACTGTTATCTCTATGGAAAAATTGACTTGTCTCTATGTCTCAGGGGCAAGGGCTTACACCAGAATACAAGCGCTTCGTCTTACCTAAGCCCTCCGCAATCGATCTCGCCGTAGCCATCCCCATCCCAGCATTACACAACACCAATGCCACCTTGGCGGTAGCATGTTGCTAGTATTTACGGGATGGGCCATCGCGTGGATTAGGCAATTGACATCCACCACTTACACCTGGTCTGGTTGAGATTATTCGGCACTGAAGGCATGGCCCCCACAGCCGTGATATTAACCAGTAGGCCCTTGTCACCGAAGATGGGGAACTCCTTTCCGCCCTCCAGGACTGGCACACCCTTCAGGACAAAGCTGGCGATGGCGAGTTGAAGAGACTTTTGAGACGGGCGCATGGCGGTGGCAGGAGTGCCGAAGGTGTAGGAGAGGTCCTGGATGTGGAAACCAGGGGAGACACCAAATTCGTCTAAAGTTATGTCAGCGATGCTCTGTTATGCCGGGAAGTTGACTTACAAGCGTAGCTCTTGTCCTTGGTAGCCTGGCTGATGGCGTTGAAGGCACAGTCAATGGCCGACTCACCCCAAACTTTCATCTGCCTGGTGTTCATGTCCACATATCCCAACGACCCATCATAGACAGGTGGATAGATTTTCTCCGCCAACTCCTCCCTCTGCTCTCCACCCAGCCCCGGGAGCGACCTCTTCAACCACTCAGCAAAGTCCCCATCTGTCTTTACGTTCGGATCGAAGAAGAACCCGCCCTCGAAGATATTGTGCGCAGCCATTACTTTCACCGACTTATCAAACTTGCCTTCCTGCAGGGACTTGATCACGGGACCGAACGAGGTGTTGGAGTCGACGATGGGGGCGTGAACATAGTTTGTGTGGGGAAAGGCAGCGACCTGGGCGGCGTTGGCGGCGATGACTGCAGCGGAAGACATAGACCTGACGGCATCCAAGTTCTCAGCATTGAGGATCTTGAGGAACCCGTCGTAGAGCTCATCTGGGTCGCTTGTCGCCACGGGCACATCAGCCGGACTCTGCGAGATAGCCTGGTGGAATAACTTCTTCATCGGCTTACATGAAGCAGCCAGCCGATTCTGATCTGCACCAGCAGCAATCAAGTGACGAAGAACCGAACTACCACCCCCAGACTCTCCCATGATCGTCACGTGGTCTTTGGATCCGCCGAACAAGTGAATATGCTCCTGAACCCACTGGAGGGCGAAGCGCTGGTCGAGGAGGGCCGCGTTGGCGTCGCCGTCGGCAAGCACCTCGGCGCTGTTGAGCCAGCCAAAGGCGCCGAGACGGTAGTTGAGGGTGACGAAGACGAAATCCTGGTTAAAGGCAGATCGGGCCTGGGCCAGGATGCCCGAGGGTTCGAAGAGGGTAGGGCCAGAGCCGTCTTTGGAGCCGAAGACGCCGCCGCCGCCGTGGATCTATTCACATTAAAACGCCTGTCAGTCCCTTTCATATAATAAGAAAAGCAAGATATAACTCACGAACACAAGCACTGGCACACCCTCCTTATCCTCCTTCCCTTTTGCCTTAAGCACCTTCTTGGGAACATGCACATCCAGCAACAAACAGTCCTCGGTCGCATTTGCGTTAATATTCACCGGCGGCACCATCCCGTTCTTGATTGCCTCGACCCAGCCCTCCAAGGTATAGGGCACCGTCGGGTTCGAGTACTTGCCTATGGCCATTTGCGTCTTGGCCTGCCATTGGGGCTGACCTTGCGGGCATATGCGCGTTCCGGCGCCGGTCTGTACGACCGTGCGGTTCTCAAGAGGGGATTGAGGGGCGCGGAAGCGGAGGTTGCCGGTGGGGGACCGGCCGTAGCGGACGTTTTGGAATTTGTAGAGGTCGGTGTCGGGGTTGTACCAGAGGGCGCGGTGGAATTCCTTGAAGAATTTCCTTTCAGTTTACCGACCAAGAAGTGGAAAAGGGATACTGAATAGGTCAAAAGGTACTTACATAGCCTAAGTCCACGACGGGGAGATGAGCCGAGTTTTCATTAGAGGTTAGGGCTGCGGTGACTTGCCAGGTCAACACAGCGGTCAACAGCAGTATGTAGTTGGATATACGCATGGTAAAGAGATTAGATAAGTAGGGAGCAATTAGGATGATTCTAACTAAGAAAGTGAGGATGGAGGGCGTTGTTGATGTTTTCTGAGATTAATTGGTGGTCTCCCTACGAGCTCTTATATAATTGTAAAGACATGTTAGTTCCCTCTCATTTATAGTTTAGACCTCTTTTCATTGAACCTTCTCTGCGGCGTCCATAGCTTTCTGATCGCTTTATGCCGCCATGCAAAGAGATTACGTGAGCGGCATTTCTGCGTAGGCAGGGGTTAAGGGGATGCACTGTATGCAGATAGTTCTCTGCGCCTCTTTCAGAATGGCAGGCTCTCACGAATAAACAAACATTAATGCGGATTTCGCGGCGTAATCCATCTCTCCGAAGATAAGCTTAATCCTAGAGCTGTGCCGTTAATCCCTGCAGTAGGAGTTAATTTATCCCGAATTAGTCCATTAGGTCTTACTGTTACATATACATATAGATAGAGTTTCTAGCTATCCATCAAAACAGGAAATTTCGTGCGCTATGTGAGTGGGTCCTCCCTCTCAAACCAGAATTTACATATTGCTGCGCTTTAGTATATTACCCGACCTTTATATATACTAAACGTAGCGGTCCATATTACTAAAAGCAGTACTATATTGCCGTATTTAGTAAATGCCAACCAGGATCGGTCCATTTATTTGGGAAAAAGATGCATATAAATCCACTTTGCCCTGGGGTTATGGCCTAACTTTCTCAAGATTATTTCTCCACCGCTCTAGAGGGATTCTCACTCCTATGCGGTCAGAAAGCATGCTTAAAAAACCACAATACATTCCCATTTCGCTCACATGCATCCCGGCTGCCTTATTACAGGAAGCTCGACATGAAGTAGTAGGATACTTGTTCAGAGTGCCTTAACCTTTGCCTTAACCTTTCCCTTTACCTGTCTGCAGAGTGTTTACATCTATTTTTACACCACCTTTAGGGCCACACATAGAGATAGTGGACTTTAAAGTTAGGTAATGCATTTTCGATTTAATAGACTTGGAGTCCCTCTAGCGTAAACTGTAGAATGTCAATTCCTTGTTAATAAGATACTCTCCTACCAGGACGTCTCTAAGCTATTATGTTTTAGAGACAAGAGTGTGTACATGGATAGGACTGCTTACAGTGAGTATATTTCTTTTATTTTTCTTTTCCTTGTTTTTATTTTTATTTTAACTATTAATTAGCCGATCTAAACTCTTGCTGCAGTTCATAGTAGATCCCCCTCCTGTAGTTCCGTCTCCATTAAATACAACTTTAACACGTTTATTAGTGCCTTTAATATTAGACTTAAAAGGGAAGGGAAGAGGGGAAAACCGGCTGGCGAAACAAAACCCCTCTTCCCTTAATATTCACTAATATATAAACCTAAACAGGCTAGCCGCTTGGTTATAGGCAGACTCTGCTCCATACCTAACATTCTCTGCCCTGATTAGGATCAATTCTAGGTAGGTCAGTACTGATGTTTCTTCAGTTCATTGTGAAATCGTACCTGAAATACCACCCTGACGGTCTGGTGACTTGCCCGCCCAGTGAGGTTCCAACCCCCTGGATATTGCAGTTTCGGATAAGCCATCTGAATTCATTTTCACAATCTTCGTCTTTTAAGTCGAATGACTTAGATGGATTCAAGTTCTTCACATTCATATCAATATGGCTTCCGCCATAATTGATACAAGCCGTCTTCTGTTGATTCGGCCCAAAGGTGCCTTGAAATGCACCTCTAATGCCGTCATAGCCTCGGCAAGCCCGCCTGCTATGATACTGTAAATCTTTTGTGTCCATTGAGTGTCCTGTTCTGTAACATAAATAGTTTGCAGAGGCATTCTCAACAAAAGTAGTGCCTAGAACAAACAGGCTGGCAAGGATAGTAGTGGCTTTCATGGTAGTGATTGTTTCGAGAATAGATAGTGAGGTTGCTGTCGCCTTGCTCAACCCGGGAGCGAGACGTAGTATTTATAGAGCTCATAACATCGAAAAACCATCGCCTTGAAAGCCTGTATTAAAACGCAACTTTTAAGTAGAATTGAGAGAGTTAGGCATGTCACGGCACTTCTATATTAGACTTGGGTAATTACTGCACCTAGCTCTTAATAACTCTATCTATATAAAAGTTTAATTTTACTGTAAATTGAAAGATATATAAGCTAATCTTTTACTTAAATTTAATTTTAATAGTATTAAAATCTTTTATATATTTATTTATATAGTATATTTTAGTTAAATTTTATTTAAAGCCTATATTAAGTATTATAAATTAAGATAATATATATAATAAACAAGTAATATAGATAAGTAAGTAGCATAAAAGTCTTAACCTTCTTAAGATAAATTATAATAAAAATATAATAAACTATCTAATTAATTAAAATTAATTACTATAATTATTACTAAATACCTTTAAAACTACCTAATAAATCTTTATATTATATTTAGTCTTACTATATATATTATATTACTAAATATCTAGCCTAATTAATCTTTTTTAATTATTACTTCTTAATAATTTAATTAATACTTATATATTTATATCTATTTAATTAATTAAATTTTAACCTTTTTATATAGTTAAGCTCCCTTTATTTTATAAGTATATCCTTTTTGCCTTATAGTACTAGCTAAATATATTATTTACTTTATAAAGCTTTTAGTACTTAACTTTTAATAAGGCAGTCTTCTATATATTCTTTATAATTACCTTTATAAGAGATTAAAGAGCTTTAAGGATTAACTTTAGGGAGCTACTATAATATCTTTTAATTTAGCCTTAAAGGTATTTAAACTATAATTTAGCCTTAAATACTGTTATTAAGGTCCTTAAAGTCTAAGCTTAAGCTTATTAGGCTACCTCTTTAATAGATATTAAAGTTTATAGCTATATATTAAGCTTTAAGATTATAACTTTAGGGTTAAAAGAAGTAAGTTTAGCTCCTTTAAAACCCCCCTTAATATTTAACTTAATTATAGTCTTTTAAAAGGCAGTATAAAAGGCTAAAAAGAATTTAATTTTAGAAATATAAATTATAGACTATTTAATTAATTACTTTATTTTTTAATTATATACCTTTTTTAGCGGCCTAAAGTACCTAATATTAAGTAGCTATAGTAAATATAAAAAATAAAGAGATATATAAAATATAATAATATTATTAACTTTATAATATAGCTAAAAATTAATAAATTAATAACTTTTATAGCTATTAAAGATTAAAAGATAATAAATACTAATTAATTAATTAGCTATATATTAATTAAAATACTTTAATTAATTAAAGCCTATCTTATTATCTATTTAGCTATTTAGTATTATAGTAATAACTTAAATACTTAAAAGGTTATTATTTTAATATTAATTAATAAGGTAATATTAGCCTATAATTACTAAATATAGATTAATTATTTAGCCTTTTATATTAATTACTTAAATTACAGTAATCTATTTTTAATTTTTAAGTTAAATTAATTTTAGGTTTTTATACCTTTTTAAGCTAATAATTACTATACTGCTTAATATTATATCTATTATAAAGCTAATTTTATTAAAGTTCTAAATATTATTTAATTAAATACTATACTTTATAATTATATTTTATATAAGCCTAAATTAATTATAAATAGTAATTAGATCTTTATATTAAGCTTTTTAATAGTTATATTTATAAAAAGAATATATTTTAAGCTATAATTATTACTTAATAAAATTAATAGCCTAATACTTATTAATTAGTAATCGCGGACACGCTGCTGCTGCCTCCGGTTTAGCGGCACCACCCAAACGGGCAAGACGCGCGTGCCGCACACCCGCCCGGTCGCATATCACGTGACTCACTGTATATAAGACAAGAACCTCCTCCGTCCCTGGCAACATGTATCTTTGACCTCTGCTTCTTCCCATGCTCTGCCCCTTTGCATCCGCCGTTCTCACTCTTATGCAAGCATCACTGCCTTCCGCCTAGCTCTCTTCACCTATCCTGCCACGTCATCGTTCTGATTTGGAACGAAGTTCTCTCGCCAGAGGGATTGACCGGCTATCGCAACGCTTGTATCGCCCCCAACGCCTGGTTGTGGAAGGAATGAGACATGTTCTGCTATTCGTTTTTCATTCTATCCTCTGATGTTGTTACTAACTCTAATCTGTGTCTCGTATGGCTTCCTTTCCCGTCCTCTTCTCTCGGAATCTAACAACTCCAACAGTCTAGAGAGCGTTCCCCAAGCTGGGCCGCCTTATAGTGGTGTGATACTTCTCAGGCAGTAGCAGAGCATCTCACGGCAATGTTTTATCTTGTGAGGCCTCCAGTCGACGCCCATCCAATGGCAGAAATGCCGCAGTGGCTTATCAATACCCCCTATTGCATGATGGAGGATGGTGCCATTTCGGACTCGCCTCCTGAGCCTGGTACGGGTTGCTCCAGAGGCCTCTGGCACGAACTTGCTCCCCGATTGGTCCCCTCAGCGGGTAGCGCGAGTGAAGCGTTTGATCACGGGTCGCTCGACAGGGCCCGAGTCACCAATTCCCTGTTCAGGGGTTGCCAAGACTACCCGCTGCTTGGGCGGAAGTTCCTTGATTTCTTCCTGTTAGTCCTCGGCTCACCCGTTTCCGTGTGGATCGGGATGGCTCAGCCGCCTCAGAAACAGGGCAAGCCAGCATGCCGAAAGGGATGATTGGGCGAGAAGGAGGAGAGGGACGGGCGCACTGCGGCGGGCTGTTGGTCTTGCACGCATGCACCCTCCGTTAGTCTTGCTGTTGCAGGATCATGAGATGTTCATGACAGCATCTCAAGCTCTCTGAATGGCTCAAAAGGTTCCCGGCTGTGACAATCAACATGTGCGGGCGCAGCGTCGAGCTTCATCACGGTCAGACGGAAGAGCTAATACTGCCGGAAACTCCCATTCCCGATGCTGTCTGACCAACTGGCGATCACGCATTTTGCATGAACAGCCCGGCAGCCATCAAGACCTGCCTCATATGGCATCTCCGAGGACTCTGCCTTGCCAGCGAGTGACGTGGATCCCTGATGCTGTGCGAGAAGATGAAACGAGGAGGGAATCATCTGTCCAGCACAGCTGCATCGGTGTGGCCGGCAGTGGAATGATTGGCGCAAAGTAGAGCGGTTGCGTTTCTGCCTCCATCTGACTCAACCTGGACTTGGAGAAAAGGGGAAACGGCAGTAACACACCGGATTAAGCTCCTTCGGACAACGGGACTCGTGTGGTTCAGCTGCGAGCATATAAGCTGGACAACTCCCGCCCATTTTCAGCTTTACCATCCTGCCAGAGCAACCGCCTTATCGCTTAACTTCCAAACACACGGCAACTCAAACATGATTTCGACAACCTCTGATGCTGGGCAGCACACGTTGCTGCAGAGCTTCACTCCCCCTGCTTCTCAAGCAGTCGCTGTATCCCTGAGTGACAAAGAGGCAGTCTTGTCGGCTGATGGAAAATCCAAGGGCGATGCTATTTGGATCTCTTCGGATGATGATTCTGATACGGAAGATGAAGGTGACGATGAGGGTCAAGATCTCGACGACTCGCAATCATGCACAACACCTACTACCAGCATCGCAGACCATTTAGGTAAGTTTTCTAACACTATCATCCTTTTTGGTGTAAGCCCTAACAGCCTGTTCATAGATAGCACAAGTACCAAACACAGTCCAACTGAGTCGGAGGCCGCCATCGGTATGGACACTACGCCAGCAGTATCTCTAGCTCTAGGAGAGGACGACCCAGATTGGACACACAACTCACATATGGGCCCCCTTGCTAATCCTGAACCGAATCAACAATCTCCTTATCAGACGAATCGCACGTCCGCTGGAGATGCGACAGCATGTACAAATACCGGTTTTGACATCTCGTCTACTAGCCCTGGGAGTCAGCCACATCGGCGCGTGTCAAAAGAACTACAGCTTGTCATTGGAGCCACCAGCGAGCCAGACATCGTGATGGTCGATGCTCTCTTTGACGAACGTTCCTGTGATGGTGCACAGAGTACTCCTACGTCCCCTTTGATGCACACATACAGTCATATTGCTACAGACCTTGGAGATCTGGCTCACACGCCGTTGCACGATAGCGAAGAGGGTGTGAGCACATCGCGCGATGATGCCATTTCTAGAGCCCACACTCCATCCCCCGCGAAAAGCTTGTCACCCGAATCACAACGCGAGCAAGGTTACGACCACACCAGCTGCGAATCCAGCGATGCTGTGTCCGAGTCCTCAGATGCTGAACCCAGATCGCCATTTGGAGCCCGACCCCTATCTCAGGAGTTGCTGCCCCGGCGCCGTTCTCGTCGCAGGTCCTCACATGCACATGAAACGGTGCAAGATAAGGACAAAGACGTAGATATTGAAGGCTCTGGCAGTGAGGATGACCTCGATATTCCAGAATGTGTGCGTGACGAGGACTATTGCCCTTCACCAAATCAGGGACATGGTTCTGGAGACGACTCCGATGATGAACAGCATTGTCACAAACGTCGCAAGGCATCTGGATCTCCTTACAGCTCGGTTCGCGGAACCCCCACCAGTGCCCGGGATTCTCGCCGAAGGAAGCGATCCACAAGAGCTGTCGCACACTCATTGAGGGAGCCTGACACGTCGGCACTTGGCTTGTTCAGTCGAGCATTATCGCATGCAAGATCTGTTCCCTCTGATGCCAGTGCGTTTCTTGCTCAGTTTCAGGAATGGCAGCTCGAGAATGTTTCAATGAAACGTATTACTGAAGATGGCAAGACTACGTTTCAATTCCAGTTTGAGTGGCCCCTTTGCGCAAATCATCCGCAAGCCGTCAGTGCGAGTCCAGATTTAACCCGCTCAATCGCAGCGAGAAAAAAGACCAAGCGAGCTCCCGTCAGAGGGGCAAAGTATTCAAACGATGAAGATAACTTCCTTATACAACTGAAGGAAGAGGAGCAGCTTGGGTGGATGGAGATTCGTCGGCGTTTTGCTCAACGTTTTCCCGAACGAGGCGGCTCGGGCCTGCAAGTGCACTACTGTACGAAGCTCAAGGATCGTGGGAGACCTTGATATTATCATGCTCCTCTGGGTAAGGGGGACTTTGAGACGGGTGGGATGTATGTTAAACGGGTTAAGGAGTCCTGCAATACATATAGCTACTTCATGTTTCTCGCCATCTACCCATGAATGGTCGTTTTGCTTTTGATTCGTTGTTGAACTACCCAAGTCGGCAGTCTTCAAATGGAGAGCACGATCCTCACGCCAAGGTGTGCTCTCGGGAGGGCTCCTTCCTCTTCTGTTCCAAATACAGATTGCTGTTACTTGTGCCGGTTGATCCTGGATCTTGAAAGATCTTCCTTCAGGTCTGCTTCGTTCTGACTCTCGCAAGAATAGAACGAGCAGTATAATCCACTCCGCGAGACGAGGTCTAGATCATATAGCACTGCATACGCCTCCTTCCGTACATGAATCATCGTCACAGCCCGCCGCGTCAACTGCGGTCCCCGTACACTCTTAGGTAGTCGGTTCTCTACAGCAAAAAGAGCATAGAGAGGATCCAATAGCAAGATTATCGCCAATAATGTTAGGAAAGTTCCGTAGGAATTGATCTCATAGCTATTTATTTGCGCCAAATCGCAGATGAGAGGTGGCCTCTACAGGGGTTACAATACTGTTGACTCGGACGCTTTGTTGCATGAAAATACTCATATATGCTACCTGTTGCCTGGTATTTGTTGCCTATTACTCCTATAAAGTAATGCCTCTTACCCCTGGTAATTGTTGCATGCTGTCCCCCACTAAATAATGCACCTTTTGGCGTATATAAAGGCCGTATCGCAATGTAGGAAAAAAGACGGAAAAGTAAAAAGAAAAATCCCTCCTAAGTGCCTGTGATGGAGCTGCTTTAATGTGCTCTAGACGGATGCTTGGGCAATATCAGCGGGCTGTTGCGGGTTCCAGCAATCCATTAGTGACGAAGATTAGGAATATCGTGATGTATGGCATCCGCAGCCAGTCTCCGGGACGGGATGTCATAAAGCTTGCGGCTCGTCGTCAAGAAACGAGCCAATACGAAACTCTGCGCAACAGAAACGGCCGCGCCTTGGCCTCCTTTTGGCGTAGAGCAAGCCGCACACGTTGCAGAGTGTAAGTGGTCCTAGGGGGCCTTCACGCCATTTGGGTGTCTCTTTCGCGTAGCAAGACGTGCAGTATGGCCCAGAGTTTGTTGGTGTGAGGGTTTGTTGCGTCCGTGTACAAGGCAAAGGCGTGATTGCTATCCCTGGAGCAGAACTACGTCTCGCGAGATGATGACCATGTTTGTTATGGTTCTTCGAGCTAATCCGAGACCGCGGCAGAACTGCGTTTACTGACTTGGCCGTTGACCGGACGGGGCGAGTGCATGTCTTGATATGGAGTTGCAGTTCAGAAATGTCGTCGTATTCAGCTCCAGTAGCTAAGGCGGGCGGGATGGTCCGAGTCTGGAATACAGGAACTTCGCAAAGAGGCTGGCCGAACTGGTCCAGTTCTCCTCGATCCTAGGATGATATCACGTGAGTATAGGAACGAAATAGGAAGTCTAGCTATTCGATACTAACGTCTTGTTGTAACGAGAAAACGTTAGTTGGGTGGGCTCCAGACAAGGGGGCTGGGGAAGTCTTGGCTGTTCTCATCATGTCGGGTGGCTCCCTCGTCGAGTGGCTGCTGTGAATTTCTAGATTTGCCAGTGCAAAGCTTCGATCTCGACAATAAGAAATGCGTCTGGGGATTGGGCTGGTCTAATATTCGCCAGAGTACTTGGGCCAAGCTTGACGCAGAGATGATGTAATGGAGGACCCTGGCCGATTGCAGGTTCCCTGAGCAGGGTTTATGACCCTAAGACCCTTATCGGCTTACCCGCGGACCATCCGGATCTAAAAGCTTACGGTTTTATTGGCGGGTTCTGTCTCTGGAGATTCCGTGCCGTAAATTCACCAATCGCCGTCGAGTCTGACCGGAGGAGGGGGTCCCGGTCCCTTGCGCCACTGACGTTATGGCTTTAATCGAGAAAAAAAAAGGTTGAGCGAGCTCTCATTTCTTTCCCCCCTGACTGTCAAAGCAAGGAGATTATACTCATCCATTATAGACGAATCAGTGCTGGTTTCGAGCGGGCCGTTTACAGTACAGCCAGCACATGAAGAGTATAAGAGTAAGGACAGATAGCAAGCCAAGGCATGCAAGCTCAACTCATAGTAAACAGGTTTCGAAACCTGTCAGCATTCTTACTTTCCCAATTGTATCTTAACTACTAATAAGGTATAGTTACCTTCTTCTGCTCCTTCGCTTTCAGGCCCGCAGTAGCCAAAAAGGTCTGTTGGTGCTGGCGGCATTGTTCTGGGCAAGGCTATCGGAAGGTCAGTGAATTATAGTCACTGAATTGGATTTAGAAGATAAGAGATATATAAATGGGCGTGCTTATTATCCTCCTCATTCTATGTCCCTGTTTTTGGTCTAAACTTGTCACTCATGCACAGTACCCAAATCTAGGAACAAGAACTAAGCAAGGAACCAGTTAGGGACATTATCTTACACTAATTACTTATTACAGAGCCTAATTGTGGGCCTAAAGTAATAAGGCAGACGTCCAGTGTGCGTTATGCGCGGTCTCTTGCTATAAGCCACTCTGAGAAGTGAGACCGACCTTTCATAGTGAGTGTAAACTTTAATCTCTTCACCATGACTGAGACTTTATAGTAGCAACGGACATCATAAATATTAACGACCACTGAACCAATAAGGCCAGGAGCACCTTCCCGCTCCCAATAAGATCTAAGAGTAAAGGCGCATAATACTGCATGTTAATAACTCCAGCACGAAAGGACAGGCTTTTTTGCCAGAACGATGTGGGAAACCCCTTACCTCTAGATCATGACGACTTATTGAAGTTGTGTACTATTAGTGCTGTTGCACCTGAAAACCTGGGGGTTAGCAGCAGCATGGATGTTATTTTCCCCTCTTCAGCTCTGCAGGACATAGGCGATTTGTGAGACCAGAGCATTCTTTTAGGACGACTATAAACACATAACGATTCCCGTGCTCAGGCGGGGACGAGTATTCCGTAAGAACATGAACCTTATGCATACATACGCCAAATAGACCAAAAGATAACGAGATTATCACTATTCGCTTCCCCATTTTCATATTTATTCCCCTTATAGTACTTTAATTGCTTGCTGCGCCAGGGGAAATAGCCTCGAGCTGCGATTGCTTACTGGGTCCACAAACGTAGCGCTGGGCCTCTGCGGCGAGGTACTCATGGGTGAGCGAGCAGTCGCAACCGGTATGTTGTAAAAGCTTCATCTTGAGCTCCTGGACCTCACGAGTCAGGTTGGCTACGCAGATGGACAGGTCGTGATTGGTTCGTTCCAGCTCTTGCTCCTCTGACTGGACTCTTAGCGTATCTTCTCGCTTCTTAGTTCGGAATTTGCTGGACGTAATGCGATTCCTTTCTTTTGTATGTTGGCTATGGCTTTTGCCCTGTTGGTCTGAGCGCTCACTACCATGGCGGCCATGAATACTGCAAGGTCTGTTTGAACGGCCAGTACCTCCTCCCGTTGCTGTATTGGCTTTGCTGTCTCTAGAGGAATCTTGTCTCTTAGACTTTCGAGCTGAAACTTTATTTGAGCAACGCTTCCGCTTCTGGCGCTCCTCCTTTTCAGCCGTTAAGGGCGGAGACGGCATGGGTAACTGGTGCGAGGTTTGGGGAAATAGCGTCTGAAAGACTGAGGTTGTAGCCGTGAAGGTGGCGGAAGGGTATGGATCACTCCAGTAATCCAGAGGTCTGGCTGTGGAGGTAGGTATGGAATCATTAAACAAGAATTCGCTTTGCCTGTAAACGCTCGCTAAAGTGCCTCCTTCCGCTGACTGTGGAAGGGCTCGCTAGTCCATTGAACACCATTGCTCCCAAAAAGGATTGGAGGAAATGGGTACTGTATTGGAGACGTCGATACCCAGCTTATTTTTTATAGAATCGACTGCCATAGATCCTCCTTCATCCATAATGTAGTTGCCTGGTAGGTTGATTAGTCATAATAACTTGCAGACGTAAAATAAGGAGCTACGAGAATCATGCCCTACCTTTTTAGTTCTTCTTTTAAGAATTTAGAATAATCATTGATTAGATTTGTTTATAGTAGCGTCTTTGTTGATTTGAAACCCAATTTTAAGGAAGCTGGATGATAATTAGCGCCTGAAGTCGGTGGCAGACGAGCCGCAATTGAGCTGGAAGGAATAGACGTAGATATGACGTCACCAAGAGTAAGTCTTGGCAAGGAGGGGCCATTACCCCTCTTGCGATGACCTCACCGCTTACGTCGCAGGCCGGCTTGATTGTATAAAATCTCGCTGCCGGAATAACAGTGAATTCGATTGCCCGATTCGCAGATTAGCCTAGTATCGACCTCTAGCTACCTATGCCGCCCTTCGTGGCACACAATCAATGGGTCGACGAAGGTGATGGTGGTGAAGGAGCCAGATGGATTCTTGGGAGCGACCTGCAACAGCTTTTAGCCTTGGGTTCGACTTTCTCAAACCAGCGAGGCGTCATATTTACTACGAAGGGAACACTTTAGCCTTATTGTATGAAATGGCGGTATCAGCGAGCTGACTTCTCCTACGATCCATAACGTCCCTCTCCATCATGAAAGCCTTCTGGTATCATTGAAATGGAGCACAGCGTCGTTGCAGGTGCGTTGGGTAGTCCGCTAATCGCACCAGGCGTGACAATCGCCAGGGCCCAGCCCCAGATTTGAGGGCAAGGAACGGGCCGCTCGGTCGGGGGCTAATCTACCGGCCATTGAGCCCCGAAAGTATTCGGCAATATGAGTTGCGGAAGAGTTCTTGCATAGACTATCCGGAGGTGGAATCTATGCCGGTTTCGTTAGTCAGCGGCCAGTCGAAATAAGCTATTCAACAATTTCAGTAACCTTCATGGTTGTCCTATTTTTAGTGGCATTGCATGTCTAGCAGTCCAGTAAGTTTTGCAGTCTTAACGGGAAGAGGCATCGCCTACCGCTGTGTTCTGAGGGAGCCCCAAGTGCATGGAGTGCGCGCAGACCTGTGAAGCGCCACAACAATCCTTGTGGGCTACAAGAAGGTAGTTTAGATGGCTATTTCCGCTTCTAGTCGAGATCGCTCAGCATTCAGTGCCCGGTTCTTGGAATATTGTTCTCCGCAAGAATCCAGTCCCGCTAGCCGGCTAATGTCGCGCTCTTTGCTGGTCATTATAAATGCTTGCTCACTCGATATAAGCCTATCTTTATTAATAAAAGATAGCTTTCTCTTCGAGCCCCGTATACAGACAAGTTTGGGCCGATTTCGCTGCTAGCCAACCTCTTAGTATAACCTCGTAGTCGAAGGGGGAGACGGTGTAATTTGCGTACTGGCAAGGCTTAGGCATGTAAACCAATGTAAGAAATCTTTCCTTTAACTACTAATGATTTAGAATAGGAAATGGGATTGGGATTAAGAAATTAAGCCGCTACAAAAAGAGGGGCGCTATGATGATCAAAACTTTACTTCATAGGGTCATCATATATAATATGGGTTCGAAAGATGGGCTCCATTAGCCCAATCTTAGCTTTCAGTATGGGGAGGGGGAGAAAGAAAGAGACAATATAGTTAATTCTTTGACATTGAAAATATGTCACGTCTTTATCATAGGGACTGGGTAAGGTATTTTCATTACATCAACTTGGTGTCAATATTGATAGGGTCTCAGTACACCCGAGGCGCCGGGTGAGCATCTTGTCTGACTCATCAAATACGAGAATCGCTCGTCTGGGCCTGTAATGAGCGTTTCTGGGCTCTCTGATCCGATCGGCTCCAAACGTGTGAAGCTTCTTCAGATGGTTCTCATGAGGAACAGTATTTGGGTCCCTAAGGTCTTCAGTTTTGCCCGAAGTTCATACTTGATTGGAGGTGATCTGGCACGTGCAGCCTTATCCATTGTGTCCACCAGTGCCGGCAATAGACTCTTCCAACACAAGTAGTTGGATAAGCCGCTTTAATAGTTTGGCGTGAGGAGAAAAGAATATTTTTCGCCTGCCTGTGTTTGCTACCTAGTTTCAAGGAAAGCTGCGAAGGGTGTCCAGCTGTAGCCGGGTCTGCTCCAGCTCGCTGCGAGCATCAGTAAGCTGCTCTCAGACTTGCGATAACTTTTGTGCCACCTGGGCTGTAGTCCTGATGACTTCCTTAGCCATGCGATCACTAATCTTAGTAAACCCAAGCCGAAACTCTGCCTTCATGCCCTCTATCTTCTTGGTATTTTTCTAGAAGTTGTTTCAGGCCCTGGGCTGCTTTGATCGTGCTGCCAGCTGCCTTAGGCGTCACCCTTTTTCTTAGTTCGTGTATGACTCAGCACTCCCTCACTGCTCTCCTCCTCCTCCTGCCATTACATATCGCCCTTTTTGCTGCTCAGATTCCAATGCCTTCGCCGTCCTGATTATTTTACGCAGGGGGACGATGATATCCCGCCCCGAGTCTCCGGGTCTCGTCTCATGACGATGATGATGTCTGAAGCGGGGTTTGCAACGCGACATCCGCCAATGGCCTGAAACTCCGCCAAGCGGCTAATAGGTCTTCAGACAGTTATAAAGAAGATAAATAGGAAGATTTAAGAAGTTTCCAAAGATTCATCACCTTCTGCTGCCTTGTTATTAACTGTCGTCTGCGCTAGCACCTAGGGGGCGGGTCTATGTCAATAACAGCTGGGGCAGAGATGACGTTGCCGATGCATCATTTCCACCGTCATCGATGCAGATTCCATCCGCATAAAAAGAAGTTTTTCCCTCGCTTGCAGTTCGGTCGTCGCATAATGTGAGGCCATTTTGTCCACTTCAGTCGGTAGGTCCATCCGTATATTTGGAATCGAGTTTTGGTGTACTATACGCGCATCTCATCCCCACTGTAAACTTCTCGTTCTCACTTCAGTTCTTGTAACACTTATTGAAGATTCAAGAGAATTCTGGAAAATGGGGTGGCCGCAGTGGCAGGTCACTGCTCACGGTTGTGTTGGTCAGCGCAAAATGTCTGAGGAACGGTCCAGATGTGTGATTGGCTTGTATAAATCATGCAGCCCAAATTCGAAAATCACATGCTAGGGGTTCTTCCCCTAGCTGGCACTACGCCATCGTCACATCCCCGTCACATCAACCCTTCTAGCTGGTCTTAGGGTTCGATGGCCCTCACTAATAATGTTGGGGAGCGATACCTGCGTCCCCAACGCGCGATCTACGTTGAGTGCAATCAGAGGGAGGAATCATTGCTTTGGAGTAGAAGTGACTCAGCAAATTCTGCAAGCAAGACACTTCGTTATCAAGGGGTTGCATAGAGCCAACGTCGAGTTCCCAAGACCAGCTTCCCTCAGCACCCACCCCCAGAAAACGGAGAACCCTCAATGATAGTCCATAGATCGCTGTCCTTTTTTGACGCAGCGCGCAACGGCAGCACCAGGATGTCACGCTGCGGAAGCGGCATTCCCGGTTGGAGCTGGCGCATTGGGAACATGCCAGCTATTGGTCGTCATACTGCTGCCGTTAGAAGAGTTTTTGGGTCGAAACCAAGGATATTTCCAACGAACTATGATCTTGTGCCCTCAGCATCCTGAGGGGATATTATCAGTAAAGCTTTAACAGATACCGACAGGTACGACCTACCACAAGCAACCGAGACTTGGATCCATTTCGTATTACAGAACATACCAGCACTATTCTGAGGTTGTCTTTGTTCTTCCGAGGCGTTGGCAAAAGTAGATGCATGACTTGATCTTAATTATGGTGTAGGCGCGGTGATCCAGTTAGGGTAATGAGTAGGAATTTATAATGAAGAAATAACAATTGTAGAACCAAGATGAATGAATGCAATGAAGGATTTATATTGAAGGTACATGATCGGTCTTGGCTGTCTTGCACAGTCCACCTGTTGCTTGAAATGCAGTATTGGGTGGTTGGGGAAACCTGATTCGAGCCCGGGAATACGGGGAATTCCTTATTTGTTGGGGCAAATAGCACTCCTCCAACTTCCACAGCCAAAAGGCATGCCCACTTTCTCTCACAAAAGATTTCCCTCTTATCCTTTCCGGTTATCTCTTTGGACGGCACAAGGCTACAAACGGGTCACGACCGGGGTCTAGAGCCAATGAAAATGATCGCAACAAATAGTACTTCCCCACGCACCTAATTTTGCGTATCTTAGAAGTACCAGCAGTTTGCATTGTTACAAATCGCTACATCGCACACTTGGCAGCCGTATCGGGTCCGCGTAATTGATGCATTTCCTGATATCGGCTGCAAATAGCTTCCTTTTACCTTCCTTTTTTAAAAGGTCGGGGCTGCCTTTGCCTGAAGCCCTTGTGGACGTGATTGATATCTCTTTGCAGGTGATTTTGCCGTGCCTCTGTATCATCGCTGTCTTCTTCCATCCCTGAGCAATTCGTCTTCCTTGCCTGACTTTCCCTGGCATATCTGTTGAAAATTGTGCTATAGATGCATTCCTTCCAGTCTTTTTTAGAGTCATATACGGCCTCCAATTAGGATTTGGTGTTTTAAGCTGCAAAATGAAGCTATTCGCAAGTACAACATCGACACCACTGCGTTTCTTGCCCAGTTTCAGGAATGGCAGCTCGAGAATGTTTCAATGAAACGCATCATCGAAAATGGCCAGACTACATTTCAATTCCAGTTTGAGTGGCCCCTTTGCGCAAATCATCCGCATACCGCCAGTGTGAATCCCGATTCAACTCCCTCGGTCGCTGCCAAAAAAAACAAGCAAGCAAGCTCCAGCAAGACGGGCAAAGTATTCAGACGATGAAGATAACTTCCTCATACAACTGAAGGAAGTGGAGCAGCTTGGGTGGGTGGAGATTCGTCGGCGTTTTGTTCAACATTTCCCCGAACGAGGCGGCCCGGACCTGCAAGTGCACTACTATACGAAGCTCAAGGATCGTGGGAGACCTTTATATCATCATGCTCCCTTGGGGAGGGGGGACTTTGAGACGAGCGGGATGTATATGACCTGCGCCTTGCCATGACGGATCCTCAGGAGGCGAGCGTTGAGGCCCTAGCCTCTGGCTTTGAGGATATAGCACTATTCCAAGAGTTTATTAAGTTCATGAATAAAGAGGATTCAAGCGAGGACGACCCGATGGAGGATGGCCCGATGGAGGATGAGACTGTAGCCTGGGAAAGGCTATGAAAATAGATCCGGGACCAAAAGGCTGCGTGCCATGCATCACCAGATGCGTGGGTGACATCTGCTGGGACAGTGACCAGGGGATGAGAGGAGGGCTAATGTTGCTGAGAAGTGCCAGGACGAACAAATTTGAAAGTGAGGGATTGCAGAGTGGTGTCTTTGGAGTTTATGTGTTGAACGAGAGGGAAACATGCACCATCTCAGGGGGAAGTTTGCATTCTTATTGCTTTCAGAGCTCCCTTAACTGATCAGTCAAGATGGAAACAAGCTGAGGGATCAACAGCCCGGATGTGAAAGCAGGCCGCATCAAGAGCGACCAAATCTGAAGGAAGGTACCAATTGCGATTGTTGGCAAGAACTGCACAGGCCACTGAGTGCGGTTCTCTCCCTACTTCTGTCTTAGCCTGGCCACGGATGCATGTCAGTCCCCGGTATATATTAATTTTGAGGCTTAAGCGGCCTTTTCCGTTTATTACCATGTTGAGGTTACGGTAACCATCTGGTGCTTATTCCAGCCCTGTAATCGGCCATCTAACTTCCTAAGATCATGCATAGCCTCGTTAATGTGGTTGCGGTCCGTCCAAAGCTCGCTAATCTGTTCGGCCTCACCGATATGCTGCTTCCGATGCTTCGATGTGGTTGGCTTGATATCCAGCTCGTAATTATTCGATAGCCCCCGGATTTCTAGCTTCTGCATCACTTCCAAGTCCTCCTGCTCCGCCGCTGGGCCACAGGGGCTTGACCCCTGCCACCAAGTTCCTGAATTTCCCGTGACCGGCGTTTTGGAATTCACCTCTGACACCGAGTTTGCGGGTGTCCCTGCCTCTACCATAATTGACTGAAGATCGTCGGGTATTGTCTGGATGGGTGGGGAGCAAAAGTCGTAATCAAGACCACTGCCTACCACGGGATAGGTGGTGTCAAGAAGCATTTTCCAAACGCCTGGGTTGCCAGCTGCAGAAGGTATAGAATTGTGCAGAATGTCAGTATAGGTCCCTGTTGTAGAAGCCTGGATCTCTCTGACAATAGACTCATTGAAAAGCGGTGCAGAGTCGATGAAATTGTACGGAGTAGTCATACTGTCCCCCCCGAGGTCCACAGCCGAATCATCATCGCTCCGTCTATGTACGGGACAGCAATTAGCACCATATCGACCAACAGAGTCATTTACGCTGCAACTCAAATTTGAGTACTTTCCAACATAAGAGCAATGCCTAAGCTGATGATCCGCCAGGAAATTACAAGAATCTCCGTTCGCGAACAGGGTTTTCGACGGTGATAACCTGCTATCATAAGCGTATCCAGGTTGGAAAATTCGAGGTCGCGTGGAGTCGACCATATGGTCAGCTTGATTTGTATTCTCCCCCCTGTTGGCCCACGAAACATGAATGCTACGCCTCTTGCTGGGAGGCTCGTCTACTGGAGCTGGGCTGTTGCTGTGTTTTAATTTGGCCATTGATAGTACGAAAAAGTGTGAATATCAAGCAATGAATGGGTAATGTGTCCGCAGCGCTTCAGTTTGTGCGTTGCCAAATAATTTGTTGAGATTTCTGTAGTCAGTCGCAAATTCTACCTTTAGTTATTATGTAGAAAGAACTATTTATCACCACAAAACTTCCTGTGTCGCACGCAAACACTGTTATCTAGCACATCAATGATGCGGACTCGGCCCAGTGATGTCATAGGAGCGAGATCATTACGTAGAAATGATAATGTCTGAAGCGGGGTTACAACCACTTGGCCAGAAAACAAGCGAAACTTATACCAACGGCCTCACTGAGCCCCAAGACAATAGGTATAAGCTCTCCTTGAATGCTTTACCCCGTTATTGCAGTTATGAAATTATCGGTCAGCCTATATCCTCCTCTGACGACCCAGCGTTATATGCATCCATAGATAGATCCTCATCTTCGCCAGACGTGGAATTTTCGGTGCTGAACGGCGGAAAGAAGCTGGTAGGGGATGGCAGTGGAACTGGTATCAGTCTCTCCGTGTGCCATGACAGATACTCAATCTCGATATGCCGTGATTCCTCGATTGTTTTTATTTCTGAACCGCCGAGAACGGGACCAGAAGTTAACATCGTCGCCCGGTGACGGATGGTCCTTTCTATGCTTTCATTCGACCTCCCAATCTGAGGCCCGGAAGACCGTGGGAGAATATCTTGCTTAGGCCGCTTAGTATCGACAAATACCGTAAAGTGATCATCGGGGCGAACACCACCGAGGCCGCAGGGTTCTAAGGGTTGCTGCCTTATATACTGCTGGTCGTTGTTCCAAATCAAATCCAGTTCGATACCGCTGCTTTGTTCACTTCCATCCTTCATCAGACCCTGAACTTCATTATTATCACCGCCCATGGCTGAACTCTGCTGACGCAGGTCTTGGCATCGATCCGTCAACGGCTTGTAGTAGGTGAAGGACCTGGATGTTATTCGTCGAGGAGACCGAGCGAATTCTGATGGTTGCAGAGAATCCTTTCTAGGTTGGACGCTTGAGAGCGTGCGAGTGGTAGGTGATAGATCAGCTGGATCACCCGTCAAGTCAGTGCAGAAAGGTGCACCGCTATAGTATGTGATAGCACCTTCGTGGCGTTGCCATTTGCCAGCCGACCCCGCGGAGTATTTTAAGCCCAAGCCCGACTCGCCAGGATTTTCGTTGTCCACGACTACAGAAGAGTAAACTGACGCACCCTGTGAAGTGTGCCCATCTGACGAATCCTGCTGAGCAAATAGTGGCTTGTAGCGGAAACTTTCAACTCGAGCGCAAAGCTGCGGATCAAATCCAAGCATATCCTTACTTAAACCGCTGAGTTGAGATTCATTACTAGTGAAACGGCTAGTTTTCTGGCGCTCGCCTTTCTTTTGCGAACCATCGGTATTACCGCCAGAAGGAGTCTCTGACGTGTCATAGCCAGAGCTGTAGCTACTGAACTTGGTATCCTTAGATCCGCCTCGCCATCGAATTTTATGCGCGTCAGGGGATAGCTGAAATCTAGTGCTGATTTCGGATATGGCGGAGCGAACGAAGTCTGGTGTCACATTAATCAAGTGGAGTTGGGCCAAGTTGTACAGCAGGTTCAAAGACACCCAGCCTTCAGCGCCTAGGTGGATGTCTTGGATACTCTGCTGTCTAGGCAATAACTCGGGCGGCAGTAGGTCCAAATGCCGGATGTAGTTTATATTCTCAGATGGAACCTGAGCACGATCGGGATCTAAATCACAGGGCCGCGTGGGTCGCTGTTTTGACAGAGGCAAGGCTAGGGAGGACGGCTTGCTATCAGAGGCCAAGCCACCACCATCGCCCCCAGTCTCCATGTTGTCCTTATTGGGATCAGAAGCCGATCCATAGTCACTTGAATGACAGTTGTTTCTCCAAATGCCAGATCGTTGTTCTAGAGAGAGGATTCTTGCTTCCCGGATAGGCTCAGTTCCATGAGTGGGTGGTTCGTGGGCGGATGATGGGTCCGCCACCTGTGCATCCGATACAACCCGCGCCATAATGAAGCTACCGCCCGGTCGCATAGGCGGCATCTTCGAGATATTGGCACCGTTACTTCTGCCTGTAAAGAGCTGTTCGAGACGACGAACAACAAGACTCTTCCGCTCCTTGTCTGTCATGATTACGTGTCGTGGGTACAGGCCGTCGGGAACATCTCTTAGATAATCCTCGACCTTGTCCTTTGATGATTGGGTTGAAGTCAAGATGGGGAGGTTAAAAGGGGTGCTTGAAGACTCAGCACCGGCTGACATGGAGGCATAAGCGGAGTCAGCTGGCCAGAGGCTGGAACCTGGAGAGGAAGGAGCACGTTTGCGCTGAATTCCAGATTTGGAGTATATGTGATCGTGGTTATGGGGGGATATCTTTTTCTTCTTTTGCGATGATGGCATCTCTGGAGACCCATCGAGATCGGTGGCAAGGTCTCTCAGTATGGCTTCGAGCTCCCTCTTTTTCTTTTGGGGAAGCCCATGAACCTTGATCTCAAACAGCTTGTCTTTACGGAGCGTGGCCGGACCCGGTTGCTTATAGCGCCTGAGTTCCTTCCTAAGCTGTTGAATCTCAAGCGTTAGGTCATCGATGATGCTGCGATAGTCATCAACGCTACTGCTGTGCGCTGTGAGGGGCACAGGAGAGGCGACCTGGTATTGAGGATGCGAGTATGGATTCTCCGTATTCCATAAATCTGATTCTTTCTGGAAGAAGGGAACATTAACTATAGCTTTGCGTCAGTTTCTTCTAAACTACCGGGAGTCCGCTAGAAGTAGTGCATACCGTCTATGGCATCGTTATTGGCGGTCGCGTTATGGCTCGAGTCGTTATGCCATTCTGGCGGGTCGTTTGGCCCCGTCTCATGACTGCCGCGGAGGGAATTGAGATGGAGAGATTGATCGGTTGTTGGTGGCGAGGTTCTATATGAACTACTTTGATTTGAAGGCATCTTAGCCCCGTAAGCATATGGGACGTGGAGCGAGACCCTGATAGGACTGCTTAATTGTTGATGTCGCAAGAATTCCGAGTATGCCGATCGTCAGGCTACATTACAGTAAGATTTCCACGCAAGAACTTGGCTAATTTAGCAGTCGGTGAATTGGAACAGAGACGGGAAAACGGTATCGCGCGGAATACTTCATGTACCTAAGCGTTGAACTCAGATAGTCGTATGGCGATGATTAATGATAAAACGGCCGTGACACTCTCGGCGGAGTATCGTGCGCGGTATCTTGAAGAACGGACGAGTTTGGGCATGATGTGAGGTCGAGAAGGCATGCTGAATGTCGCCCGAAGCAAAGACGGGGTAGGTCACTTGCCAGCGTAGACACTGACTGATTAGTGGTGGTGTGGGTTTAAAGTGGAGGGCGCTAGGACCCAGGAGCTCGGGTCCGGGTCCGCGGAAGAAATTTAGGGACAGGGCAGGGCGTGCTGAGGTGTTCTTTTGGTTGGATGGGGTTCCTACTTAATTAATAAGGCTGGGCGTTGAATGCGGTACGAGCATGAGCAAAAGAAATATTAGGAGACAACACTATTAACAAACGCGGGAAGCTGTAGCGAGAGAAATGGGGATTTTGCGGACAGTTCAGCAATGCTGCGATTTATTGCAAAATGTTCACAGGGCATACCATACGCACCGTGAGCCTGACTCAGTTAACTGGGTGGCTTGCTAGGCATGTGATCAACAGTTAGATGCTTTAGGTCTCAGACTCTACCCAGGATCAGGCCTCAGGCCATTATCGAGCAAGGAAGCATCCCGGAAGAGGATCTCCGGTACGAAGCTCAAGGATCGTGGGAGGGCTTGATATCATAATACTATTCTGGGTAGGGGGAACTTAAGATGGATAGGATGTAGGTTAAACTAGCTAAGGAGTGCTGCAATGCATATAGTTCCTGCATGTTCCTGGCCATATGCGTGCACGATGTGATTCCCGACGCTAGACAGTTTCCTTTTGGTCTAGTAGGCCATAGAAGGCAAGAACGCCTCAGTCCCTTCCCATACAAATTTTGTTCGGTCCCTACGACCCCCCGAGATCAAAGTGAAAAGAAAATTAAAGAGAAAGAAATGACGCTCAGCTACGTCGACCGCTGCTAAGAACTGGAAAAGGGCTGCTTGTAGCCAAAGAGAAAATTATGCCTGCCTCCGCTCTAAGAGAACTTCATCACCAGTACACGACCTGAACGACAGCCGATAGCGACCGTTGACCCCACCACAGCCGAATTTTTCTAGTGGGCGTATGCTGGTCCGATGGCCACACACTCTGGAGACCTGTCATGTTCCGCGACGAGCCCACGACAATCGATATCCCACTCTAGCCCTGACACTCTGTCTGAATTAAGCCTAGAAGAAACTCCATTTGATCCAAGGTTTCGAGAATTTCTGTACCAGATATCGGAGCGCAACGATTGATAAGGTCATCACTCATGCATGCAAGGCCCAAGGAGGCTGCCCGAATCTAAATGGCCCTTGTCAGGTATATATGGAGTCAAGGACGAGAGAAGAGATTTACCAAGTGAAAGTCACACGTGATCAATTTCGGATAATTTTCGCAGGCTGTTCTGCCCACATGGCTGTTGGATCCTGTTGCAATGGGCTTGCGGGGAAGGGTTATCGCGTATGACATCCTGAGCAACAACTGGGGGACGGCCGAATTCCAGGGGCCCACCAAGAACAAAGCATAAATATAAAAGTAAAAATGTAAAGCTTAAAGGGTGATGACTGGATGATGGAAACCTGAGGAGCTCTTAGCAGTATATAGCAGCGTCTCTATCATCTATCATCTTATGGAGATCTTTGCGTCGCCGAAAGGGAAGTGAAGGGGGGGGAAAAAAGGTGACCCCATTGAGTATCAAGGTGCGCAAGGGGGCCTGCGGCGTGGGGAAGACCAAGCTCGATGTTCGACTTGAGCAAATAATAATCCGGTTAGGGCCCCTTGTTGTGATAAAAAGTTGACGAAGTGGGGGTAGGAACCTTGCCGTGTTTTACGGATGGTTTGTTTCCGCGCCAGGTTCTCGATTGCGTGAGGCTAGGCAAGCCATGTTCGCCTTTATTCAGAAGGCGAGGCAAGAGACCCGCTAAGACATGGCAGCTGAAGCGGAGTGGACACTAAAGTAGTGGTAATTGGTGGGTTTCGATTCTGAACTGGGGAAGTGCCAAAAAAATCAGGCAACGCGCTCACATGCTTTCTGTCTCTGGCAAATCACATCCCCAGGTTTGTCACAAGGCGGTTGATCACATTTCGTGTTCTCCACATCCCACTTCAGCTGCATTGCATGTGTTGCAGTGAATGTACACCTTTTGTCTCGAATTAGATCCTTTTAACCTCAACTGTAGATGTATTTATCACAGGGTGACTGGGAATTTCGATAGCATAGTAGTAGGGACGATGAAGTGGTGGTTGAAGTAAATGTAGAATTGGTTAACCGATTTCGACCAACTCTGTAAACAATATCAGCTCCTCCAGAAACTCACATGGTCCAATCAATTTGCGCGGAGCCTATTCATAAATGATATCTCAAGGAAAAGCTTTCCGTGCTACATGTCTAATTAGAGCCCTTCAGACTTACGGGTTTGTTTCCTCTTCCGTGCTAGCCCGGATACAATGAACTTGACCTGGTTTTTCAAGGATACATGCCACTAATGACACCATCGCGTTGAGGCTTGACCCCTCTCTTCTTCATCATCAATGCAGGGGCTCTGACTTTGGTTGTTACGCATTCGCCACTCTGCCGCTGAGACCTGCTTGTTCCACATTTTCTTGTGCCCTTCTTATTTATAACCATTTGGCTCTCTGTCGCATTGAACCCCGCTGTGTCCAAGTTCCCTTCCTAGCATCATCCAAACCCCGCTCCAGTTCAACGGTCGAGGTTCATACCAAGGTGCTTCGAGTCTTGGCTCTATTCATTCAACATCGGACGAAGCTAACTCGGACACGTCAACCTTTATAACGCTACCAGACATGGATACCGTCCACCTTACCCATAAACAAGACCCTCTCGGCGACGATATGCAAGCCTACGACACCTACGCACCCGCGCCTAACGTAAATTTCATAAGTCAAGACCCTTCAGGCATGAATATCTATGGTGCGCTACCTCAATCCCATTGGAGACAATGGTGGTCTCCTACTGAAGATGCTTCCTTTGCCGAATTAGCCAACGTGACCACCCCCAATGTCTTCGCCCAAGAAGAGCCCCGATACAACTACACCTACAATCCTGAAACCTTTATACAGTGGGACTTTCGTGCTGCCTCCACCCACGGCTATCCTAATAGGCCTTTTAGCATTTGATCGTTTGCATCGGGAATGCTGACGACGTAGATATCCATATCTGATTCACCGGCAATTGACAAACTGAAACTGGATTTCCCAGTACCAGGCGGCCCATGCAAGAGGTATCCTCGTTTGTAGGGAATTGAATGTTGGGAGTACCAGTGTCTAGTTTCAGGATTGAGGAAGTTTTGAATGTCCTTAATCAGGTCGTCCTTTTGCTTTTCATCAAGAATGACTGTCGACAGAGGCCGAGCAGCCACTGCTTTCTCCTTTCTCCAGTATTCATCGCGATGTCCGTGGATGGTCGTCTTATTCTTTGATTCATTAAGGTATCCACGTCGACAGTCTTCTAGAAGTTCTCTCAAGATTCCAGATCGCCCAGCACAGGTGATGGAGATCTGCTCTTCTTTGTGGAAACCAACATCCACTTGTGTAGTCTGATAGTAGAGCAAGTTGTGCTTGTACCAGAAGACAAAGGAGCCTTCCCAAGGGGCATATCGGAGAGCTTTTTTAGCGTGGGGGTCATGTCCTTGGGTAGGATTTTGCTTGGTTTTGACTTTAGCGAGAATAGAACGGGCGGTATCATCCAATCCTTGAGATGAGATCCAGGTCTGGACCATGTGGTATGTTTCATCCGAAGATTTGATATAGATTGTTGATGCTTAGCGGTCAGCCTGGGATCCGCGGAGATATGTTCGATCACTCACTGCAATGCTGAAGGAACCAATCTTTCAATTGGGACACATAGGGCTTCAAAAACGCGGCCAGTGCAAATAGGCACATCAATTGAGTGTAGCCAGTTAAGTTGCCACTGAGGACCTGACTTGCCGCAGTGGTGATATTGGTAAACCCAGGAAGAAAGAGGTCCAAGACAGACATCTGCTGTGACAGTGACCCAGGGATGAGAGGGGGGCTGATGTTGCTGAGAAGTGTCATGACGAACAAATTTGAGAGTGGGGATTGCAGAGTGGTGTCTTTGGAGTTAATGTATTGAAGGAGAGGGAAACAAGCACCATCTCAGGGGGAACATTAGCATTCTTATTGCTTTCAGAGCTCCCTTAATTGATCAGTCAAGATGGAAACACGCTGAGGGATCAACAGCGCTGATGTGAAGGCCGCATGAAGAGCGACCAGGCGCTGTAGATACGCAACTATCTGTATCAAAGCACAGTCATAGTAAGACGCGCTGCAAGAACCATCAACCTGCAAGCCATCAAATACAATTCGCTCTCCTATTTTGCTTTACTCCCACTGTAATGTGGTTGCGCGTGTCTCGGCCGACTCCTCGTCGCTCCGCGTATATCGCAATCACTTCCTATTCGATGATCCCGCGCGGTTCCCATGCAAGCGTCGGCGTCTTCAGCGGACTGAGAGAAACTTCTCAGTTGGACGGCCAGTGAAACTTCCGTAGGAGACCTGGTTAGCGCCGTCAGAGCACTTGTATCAAGGCACTGCAGGCGTTCGCTCCCGTACATGAACCATGGTCACAGCCCGTCACGTCGATTGTCATCGCTGTACACCTCAACCGATTGTTCGCATTATACTAAAATTAGGTACTTTTAGGTTGAGACAGTAACACACCAATACAAACAGTACTGGGTGCTCTCATTGCCATGTGCTTTGTCCCAATGCCTTAATTCGGTTCTGGGTCTTTTTGTGACTGGCAGCGAATTACATGATTGGAAATGCTTAACCCAGCTCCGCCATCGTAACTGCGGGGTTGTGAACAGCTCCCACGACTACGTGGACAGCCCCCCGATGCGTGGACAGCCCCCCGATGCGTGGACAGCCCCCCGATACGTGGACAGTTCCGAGTCGGGTGACACAATACCCGGCCCCCGTAATGACGTGACTTTGTATACAGCAAGGCTTTCATATGTCCAGTTGGCGATGCAAACGGAGGAAGAAAACGGTCATTAGACGGTCAAGATCCAACATCCCATTGTTGATCCCTAACTAAATGCAAATATGAAACGAACATCCCAAGACAAAATACAGCTTCGAGCTACCAACCGCCCTAAGAGCGTAAATGTGACGTTTAGTATAATTTCAGGGGAGGTGTAAAAAGCGCCAGGATGCTCACTTCTTCAGAAAACACCAGTCTTATCTTGGGCCATGACCACAGGTGGGACATGTAGTGCCCTGAATGCCTTTACCATCGCAGAGTTCGCACTTCGACATTTGGAAAATTAATTGCAGTGGAGGGGAAATAGAGAAGAACAAAAAGTTGATGTCCGTGTTAGTCGCAGCAACCCAACGAGGTATATTGAGCTCAGGGGTCTTTATGTGACAGGGTGCGTGGCGTAGAATCAGGCACCTAGGAACAGGAATCAGCAATTTCTTAATCTTGCATGAGCGCTAGGTCCAAGTCGGCGTGGAATATCATATTTCCGAACTTGGATCTACGTTGCCTCTCCAACCTTCGTCATTTGGTTACAAGCTCAGTCTCGCACAACAATGAGATCATGACGAACAATTATAATCAATGCGCCTGCTCTGCGTCATTTCCGTCAACCGAATTACTGGCAAATCACTTAGCTGAGATCCGGGTGGGTGTTTTGCCCGAAATGAGATTTCAACTGACTTTACGCAGTCGCAGGAACGCTACCACGTCATTCAATTAGAACAATGTCGCAAACACTTGGTCAGCGACAACTCAGACGATGAACAACATGTCGAAGCACCTCGCGACCCCGAGCCCGAATCCAAAATATGTCCTTTTCCAAACTGCAAGCGAGCAAAGCCGTTCGCCACGAATTTCAAGCTCTGGCGTCACGCTGCGCAACGTGAATCTCGCCCTCTGTCTGTGCCATTACAACGGTCAGTAACGAATTGAGTACAGACGTCCGATGCGAGGAAGTGTGCGTGATTTGCTTCAAATTATTCGAGTTCGCAAGCGAGATCATCCGACATTGTGAGGAAAATCACAGGACCGAGTTCGGCAGGAAAGCCACATACATGAAGGGAACGTTAGAGGAAGTTTCACGTCGCGTATCTTCTGAGTTGTACGCTGCAAAGATCGCCTTCAAGGAGAGGACTCTTGTCGGCTCCACAAGTGAGAGCAAAAAGAGAACTCGAGATGAGGCAGGTATCGACAATGAAGCGTCGGAAACTCAAGGAGCAGAGTTGGTCGCACTGACTACACAACGCTCACAGTTGCACGCTACTGGTACTGTCCACAATCCAAATAAGCCGCCCATCCTAATGCAGAGCCAGAAGACATGAGCGCATTGCCTCCTCCACCGACAGATGCAGCTTTCCCGTTGATAATGACTGCTTCCGGACTTAGCCGACCCCGACACAGTGACGAGTTGCACAACAGCTCGACACAGCTGATGTACCACCATCCGACACAAGAGAATACTGTGGTCGATCCTTACAACGCACGTCTCTTGCAGTTGGTTAGCTCTGTTCCATTTACGGGTGATTTTGACTGGGCGGAGATCGAAGGGTGGGATGGTTCGCAGAACGTAATATGAGCCGTCATGATTCACGTGTTTGTTGTATCTTTGATGGCAAAGTTTAAGCTGATCTTCGAGGTTTCCATCTCGACTGCCATACGGATAAGCTTGGGAGAATTCGCGAGAAGGATCTTCGGCCAGCCGGAGAGGGAATCCGCTACCGCAAAAAGGAATGTTATTGCATATCCCTTTAGTGTTTCAGCGTATGTTCGAGCATCTCGAATGACCCTATGTACGATTAGCCGCTTTCACTGTAACTTGCAAACGGGGAGGGTTAGCTGACAAGCCTCCCGATTGGAACTGCTTCAGTTTGGCAATGCAGCCCGCCTTTTCAAGCTCAGACCGAGTGGTCTCATGCAAGGACCGGATGCCATCCGTCGTAGGTAGGTCATGCAAATGTGAGCCTTGCCAGATCTCAACCTCGGAGTCTTTACAAAATTGTTGGACGACAAGAACACGTAGACCAGCCTGTTTGCCACCTCTCCTAAAGCACTCAATATGGCCAGGCTTAGCACCATATCGCAGCCAGTGTCCGAGACTGCAATCTCCGAGAGTGGATTCGATAACAATCCGAATACGCTGAAGATTATAGATGTCAGTGACGTAACGCAAACTGGGACCAAGGGAGCTGCTTACCTCGTCATCGAGGATGTGTTGTTTGCAATATTTTAGGCCAAATGGTGTCAGGTATGGAAAGTCCCTCCTCTCCATCTCCAAAACTACATCACCTACAGTCGCATCCTCCAAATCGACAAACCCTTGATCAAGAAGGGCTCGTTGCGCCGTCTCAGGCGAGAACATCGTCAGCCCCGCAAAGTCTGACAAGCACTGGGGATTCTCTCTCGAGGCGGATTCGAGCTTTTCGATCTGGGCAGAAAGCTGTGAACAAATCTTCAGGCCCTCCTGGGTGCTCTGCTTTTCTTCCAGTATAGCTAGCCACACATGATCCTCTACAGCAGGTGGTTTGCCATGTACCCTTTCTTCCAACTGATGTATATGCTCTTGTAGATCGTTCGTCGTATCGCGTATCAAGTCTTTGTATTCCTCGAGAACGTTAGGTGGTATCGATGCTGTTGCGCGTCTGTGAAGTCTCTCCTGTTAGTCGATTGCGCCAAGATAAGGTTGGAGTTTGTACCTTACATATTCGCGGTGGCTAATGCTACACTGATAGTGAATTTATATCCAGCAAGCATCTCCCGGATGTCAGTTATGTCGCCTTTGAGGTACTGCTGGTTAACCCAATCCCGCAAACTTGGTCGCGATAAGCTAGAATACTTTGTACACCGAGCTATGAGATCGCCATACTCCTCACAGGTCTTTCCGCAACGAAGTAAAGGAAGTTTTAAGGCGTTAAAGTTGATATCGTTATTGTTATGAACCGTTTCAGCGAGCGACTGCAAAACCCCTCGGAGGTCGGCTAGCTCGTTTTTCAGCGCACGAGCATTCTTGTCCTGGCTCTGGAAGTCGCGGATGGTCGTGTAGAGGGCGTTGCAAGATTTAAGAGCAAAACCTACCAGTGAGACGATGCTGGATGTGATGCCGAGACAATCTGCCATCTTGACAACGTTCAAAATTTGATGTTCAACAAGATGTAATGGTGGCCAATGTCAGCAACACTGTCCGACTGGCTGCTGCGGGGCAGCTGGTCATCGTGCATCACAGGTATGAAGGTGGTCGAATGCCGCAAGCCGGGAAGAACAAGTTGTCCTTTCGACGTTACTGAACCGGATATTAACCGCGTACTTGTTTGAGCCCGTTTCTTATCGCATGTGTTTCCGTTTCTTATCAAACGCCTCTTCAATCTCTGTCCACATAATCGTGGGCAGCCACAGATGCGGGGTTTAGGCTAGTGAACCCTTGTCCAATCCGTTGCCGACACCTTGTCCGGTGGCCCAAGACGTCGGCTCTAAGCAAGGGCACAGAAGTGTACAAAGAGTTTCGAGCGGGTGGACTATAAGTACTGCAGTCGGTCTGGAACGAATTGAGAGGCATCGTGTAAGGAGTCTAAATTGATACTTCCAAATATCTTTTACAATATGAGCACAAGTTCTGGGGAGTCCGGTTCATGCCTGTTCTGTGGCCATTATTTGAATGAGCACACAAAAGCAAGCCGCTCGCGGTGCAAGAAATGCAATAAGCGATTTTACATCTGCCAGGCACCACTACATGAAACGGCTGGCTGGAGAATATGCGACATTCCATGTGGCTGTGGCTCGAAGTACTACCCCACCACAGCCAATGGAGCGCGTCGACTGAAACAAACCGAATTCGCGCCAACTCACCCCCTGTACGAGTCGCCTCCCTCTAACGGCGAGGACACATCGTACGAGGCAACCTTCAGCACCAGTGCTGCTCCTGCAACTGAGCCAGTCTACGTAAAGCTCAAGAAAAATGGAGACCAGTTCGAGTTCAGTCACAACAACAATAAAATATTAACCTACGCGGTGCACTGGCGGCCTACTCGTCTCGTTTACCAGGGACAAGAAGATGATTTCTGGTTGATGGAAAATGATGGAGTTTCATATATCACCTGGACCCTACCTACCGACAATCAAGAAGTACAAAGCCAGAGGTCTCTTGGCAAAAGAGTGGCATATCCGGCTCAGCCCTCGCACGAACGCACTCTTTCTGATTCTACGGATCCTCTCCAATGGGACGATGAGAGGATCGAGGCGGAAACTCAAATGGCGTCTCAAATGGCGGGGCTTGCTCTTGGGGGCGGAAGCTCCGACCAAGTTCAAGATGACCGCGTACACGTCTCTGCACGATATTATGGAAAGGATAAAGTGGAGTTTAAGAACGAAAACGGTAAGTTAATTACATCATGGAAATCAAGCTGGGTTCCAAGCGGTGATGGATTTGTTTTCGAGAGCAAGGACTATGGCAAAACGTATTTCACGAAGAAAATCAAAGCTGCGAAAAAATGAAAGAGCAACTTGTACAGCCCTATTTTGATTTAGCTCGTTTTAGTTTAGCCCTTCAACAGGGAGTTAGTTACGAGATGACGGGCTGCATTTACCCCGGCACTCATGGAACAACTATAAAGTTTACCGAAGTTAATCCGGCCCTCCCCTGCCTGTTCACCCATACAAAAACAACCAGCCTGCTGTCCTTTCCCATCTCTCAACAACCTCATTTTCCTCCATCAAGATGTAATAGAAGCAACACAGTCAACAAGCCAGCCAGCCATGGCAAGCAATCACTCTTCGTCTCTCCGCTCTGTCCTTACCCGGTCGATTTGCACCTCATCGAGCGAGCGATCATCTGATTTTACGTCCAAAGATTCGGCTACCAACGAACCAAACACCCGATTTGTTGACAAAGAAGACGATCCCCTGATACCAAGTCTTGAAGACGTATACCGTACATTTCAGGAGGGCAAGGTGACATGGGAAGCGTTCTTAAGCCAAGCGAAGAGGATCCCCCGAGGTCTCTGGCCAAAAGATGCGCTCAACCCGTACGTAACTCTGGTAGATGTGCCGAGTCTACCGGACGAGCTGCCTCGCAACAATTGGCTTTACGGTCGACCTTGCTGGGAGCTGTCCCATGGCATTGGGGACACCGAATGTCGAAATACTGATTCTCGGAGCGATACAACAAGCCTTAGGCCCGGTCGTCTTGTTTCATTTCGATTACAAATTGGCGATCCGATTCGGTGTGATATATGCCCGGACGCAGCATCATACGCCTGCGCCAGTCCCGAAACGACCGATAGCCTCGCTGTATTGGTTATGTGCTGGTCATACATCCTTTCGGCTCGATTGCTTGAGATGCAACGCCGTGGGATTCGATATACAGAGGATCGATTGTGGCCTACTGTGCCTCATGGCCGAAAGGAAACCACAGCCGATATCAACCTCAAGAGCGCATCGCCTACTCTTATCAGGTGGCTCTGCGCGATTCTTAGCCCTGCTATGGGGTGGCAGGCTAGGGATCATGGGCATTTACCACCGTGGGCAACATCTTTCAAGACAGATGTAGCACTTATCATCGAGGCTTCAGACATGGCTGCAGATGTCTGCTCGCCCCCGAGCTCCATCGAGGCTATGGAACTTCTTATTGAACTATGCCGGTTGTTTGGCTTGGGAATAGACTCCACCAGACTCACTGACTTTGAGCCTATGCCGCCCTACAAGGCGTCATTCTTGGCTGCACTCGCGCTTCCTTTCTATAACTTTATGGAGCTTCAACCACAGCTGCCACACCCACGTCTTGCTAAACCACGAAATAATAGCACCTTCAACAGTTCCCATGAACAACAGCTGCGTGGATATCTGTGTCATATACGTTACTTTATGACCCTCAGCGCTCATCCTCCCTCTATCGGGTCCATTCTGTGGAGCGTCTTCTGGCAGCCGGACGTCAATTGCAACCTAGTCGGTCCATGGCTCGCATCAGTCTTGGATACATTAGAGCTAATTATCGCGCAAAACGAGATCGAGGTTCTGCTCAAGGTCTTTCTTTCACGTCGACCTAGAATAGGGATCTGGTGGGTGGCTCTCTTTTTCCTTGGCGACCCAGCTCTCCTAGACTGGATCAGGCGATACGCGGTGAAGATGGAAGAGAAGCGCGGCTTCGGGTCCTTATCGTCTCCTGATCCGATGGTGTCTGCCTGGACCGGGTCCAAGCAGTCATTCATCGATTTCGATAATGATCTCCTTTACCTGGAACCATCTGATTCAGTGTCGAGAGCAGATCTGCTTCGATGCCGCTTCGATCTCAAACTTCAGGACTCAGCTACTACAGCTTTGTCCTGGCGGCCCTTTGGTCATATAGAGAAGAGCCTGGTTGAACTTGAACTTTGGCCGCAATTAGAAACCAAATATACTCGTAGGTATAATGCATTTGTCTGGTATCCCCGAAAGAATTTCTCAATACTTGACGAAGGCTTTCGAAAGGATACGGGACAGCACATAATAAACGTGCCAGACAACTTAAAAATGCACACATCCACCGAATACTCAGAGAAAAAGTACTGTATCACCAATATGCGGCCATCCAAGGACTCGACGTCCAAGATGATGGGCTTCTTGGTCGAGGGCGTTGGAGGCGGTCGCGATTGGGCAAATGCTGGTTTGTCAATGCAACCTAAGCAGCTCAGGTGGCTACGTGATTGGGAAGGCCTCGACAGGATGGAGAATAATGCGGTGGAACAGGAACCATCCCGAACGCCTTCGTGGTTGCTTGAGAAATGGATCAATGGGGAAATTTAATCAAGGAACTACCCTGTGTTGGCCTCAGGTCAAGGATTCTTGCTTTACCTAGTCACCATCAATGTATTTAGTTGAGATGCACAGGCATGTTTGTGCTTTAGATGCGCTAGTAGATGTGTGCTGGTACCTAGCTGCCAAAGCAAGGGGGGCTAACACACCAGAGCCCCAGCGCACCTGTACCTGGATACAGGGGCTTGATTGAAATAAGTGCTCATACATTGTTCCAGCACATCAGGACTGCTTGTTCTTTTGCGTCAGCATATACGTACAGTTACACGATATACACCAGTCTCTTCATATTACTCGCGCAATGTAATTGTTCAATTTTTTTTAAAACTTTTTTTTTTTTTTTTTTTTTTTTTTTTTTTAAAAAAA